TGAAATGGTGTCGGGCAGGCTTCAGCAGTTGAAGCTCAGGGTTTTTCCCACCCATATTATAAAATTGCCTTAAAAAATTTTTTTTAATTGTGATAAAATACACAGACAATATATTATCTTAACCATTTTAGGTAAAATATACATAACAAAATTTATCGAATCAGCATTTGAATCATTTTAAGGGTATTAAGTTACTTTTTGAGTCCACGGTCTACCCTTCTGGACTCTTTAACCGTGTTCTATATGTAGACCCGCTCTAAACCATGTTGTGGAGTCCAGGAGAGTCCAGAGCGTGTGATGCCCCAGTGACATCCAGTGACACGTGCGTTGTCCGGGTGGAGCAAATGAGACACTTCCTGGTCTCTGGTAAAGAGGCTCAGATGTGGTTCAGACCTTTTTTTTGCAAACTTTTATTTTGTATTTTATTATTTTGTTTTAAGGTTCACCTGCTGAGCCCATGAATACTATGAGGTTAAAAATGTTGTAATTATGTCTTAATTATAGCTCAAGAAATGCTTTTAAAATAATATAGTGCCTGAGTAAAATAAATAAGGAAGTTTAATTTCCCATTTGATTATAGTTTCTTCTTTCTGTTTATTAGCCCTTTAAAAAGTGATTTTGGAAATATGGCTGTGTTTTCCTTCCCAGTTCATTTGTTCCCCTGGAACATTTATTCTGTAGTGGTAGAAGAACATCATGTCTCTTTTTTATTTTTTATTTTTTTAGTATACATCATTTTTATTCAGTGGCCAGTCACTTTGGGTTTCTGGTTTCCTGAAAAACAACCCAAACAATGGAACTTCCCTGGAAGTACTCTGCTTTTCCCTCCAGAGAAGGGTCCTCCCAAAGCAAAGCCCAGGATGGAGGCTGGAGGGAGGGGGTGGGGCGGGCCCAGGCTGCACCCCTGAGCTGGGCCAGCTCCGGCTGTGGCCGCTCTGGGAGCACCTGGCAGGGGAGGCAGGTAACCAGGGGCTCCTGGGCACCAGGGGGTGGCACTCAGTTCAGGGTGGTTATTTTGCTAATGAAGGGTTAAAACTCAGACTCAGCGGAGGCCGAACAGAGTCCCTGGGCCCCTTCAGAATTTGCTAAAAGGAGCTCCATGTCTTAAGGTCAGGGAAGAGTTTTTACAGTCCAGTGTGCGAACAGCACTCAGGAGTTCGTGGTTCTTGCAGCTTACTGATGAGCGCAGCTGCATGAAACGCAGCGTTCACTTCTTTTTTCTGTTTTGGCGGTGGTAAGCTACACATCCTGTTTTTAGGTGTGCAGTTCAGTGGCATTCACATCATTGTGCAAACATCGCCACCATCCTGCGCTAGAACTTCTTCATTCTCCCAAACTGGAACTCCTTACCCAGGGGACACGCCCCCACCCCCTCTGCCCCAGCCCTGGCCCCCACGGTTCTGCTTTCTGTGTCTAGGGGTCCCACTGCCCGGGGACCGCACGTGAGTGGACTCACACAGCATTTGTCCTTTCGTGACTGGCTCACTCAGAGTAATGTCCTCAAGATTCGTCCCTGTTGTAGCAGGTGTCAGAACGCCCTTCTTCTCTCAGGCGGAGTCAGACCCCATTGTATGGACCGCATCTTGTTTATCCATTCATCCACCCCATTCCTCCATCGAGGGGCGCTTGGGCGGCCTCCCCTTTTCTGGCTGTTGTGATTAGCGCTGCAGGGAGTGCGCTGATGGTGAGCGGGGTTGCCGGAGCCCATGTAACTTGGTAAGCAGACCAGGTGTGTCCATTCTTGAGGAGCCGCTGCAGCGTGTTACGTGCCCACCCTCAGGGCCCCACACCCAGCTTCAGGGCCTCCCTGGCCTGGGCCGCTCTGAGGAGAACGTTTTCTTTTTCAAAAGCAGCAGCAGCCATGGGTGGCAGGCTCGACCCCCACCTCTCGGAGAGGGGGCAGCAGAACGCCCCCAGTTTCCTACCGAGAGTGTCTTTGGCAGCCCAGCGGGGGGCCGGCCACAGAGCCACCAATGTGCCCCTGCCCGGCACGTGAGCTCACTGCTCACAGATCGAGCGGCTTCAGAATCAAGAGTGTCTGGCTGAAGAACCACGTGGCTGGGCCAGCACACTGAGCTCGGAATTCCTAGCAGCCGGGGGGCGGGAATGAATCATGCGATAACTCTCATGCTCTTTGAAGTTGGCCCTAAAAATAAGATGTGTGTTAGCTGTCTGTGAGGCTAAAGGAAAGGTCTCACAAAGGCAGGCATTTGGGGAGCCAGGCTGGGGACGCGTGGTGGCCTTTACCACTGACCAGACCGGCTGGTTCCTCCTCTCTGGCCCGGCCCCTGAGCTTTGTTTGGCGCAGAGCAGAGGGTGACGGGGAAGAGAGCACCTTCCCTGACGGACCACCGGGTGGGCTGGGGCCCACGCAGGCTTGTTTCTGAGATGCTACTCAGCTCTGCTCCACAGGAGGGGGGTCGCTGGGACCCCCAACCCCACTGCCTGCCTGAATGTCACTGGCGGACCAGGAGCTCCGTCTGCGGGGGCCTGTTCCGGAAGTGCTTTGAGTCCTCTACATGGGAAGCTTTTTCTCCTGGCGAGTCCAACCTCCAGTCTTACAACTTGCAAAGTTTGTTTTTCTCTATTTTCTTTCACCCTCCCTTTCTCTCTCACTTTTTTAATCCTCCCCCAAGGACATGCTCATTCATTTCAGAGAAAGGGGAAGGGAGAGAGAGGGGGAGGAAGAGCGATGTGAGAGAGAAACATTGATCAGTTGCCTCCTGTACATGCCCCAACCAGGGACTGAACCTGCAACCCAGGTGTGTGTCCTGACTGGGAATTGAACCCATGACTTTTTGCTTTGTGGGACAGTGCTCGACCAACCGAGCCACACTGGCCAGGGCACAAAGTGTTGCTTCAGAAGCTTTCCACTAAGTACCACTTCTGGAGCTGGTGCCAGGAGCGGCACGTGTCATCCTTCTCACTGGCCCGGCGGACCTCGGTGCCACGTCCAAGTGCAGAAGGACCGGAAAGGAAATGGACCGTGGGCTCGAGGGAACCAGACGCTGCGAGTCCCAGGGGGGTGCTCACCACAGCGGGGGTCTCGATGTTTGCACCTCAGATGCCTTCGGAGCACACTGAGCGCCAGTGAGACGCGGGAGGGACTTGGCAAGCGGTCGTTCTTTCCTGACAAAGGACTGTGAGTTTCACTCTCCCGCTCCTGAATGACAGAGAAAGCCCGGGACCAGGGTCCCGGCAGGCCAGCCGCGTCTCGAAGTGGCTGTCTGCGCACCGTGTGTGCTGGACTGGCCGGGAGGCGACCTTGGTGATGCCGGTGGTGGGGATGTTGCTGTTGCGCCCGCTTTCCTCTAGGTGTGAAAATGCCTCCACGTGTGCACTGTTTCCTCTCCTTTCCCGGTTCACGTGCGCTCTGCCAGAACGGTCAGCTTGTCCTTGTTCGCCACTGCAGTGTGGGTTTTGGTCACCTCCTCCCTCCGTGGCTTGGTTTTGGAGTCTTTTGTACATAGCACATTTAAATATTTTGTTGGCTTTACCTTTGTTTTAAGATACTAGACTCTTACAAAATAACGTTGTAAAGTATTTCTTGATGACCTCTAGTTTATCTACTTTTTTAAGTGTGGTTTTATTGAATTTGAGGGTTCAGGTAGACTACAGGCTTCTGATGAAAACTATCCCTTTCCCTCTCTTCCCTTTACTTCCGACACAGCCTCAGTGTTTATTTTAGAGGTGGGTCATTTTGTTTGTTTATAAAAATAAAACTGTCGTGCCCTAAGACCAGCTGGTCCAGGGGCTGGCACTTCTGACTCTCGGACAGAGTGTACCTGGTGTTGCTGTGTCGGTGACTTCCTCCGGGTGGCCTGCCGCATGGTGGGCGCAGAGGGCTGCAGGCTCCCTCTGCAGGGTGGGACACAGGCCGGCTGCCGAGGGGCCCGCCCCTAGGTCTGACCTTTGGGCAGATGACGGCCAGGACAGCGTTGTACGTCGGGGACAGGTGTGCACGGGAGCCCAGTGGAGGGGACGCTGAATGTGGAGGCAGCCATTCTGCCTCCACACGGGGCACCGAGCCAGCCTCACGGGAGGAGAGTCAGCGGGACTCCTGTCTGGGAAGGGAGGCCGCTCCGGGGAGGGGTTGAGGGGGCAGCCAGGCGCCACGTGGGTCTGCGTTGTCGCGGAGGGTGAGTGAGGCAGGCAGGAGTCATGCTGTGGAGGCCTCTGAGAGGCTCTTTTAAGAAGCGTGGACTTCACCCTGCAGGCCTTCAGTAAATATTTGCGTGAGTTATGTCCACCATCTTGACCGACACTGGGTATTATAAGACTTGAGTCACGAGGCCCCGCCCAGCCATGGTGCCCGAGGCCTTGACAATCCGGTGACCGCTCCCACTGCCAGCAAGCAGGCAGCCAGGGATGCTTTAGCACAGACAAGGCCTGGTCCTGCCTGGGACACACAGCCCTGGGGCCAGCAGGGTTCTGTGTTCGAGCCGTGGACCCGACTGGTAAAACGCCAGGAGTCACAGCCCAGAAGTGTCCCACCCGTCTTTTCTGGGGTGACCCCCCCCGTCAGAGCCACCTGGCTGTGACAGGCAGTTCAGACCCTTCCCCTCGCTGGGCAACACCCAGGGGCTGCCAGGGTGCACAGTCTCCAGGGGGCGATGGTCGCCTCCCGCGCCCCTCCCGCCCCCCGGCGTGGTCTGCGGTGCACCTGCTCTGTGTAGACTGGGCTTCCCCAGGCGGGAGCACACCGCCCTCCCCCAGGCACGGTGCCCGTGTGGCCGAGAAGGTGGCCCGACGGTGACAGAGTCACTTTGAGGGAGACAGTTTTCCCTTGCTCTCGAGTCTGGAGCCTGCCTCAGGCCCAGCAGTGCTGGGGCGTCCCTGGCACCGTGTCCTGGAGCCTGGCTTGTGCCCCCCGGGCCCTCCCGTACAGTCCCCCGTCCTCCTGAGCTGCCTCGCCCCTTCAGCCACAGGGCCTGCTGGCATCTGCCGCTGCCACCCGACACCACCACCTCCCGCTCACGGGCCCTCTTCCTGTGTTCCAGGCGCTGCAGAGCAACCTGAGGTACTCCTTGCTGCCACGGCGGCGCGTCATCAGCAAGAGGCTGGCCCAGTGCCTGCACCCCGCCCTGCCCAGTGGCGTGCACCTGAAAGCCCTGGAAACCTACGAGATCATCTTTAAAATTGTGGGGACCAAATGGCTGGCCAAGGACTTGTTCCTGTACAGGTACCGCGGCGTCCCCAGTGTCCCTCTTCATAATCCAGGGGACCTGTGTCCCAGCTCCCAAGACCAGGAGGGGTAAACAGGCAGGGTTCAGAGGGCAGGGCTCTCGCGGGAGGCGACCTCCGCCCCCTGGAGACCTCCTGGAGCACGTCCTCCCTGATGACGGTGAAGGCCTGCTCTGCGCGAGCCGTGCATCGGCCGTGTCTCCTGTTTGTTTATTTTTTTTTAAGTTTTATTTATTAAAAGCCGTGTCAGGCCTGGCAGGCATCTACACATCTCCAGTTTACTTATTTATGTTTTATCTTTTATTATTTTCGTCCTCACCCAAGGTTATTTTTTCATTGTTTTGAGAGAGGGAGGGAGGGAAAGAGTGAAACATCGATTGGTTGCCCCCCACCTGCGCCCTGACTGGGGATGGAACCCACAACCTGAGCATGTACCCTGACCAGGGCTCGAACCCGTGACCTTTCGGTCTGTGGGATGACGCTCCAACTGACTGAGCCACCTGGCCGGGGCTGCATCTCCCAGGTGGCTGGCTGGCTGGCTGATCCCCTTGGGCTTCTGAGTAGGTGTCTCGCTCACGGCCCCTTCCCTCCTCCCCACAGCTGCGGGCTGTTTCCCCTGCTGGCGCACGCGGCCATGTCGGTGAGGCCTGTGCTGCTTGGCCTGTATGAGAAGTACTTCCTCCCGCTGCAGAAGCTGCTCCTGCCCAGCCTCCAGGCCTTCATCATCGGCCTGCTGCCAGGCCTGGAGGAGGGCTCGGAGATCTATGACAGGTGCGTCTCAGCCTGCGGATGGGCGGGGCCAGACGCTGGAGCCGCCGCCCTGCCTATGTGGCGGTGTGACAGCTTGGTCTTGGTGACTGTTCGTCCAGCAGGGTGTCTGCCCAGCCAGGGTTGTGGTTTATGGTGCACGGCCCATGTCCCTCTCTCGTCTCGGCGGAGCCGAGAAGCTCGTGGCAACGGCGGCTGAATGAGCTGCGTCTGTGCGAGGCACAGAGAGCGGCAGCCAGGACACGCGAGGAAGGATGGACTCGGTGGGCTTTGGGGTTTGGTTTTGTCTTCAGTTGTCAGTTGGTTTTGAATAGGAAAGATTCGCGTTCTGGGCTCTAAGCTCTACACACACATTTTAGAATTTCACAACCGAGATGGTACAAGTAATTCCTACTCAGTAGGAGGCTACGTTGCTGCTAACCCCAGTTATTTGCTCCTTACTTTGGTCTCCATTGCTTAACTTTTTAATACCTGTTAATATTTTCAGAGTAAAATGAGACTTAAAGCTGCGTTTATTTGATAAAGAAAACAAGCCGGTGCGCTCTGAGTGTTGACGAAGGGATAGTGTGTGTGGCGTTTGTGACAGTGGAGCCCTCTGCTGTGGATCAGCTCCGGTGGCCCATGTTCCGCGGAGCGTACCGTGGGAGTGTGCCGCTGTAAGGAAAGCAACGCAGGAGTGTGTGCACTGCGATTTGGGGCTGGCGTTTATCTTTGCGCTGGTTGTCCTGTGAGAGGGGTCCTAGGGAGAGAGGAGCGCTCGGGCTTCCCGGGCCTGTGGCCATAGGAATTTGCTGTAGGAATCTCATCCTGGCTCAGGACCACCCTGTCTGCGCAGGGGACACAGTGGCCCATCTGCCTGACTTACTGTGACTGCAGCCACTTTGCCCCAGGAGGCCTTTGCTGCATCGCACAGAGCTGGGCAAAGATAAGCTTTGTTAGCTCAGCCCTGGAAGATCAGGCGATGCCTTCAGCTGCTGAGCCATCCTGTGTGCTTCTCCTAAATGCTTGGCTGCTACTCAGGCCCCTTCGTCTGTGCTTATTTTCTGAGAAGATGAAACTGCGCATCATTTCCTACAAATATTTTATGAGACAAAAAGGCTCAGACTAGTTTTAAGGAGAACAGAATTCATTTCTAATACAAAAAGGGAGCAGACGTTTTGTCTGAAATGTTTTTGTACTTGCTGAACTGATCATTGAAAGGAAGCTGGAGACGATTGGGGTCATCATAAAAGGGAGAGTCGCAGACGTTCTGCGTGCCAGCTCATCAGGGCGCCAGGGACGCCAGGGCCGAGTGTCTTACCCGAGACTCGTGCCATTTTCACGGCACCTCCGTCTCTTTCCCCGTCTCGCAGCGGCAAGCTGCGATGCTCAGAGGTTCAGCCTGTGCGGGGGACGCAGCCAGGAGGCGGCGGGCACAGCTTAGACACCAGAAACCCAGGGAGGACACTACATGGCCACAGGCTGCTCCTTCTGTGACAGTTTTCTGTCTTCTGCGCAAATAGGAAGCATGTGAGGAATGGGCCGCTAAGGATTCTGGGTCAGGTCACTCATTAAGCGAAGTTGCTGAGGGATTTGCCTCTGCTTATTGGCAGATGCTCTCACCCTGCCACCAGCTTCATCCTCACTGTTGGCAGGGAAGGTGCTCTGGTCAGCGGCAGGTGCGCCCGAGCAAAGGAGCTCCTGGGTGTGGTCGGCGTGGGGAAAAGCAGGCCCCAACCTGCTGCTGACACTGCTGATGTGGTGTGGGAGAGACCTTGTTAAAGATAAGAGACAAGTGTGTCAGCCTCAGCAAGGGAGCTTCCCGGAGTGGGGGTCGCTGTACGGAGGTGCGGGGGGCGCCATGACAGGGGACACTGTCCCGGGCTTTCGGGAAATGGCAGTGGAGTAGGAGGCCCAGGTGGATTTCGTCCCCAGTGTTTCTGAAGTCAGATGTCACTTGGCACGTTTTCGGCTGGCTGTGCTCACGTTGGGAGCACCTTTGTCGTTATTAAAGTCTTCAGTCAGTCACATCTCCCTTTTTTTTTGACACATTAATGGCTCCCTGTGCTTCAAAGAAAGTGGCCACCCTGCTTGTCCCCTTTCTGGTGGGGGCCCCACCCTCCAGGAAAGTAGCCCAGCACCCAAGGCCAGGCCAGAGGCAGGGACGGATCTCGGGGTTGCCTGTCACACTGTGCCTCTTGGCCAAGAAGCTGTAACCCTCAGGATATGTGCATTTTAGCAAAGTCCATTTCAGTGACAGTGACAGAAAGACAAGAGATGGCCGCGGCTCAGCACGGGAGGAGGAAGGCGTTTCCCTGGCCAGGCAGCATGAGCTGGGCTGTCGGCGGAGCCCTCGCGGAGCAGCGCCGCAAGGCACGCACCGCAGGGAACCGCCCTTACACTCTGTCGCCGCTTGTCCGCAGGACGGACGCCCTGCTCCTGAGACTGTCCCTGGTGGTCGGCAGGGAGGTGTTCTATGCCGCCCTGTGGGGGGGCGTCCTGGCCAGCCCGTCCGTCCGCCTCCCCGCCTCGCTCTTCGTGGTGAGCCACATCAGCAGGGACGCGTCCGGCAAGGAGCAGAAGTGCATGCTGGGCACCGACCACCAGCTCACGGTGGGTGCCGCGCCCCACTGGGGCCATCGCCGGGGCTGGAAGGGGACGTGGCGTCTGAGCGTGTGACGTGAAGCTGCCGAGCCCGGCAAGGAGGCCAGGTCCCCACACACAGGGAGGTCCGGGATGTGCTGTTTGTTTTTAACACGTGCATCGCGATATTTATGCACCCAGGGAGTGCCCCCCAGGGCCCAGCTCTTGAGTGCAGGGCGCGCTGTCAGCGATGTGGAGAGCCTCGCGCGGGCCCTGCTGCTTCAGCCCAAGGCTCGTGTTCTCCCTCTGCCCAGCGCCACGCTGACCCCCGCCCTCCCTGGTGGTCCCTGCCCCGGTCCTGCCGCAGCTGCTGTTGCCCTCAAAACTGGATTGTTGGGGTGCCTCAGCTGCTCGTCCCCTGTTGCTGCTTCAAGGACAGCTCTCTTTCCTGGCAGGGATAGTGACAGGCCTTCTAATGACCTTAGAAACCTGGAACCTCATCTCTCCTCCCTAACACCATCTCTTTCGTGTTTGATGGCCTGCTGTCTGTCGCCACCTAGTGGGGCACCACACTCTGACCTTAAAATGGTGGAGACTGAATTCCCGTAGGGAAGTCTGCAGCCTGGTGTGAATTACTTACCCTCGAGTCCATGCCTCTTTGCAAAGCTGGGACGACAGACCCGCTTCTCGGGCCGCTGGGGACCCAGTGAGGGGGCCCATGAAAAGCACCTGCACAGGCGGCCCTCGCTCTCATCTCCCCTGCTGTCCCCTCCTCACCGTTTTCACGGCCCTGCCCCAATTCTTAAGTCCTCCTTCCAGGCCATGACGTACTTCTAAGTGGTTTCTCCTCTTTCCATTTCCCACCCATCCCCTCCCTTTCGATTTGTAAGAGATTTGCACATCTTTGCTCAAGTCTACACTGTGCCTGAAAAATACCTGGCTTCCTGTTGCCTCAAGTCCCACTCAGGAGTATTCTTAACAGTGTGCTCCCAGCCGTCCGAACACCTCGCCCTCCCCGTCAGGGCCCTGCACGCCCCTGCCCGGCCTCGGACCCTGGCCTCCGCCCCCGCCCCCTGGCCCCCGCCCCCGCCCCCCACCCGCCCTGCCCACCTGTCCTCCCCAGGGCCTCAGTGGAGGGCCTCCTTCCAGCCCAGCTCTCCACAGGACAAGGATCACGCCCCCTCTTCCTTGGAATTCTCATAGCTTCTCCTTGGCATGTGTCTCAGAGCTCTGTCACCTTGTCGTGCAGCCGTATCACACTCTCTGTCCCCAGACACTTGAACCAGGTACTGAATTGGTTGGGGGTCCCTGTGACCAAATGTCTTTGGAGTTTGAGTTTACCAAACATTTCTGTTGGAACCTAAAGACGTTCCTTTCTGGAATCATGGACTTTGAGGTCTCAGAACCCGCGCACCTGGCCCACAACCCTCCAGCTCTGAGCGGGACAGGCTGATCAGCTTCCCAGAGTCACACAGCCCCGAGCGTCAGTCTGGAACCCAGGCTTCTCATGTGTGTCCCTCACTGTTCTGTTCCTCATGGATTAGCACAGTGGCGTCAGGTTCCCTGGAAAAGCTGCTTTCGTTTTTGTAACTAGAAAGTAGCCTGCAAATGATATTAAATGTCTTGGGAATGAAACGTTTGCATTGTTTGTCATTTCTAGGTAAAGGCTTTGTGCGCATCGCTGTTAGACTCCAATGTTCTGGTGCAGAGAAATAACCTGGAAATCGTTCTCTTCTTCTTCCCATTCTACACCTGTCTGGTGAGTCCGTGGCGTTCTCATCACGGGGATGCCGCAGGTGCTTCCCGAGGAGGCGGGGAGGGCGGGCAGGACCTCTGGTGCTCGTCCCGGGAGGGGAGCAGCGCTCGTGGTCGCCGCTGGCTTTCAGCGCTGAAAGGTCCTCATTTGCTGCTGTGAGGGCGGTGAGGGCGTAGCAGAAACTGAATAGCTTCCGTCCCCGGGCACTGCGGAGAGCTGCCCTTCCCAGAGGAGGCTCTGGAGGCTGGCAGGAAGGGCCGCCTGTTGGAATGCTGGGGACTCACTTCACCGCCTCCTGTCCTCACAGGACCCCGGGGAGAGAGCCATCCCCCTGCGCAGAGCGGACCTCGTGCGGATTCTCTCCGCCGCCACCCAGACGCTGCTCAGGAGAGACATGTCTCTGAACAGGAGGCTTTACGCGTGGTTGCTAGGTACCGTGAGGCGCATGTCACCAAAGGCTGACGGGCAGCCTCTCGTGCTGCTGTTTGGCACGTGTTGTGATCTGGGTGGCACATTTCTGAGTCCTGGTGTGCAGCGACATCACACACTGCGTGGGGCGCGGGTCCGCTGGATTCTGCAGAACAACCGCGGCTTTGGTTGTTTCGCAGCTCTTATTTTAAAAACAGGGAAATAATAAATGAGATTTTTGAAATGCTAGCTCAGTTCCATCTTAAAAAGCTTTAAACAGCACAAAAAACTGTAGCTAGACCTTTACTCAAGCAGCAGCCCGTTGCTGCGGAGCAGTTTCTCGGGGGAAGGGCAGGTGAGAGGAACCCACAAACAGGGACTGCGTGCCAAGGAAGGCTCCCTGCGGGTGGGTGGGTGTGGCACCGTGGCATGTGGGTAACTTTGGGAGGGCGTGAGGACCAGGGCGTGTATCCTGTGAGCGTGTGTTTTGTGTTTTACTGCCTGCGAACTTGCAGGGAAGGAGCCCTTCTCTGTTGGTTGGAAGGCTTCCCAGGGCCAGAGTCGGGGAAGTCACGGGCTGAAAGGGAAGCACTTCCATGAACTTTATAAAATTCCACATGTGTGTACCTAAGAAAAGATGGTATACAAAGCAGTGGAGAAAGGAGCCTACAGCTTTTTTTTTGTTTTAAAGACTTAATCTTCCTAGAACAGTTTTAGGCTCATAGAAAAATACAGAGAAAGGTAGAGATTTCCCATGATAACCCCCTCTTCCTGCGCAGGCACAGCCTCCCCATCACCAGCACGTCCCCCCCCCTCCCGCCCCCCCCCCCGCCAGAGCAGGCCCCCTGTTCCAGCTGATGAACCCACACAAACATGTCTTGCCGCCCTCGTCCACGGTTGCCACTCGGGCTCTCTCTGTGCTGCCCTTTCTGTGGCCTGGACAGACGCGTGAGGGCGTGTGCCCCGCAGCCCAGCGTCCTGCGGAGGGGCTGCCCTGCCCCGGGCATCCCTGTGCTCCCCAGCTTTCTGTGACCCCCAGCGTCCAGATCTCACCACACCCAAGTCAGGAAGTCGTCTCACCCTTCCTTCCCTTTCTTCTCCGATTATGAACGTCTCAGAAGCCATTGCATGGAAGCTTATAAAGAATTTCAAGATGCATAGTGACAGGCTCTTTAAGCATTTTTATCAGAGGGATGATTTTGTTCAATGCACGGCTCGCTCTTGTGGGGCTGGTCTTGCTGTGCAGAGGGAGGACCCGGGACCCGACCTCAGAGTCGGCTCCGATCCCTCAGCCGCAGCCCCAGAGCCCCCAGCTTCACTCCTTGAACCAAGGGGTGCTGGTTGTTGCCCCGAGCACCTCCCAGACTTGCCCAGGACCAAAACAAGGGCAATAAGATGAGAACTGATTCCCCGTAATGCTGTGCAAGTAAACACTTGTCTTTTAAAATGATACTCATTCCATTAGATCCTGGTCATGACACCTGTCAGAGGCGATTGGGCTGAACTCTGGGGACAGTGGAATGGGCCTGGTCCTCGGCACCCTGCTGTCAGGGGCCCCTGTGCCCGCTGGGCCTGGCTTTGTTCTCTGCTGGGGGAGCGCCCTGTTAGAGAGAGCGCAGCCTGGGGCCTCCGCGCGGTCGATGCGCTCGCTCCGTGAGCACAGCTCTGCTCACAGCTCACGCGCCTGTCCCTTCCTAGGTTCGGACATCAAAGGAAATACCGTCGTGCCGGAATCGGAACTCTCGAATTCTTACGAAGACCAGTCCTCATATTTTTTTGAAAAATATTCTAAGGATCTTTTAGTTGAGGTAAAGCAGCATTTCCGGAAAGTCGGCCCCAGTTCTTGTCATGTGCTCCTCGAGCCCTGTCATGTGCCTCAGGGTGTTTTTCTGTGGGACCTCAGAGTAGACACCGGGCGTGTTCCCTGGGACACGGGTAGGAAAACCCTGCGCACCGGCTCAGTGCTGTGCACCCGGCTTTCCTTCTGTCCTGGGAGCAACCAGTACTGTCGCACTTCACTGTGTACAATATCCTAACATGTGGCTTTAAAAAAAACCAGGGCCTGGCCGAGCTGTTGCACCAGGAGTTCTCGGACGCCGACGTAGAAGAGCGCCATGCTGCGTACCTGAGGCCCTTCCGCATCCTCATCAGTCTGCTGGACAAGCCAGAAATAGGTACCGCCTGCAGCCCGGTCCCCACCGTGCGCCAAACGTGATGCCCATCTCAGGGAGTTAGGACACGCGAGGTGCAGGCAGCGTGTTACGTCAGTGTAATTGAATCTTTGGGATTTGAGAATCAAGAGGTACTTTGGTCCTGTCATGCGGTTCAGTGGTCCTGTCTGGGTTCCACTTAAAAGTTTTACTCACGAATTTTGAATGTTTTTGTTAGGAAAACACCCTTGAGCCTCTGCTGTGCGTGGCAGGGGTGCCCACAGAGCACGTGCAGTAGTGGCTTTGTAAGAACACTTCTTCAGTCTCATGTCAGACTTCAAATGAGCTTCGATTTCATTTCCTGAAAAATGTGGGCCCTCCTCCCCCTTTTGGCCTTTTGACCCTGGACAAGCCGTTCCTGCCAGGCCCCGCCTGGGCCTCAGTCTTCGCCTCAGTCAGAGGACGGGGGTGGATGGGACTCTGGCTCTACAGGGTCCCCTCTGACACTGGCGCTGTGAGCCCCGGCCAAGGAACGCGACCTCCTCTCTCCTTTGCTTCAGAGGGAAATGCTGCCGTTCCCGTCCACTCAGGACCTTCGTGTCTATCTGCTGGAACACCCTAACGGGGAAGAAAGCCCTCATGTCCCTGGGTTTCCGCCTTGAGGGCGTCGCCTGAGTGCTTGGGCGAGCCCAGCACTGGTGGCTGTTACCTTGTCCCTCTGGCCTCAGGAAGGAGACCTCTGCGGACTCACTGAGAGACGGGCGCGGCGCGTCTGCGGTGTGGCAGGGATGGTCCAGGCTCTTGGGGCATAAAGGAAGGAAAGCTTCTAGTCAGGGTAGAAGGACTGGAGACTCAGGTCCGGGTGCATTTTCACCACTGGGCATAGTGACGGCTGAGCCATGCCTTTGTGCAAAGTGATGTGCACACTTCATGTAATATCGTACCTCTAGGCCTCCAGCAACCCTCAGACGGGGTTCCTTACTAGACCCATTTCACAGATGGAAAGAGTGAGGTTGAACAAGGGTAAGTCTGTTGCCGAGGCCACCCAGGAGCTGGGATTAAAACTCCCTGAGTTTGGCCCCGGGGCCTGAGCTCCTTTGCCAAGACACTGGTGTTACCTGATGCCACTCAGATACGCTATTCCCACGACGATATTCGTGGGACACAAGTGAACTTGCGATGCGCGGCATGGTCAGGTCAAGCTGCCCCTGGCCAAGGTCAAGGCCTGGAGCCTGTGTCCCTGCAGCTCCGCCCTTAGGTGCTACGCACAGGCCTGCGTGCAGACATTCCTCCCCCACCGCCCTCAGCCAACCAGCAGTGGCTCCAGCAGCTCGTTCTCTTGGTTGGAGTGACTGCAGCTCTGGGAAGTCATGGCCATGGTGTAATCTGAAAAATGAAATGACTTATGAAACTGCACTGGGAGCTTGCAGTGTGACTGGGGGAAGTATCCAAAGAAAAAAAATGCACGTTAGTATTTTGGAGATGGCTGGCTTATGTCGGGGCTGTGCGCCTTGAGCCATGAGGTGTTGCTGCCCGCCCGGGCTCCGGGTCGTGTTTTCTGGAAGGGACAAATGGCAGGCTTCTGTCCGGTCATGCCGGCCTTTTAATTGGCTCTACGTGGTCATTTAGTTGTCCAAGGGAAGACACACTTGAGAGGCAGCGGCGTGGGCGGTGTAGAAGTAGAGGCGCGGGGCGGTGTCCAGCCCTGCCTGCCCTCCTGCTCCGAGGCCGGGTCGCCGCCTCACTCTGTCCCCTGCCTACGGGGCAGCCAGCTGGCCTCCGCCTGTGGGAAGGGCGTGGGGCTCTGCTGCTGCTGGTAAAAGACCGCATTAGTCTGCAGGTCGCTTTTTGCACAGACGTGTGGACGGAGCTTGCTTTTCCTCTGACCCAACCCTGCGTGCCCCGTTCTGGGTGCAGGGGTGAGAGCCCTTCCCACCCCGCCTGCTGGCTGTTGTCCGGGGATGGAAACGCCCAACTGCCGCACCGCTGCCTGAGCGGCCACAGTGCCCCTCCAGCACACGGCTGGCCCAGGTCCCGAGCCGCCTCCACGAGCCCTCCGCGCCATTTCTTTCGTGGCGCTCAAACTTGTGGTTAAGAGAACCCCGCTGTGTTTACACAGAGTCACGTCTCTGGCCAAGCAGTTTATGCAGAGCTCAAACACTGTGCACGCTTAACCAGTGTCGCCCCATAAAGTCAATAAAAACTCGAAAGTAAATAAATACAAGCTCAGGACAAGGACAAAACAAGACAGCGTGCGTAGACCCTGGCTGCACCCAGCAGAACCTGGCTTCGTTGCCTGACCTCCGTGCCAGTCCCTTCGCCGGTCCCCAGACCTGCGGTGTGTGTGGTGCCTGGTCACAGGGCTGCCGTGAGGGTTAGGTAATAGGCGTAAAATACTTAGGACAGTGTCCAGCACATAGTGAGCTCTACAGCGACACTGGCCGCTTTCAGGGATGTAGACCCCCCAGTTGGAGTTGTCACCGCACGACGTAAAGGTTCTATGTGTCTTAGGCGACGTGAGTTGTCTGTATAGTTAGAGACACTGTGCATTCAGATATGTGTTGTTTGTTGACTTAAAAACAGATTGTTTGTCTTTCTCTGGCTATGTTCTCTCGGACTGCAGGACCGCAGGTGGTTGGGAGCCTGTTTCTGGAAGTCATCCGGGCCTTCTATTCCTACTGCAAAGACGCTCTGGGCGCCGACCTTCAGCCTCGCTACACGCAGAGCGGGAACGCGTTGACCAGGTCTGGGTTTGCCTCTCCTGCCGCGGTCTTTCCCTGTTGTTTACTGTAAACTGTGAAGCCCTGGGACAGCAGAGGTGCAGGGTGGGTTATTTCAGCACGAACAGGCTGTTCCCTGCTGAATACCCTGAGGAGTTTAAAAGGCGTCTGAGCTGGTCTCTGTCCTAGCCTGGGAAGTGCAGACCACACTTACTGATCAAGTGTAAAAAGTTGTTCAGCAGGGGCAGCCGGGTCTAGTTTCCCCAAAGAGTGAGTTTCAGGGAGGAGGGCGGCGGGGACGGGTAAGGGCCGTGGACTCAGGGGACAGGGGTCTCAGGAAATGGGGGGGTGTGCCAGGGTAAGGGCACGGGCTCCGGGACCCTGAGGGCAGGGGTGGGGGGCTTGGGACACAGCGGAGCATGGACTTCAGGTGTCCCGGTCCCTCTCAGCCCTGGGTTTTGTTCTCTTTAAGACAGTACAGCCTCTTTCTTACCACTTTACTCTTGATATCATTTTCTTCTGTGTGAATTAGCATTGTGTATATAGAAGATGAATCATTTGGAAGATTTTACTGGTTCATTAATTTCAAATGTATGAAGAGTTCTTGGTGTTTGCTTTTTCTCCCTGAGGAGTTTATTGTTTTTCTGAATATGAAAACAGTAATACTCATTGTACAATATACCAGTATTTGAAGGTATCAAGAAAAGAAGATATTACTCATAATCCCACTGCCCTTCAGTGAAAAACATAAAACATTTTTTATTTCTTTCCAGACTTTAAATGCATATATGTATTTTCTACTTTAAAGATAGAATTATACTGTTTAGTTGCCTTTTTTTTTTTTTTTTAAATGCAAGTTGTGAGTAGCTCTACTGTCTTCTCCTGTGGGATATAATGGTTACCTTAGATTCCTTGCTAAGGATTTATCACTTAAGAAAATCTGACTGGCCATTCTCTTATTGATCAACTTTTAGGTGGTGCCCACTTTATTCAATATTCAATATTTTGAATGATCTTGCAGTGTTTTCCTTGTGCACACAGCTTTGTGTGCAAAGCTCTATGTAGGATAAATCCCTGAAGTAAATTTCCTGAGTCATAGAAGATGTACCATTTAAAAAGAAAAAAAATACAACATCTTGATTTTCATATTTTGTTGAGGATTTGGGAAGGATACACATTTAAATGTCAGCCAGACTTCCCTCTTGAAAGGTTGACCCATGTTGTTCCCCTAATAAAGTATATAAATACCTTTAGTTGAACTAAAGCTGGTTTTCTAGGTCATTCTTTTTACAACAGCATTGAGCTTATTTCTAAGAAAGTCTAGGATGACCTTGTGCATACCCTTTCCCACATGAGAACAGGGATGTTTTGTCTTTAGTCGAGTTTGTCAGTCTGTCTCGAGATGAACTGTAGGCGGTGAGTGACGCCGTGCTGCAGGCGTGTTCTCGTCACAGACGCCTTCCTGCACACCCTCTTCCTTCGCAGCGCCATAAAGGAAAACAGGAACGCCTCCGAGACGGTGAAAACGGTGAACCTGCTGATCACGTCCCTCAGCTCAGACTTTCTCTGGGATTACCTGACCAGGTGTTTCGAGGATTGCTTCCGGTGAGCAGCCAGGCTGGGGTGACAGACACGCAGGAAGGGCTGGGGTCAGATGCCACGGGCCTGGCGAAAGGTGAGCGGTCTCTGCTGCGCTCAGGCCCAGAAAGGGTTCAGTTACGCTTACAACAGAGTAAAACACATCGCCGTTAAGAAGGTTCACGTCGTCTTTGGAACTCTGGAGCTTCTTTATTTATTGAAGTCAAACTTCAGAAAATCCTCAGTATGGTTCCTCGTTCAGGATGAAATGTGCTTTCTTCACACTGTTTCCTGGAGGCTTGATCCAGGGAAGAAGCCTCTGTGTGGCTCTGACAGGGTAGAGCGTGTTGGAGATCATCAGTGTATGGCTGTCAGGTAAAGGCATTAATGCTTGAAGCTGCTGTAATCAGCTGTATGTCACTTGGAACCTGGTGAAGTCCCCCAGCTCAGAAGTCTGGTGGCGGCGTCCTCTGGGGAGTAGCGTGCTCCCTCCCAACCCTTGGCCCATCTGTCTTCCCGTCGATGAGGAGTAACACCGCCTCCCAAACGCTGCCTTGTCCTAGGTCCCACCGTGTAACTGCATGCTTGTCGCTCCCCGTTGGGATGCTCTATGCTGCGGCACTTTGGGTCCCAGCAGCGGTGATGGAAGCTTTGCTTAGTGTTTGTCTGGGCTGTCCTCTGGCCTGAGGGCCTTAGCATTCTCGTCGGCTGCTCAGGACAGCCCAGGGCGAGCCGGAGCGGGGAGCCCGGCCCAGACAGGCAGGAAGCACCCTGGCGGCACTGCCCAGCACACGAGCGGCAAGCCGGACGGGAGCCCTGGGAACGCCTGCTTCCTCCGCGGCGTGGGCCTTCGAGGCTGCGAGGGCCACACTGCTGTTGCTGCGGCTGCAGAAAACAACAAGGCCCCTGTGATACTGAATGCGTTGGCCAGCTTAGTTCCATTTCAGAGTGAGGAGCTGTGCTTTCTTTGGAAAAAAATGAACTGAAACATTTCAAGTGTAAGAAAGAACAGGGAATAACATCAGACACACATGCACCCGTTGCTGAAGTTACAGACAACACGTGGCCATTGCTTTTCAGGGTGGTGGTGTGGTGGTGTTTTCTTTTTGGTGGAATAAAATGTCGCTACCAAGATGCCGCCGACTCCCCGCCGTTGCAACACTTCTCCTCCCTCCCTCCCACCGCGGATCCGAGATTAGTGTCTGTCCTGCCCGTGGTGGTTCCTGTGCTTGTATTACTGTGTATAGTGTGATAAGGCCCGTTCTGCCTGTTGAAGTTTTATCTCAGCGGCGTCCAGCTGTGTATAACGCCGGCCCTGTGCTCTTTCGGGGGTTAACAGTCCTTGGGAGGTATATTGTAACAGACACAGAGGAGCCATCCATGCTGTGAACAGAGTTCCAAGGTTGTCTTGATGGCGGTACTGCCGTGGGGACATCTTTCCTGTCTCACTCGGATGCAGGCTTCTTCCGAGCAGCCACCTGGAAGCCAGGTCCCCAGGGTGCAGCCCTTCAGTCACCCTCGGGCTGCCATAGGCTCTAGTGTAACGAGGCCATAACTTACAGTGGAGAAAACACCTCGGGCCGCGCTGTCTGGGGGTAGCCAGTCGAACCCAGAGCTGCTCTGTTTGGAGAGCCGGTGTCCACTTGTCACTGACCAGTGTCACCCGCGGCCTGCTCTTTCCGAGCAGCGTGGAGCGCCCGTGCGGGGCGGGCAGCCCCGACAGCAGCGGGGGCACCTGCGCCGCCCCCGGGGTGTCACTGGGCGCGGGCCCCTGCGGCGCGTCGGCGGGGCTGCGGGCTGCGCCTGCTCCAGCCCGGCTCCCCCCAGGCACAGGCCCGCGCTCTGCGTCGGGGCCTGGAACGGTTGCCAGCGGCAGCGCTCCGGGCCTGCTGGCCTGCGTCCCACGTGGGCCCGTTCCGCCCTCACCTGGACTGACGAAGGTCACGTCAGAGCAAGCCCCCCTGGGGGACAGGCAGGTTCAGGACACTGTGGACACGTCTCTGTGTGAGGAGGTCGCGGGCACCAAAGCTTGACTGGAACTATCAGAGCCTTGAAAAAGAATACGTAGTTTTACTGAAAATTAGAGAAACGTGGGAAATTATTATGGGAGAAAGACCTGCTCTGTTTTCTTTCCCTGGGGACTTCTGGAGGCCAGCGAAGCGGGGTCCCGCCGCCGGGAGCAGCGTCAGCCCACCCCCGACGGTCTCGGAGCTGTGCACCCTCCTCGCGTTCCTGCTGGACGTCATCCCCTTGGTGAGGCCCTTGGCTGTGCAGGCCGGCTCGACGCTCCCTGGGATGATTTTATTCGCGCCCTGGGCCTGTCAGACAGACCTAAGCTCGCGAAGGAATAATGCGACATAAATACACTGCATGGTTTTAATGGTCCTCTCAGCACAGGAGACGTAGCTGGACGTCATGTCCTACGTGTTTCATGTCGTGTTGAAAAGGGGTTACAGTTGTGAGCCAGCTGGAAGTGGGCTGAGCTGACATTACCCGGACCAGGTGGGGGCCGGGCGCCCTCCTGTGCAGCAGCCGTTCAGGAGTGGGGGCAAATGTCCGTCCTCCTTGAAACCCCGTAGTGGGCCAGTTCTCTCAGAGCAAACCCATCTCCTTAAAGTGGAAATACATGTGGTGGTTATTTTCTATTAGAAAGGGTAAAGCCACTTGAAAGGAGAAAACAAAAGTCCAGTGATTTGTCCAGATCAAAAAGAAATACTTTGTTCTCTGACTCAGGAGCTGCCATGAGACCTCCTCATGCTCTGAAGACGCTGGGCTGTCTGAGCGGCCGACGTGAGGGCGCTTTGCCCCGTGACTGTGCACCGCACCACGCTCATCTGTGTCTCTGTTTCACAGGAGCTCTACTCCGAGGTGCAAACCCAGCACCTCCCGCAGGTGCTCGCCTGCCTGGTGCAGCTGCTGGCTGAGGACGCGGAGGCTTTGAGCTTGGCTGAGCTCACGCTCGCCCTGAAGACGTGCTTCAAGGTGCTCAGCAAGGTCCAGATGCCGCCCTCCTACCTGGACGCAGAGCCCCCCAGCGGAAACGTGGTGCGTGCCGGGAGCTGCCGGAACGGTGCTCCAAGCTAAGAGGACTCGTGCCTTCCTGGGGCAGAAAGTAACTGGGGTCGGTTAGGATAGGAGCGAGGACTAGAAGGTACACAGGTGATACCTACAGTACGCGTCTCAGATCTTCACTTTATAAAAGCTTTCAGCAGGGAGGTTGTTAACACGCGCTCGCCTCACCCCGTCCCTGCTTGGTCCCTGCTTGGGCCAGAGCTGCAGCTCTTGGTCAGGTGTGGCCCAGCGACCAGGCCTTTCCGTGTGCTTGTTGGTGTGTGCGTCATCTTCTTTTAAAAACATAAGTGAGATACTAGTGTCTTTGGACGGCAGTAACAGCGTACAACAGACTGAGTGACTTGAATACAGAGTTACTGTCCTCAGGTTGATGTCTCCTGAGGCTGTGCGGGAAGGCTCTGCTCCCGGCTTCCAGCTCTGGTGGTCAGCTGGCTGTCGTGGGCATTCCTTGGCTGGTAGACACGTCACCCCAGTCTCAGCCTCCAGCTTCCCTCGCTTCTGCCCTGTGTGTGCGTGCCTGTGTACCTGTGTTCACATTTCCTCTTTTTGTAAGGACACCAGTCACTGGGTTAGGGCCCCCCGCCCCCCACCACCAAGACTAATTTGATCATCTGCAAGGAACCGCTTTCCAAATAAGGTCATGTTCACAGGTGCCAGAGGTTAGGACCTATTTTTTTTTTTTTTTTTTAAGGGAATGCAATTCAACCAATAACACACACTGATTTGCTTTGCTTAGGGACTTTCTTCCCATATGTGCACGCCCCCAGCTGGGGACCTGGTCTGCAACCCAGGCATGTGCCCTGACTGGTGATCAAACTGGCCTCTTTTCATTTCGCAGGCCGGTGCTTAACCCACTGAGCCATGCCAGTCAGGGCCCACCTCTTCCCTGCTGATGTTACTTACTTGGATGGTTTCTAGTTTCTCCCTCTTACAGACAGTGCGGCAGTCAGCACCCTCGCACAGCTTGTTTGCAGTCGCGAGTGTTTGAGGAGGATTGGTTTCTAGAAATGGATCACAGTCAAACCCATTTCTTTTTAAACTGGGAGAAAGGCCACCAAGTTGTCCTCCAAAAAGACTGACACTGTTCCACAAGCAGTTGGAGGTGCACGGTCTCTGAATTATTTTTATTTTCTACTTGTCTAGGGTTTGGGAAATTCTGCCCTCGGAAGCCGCCAGGCACAGTGGCAGCAGGTGTGTGAACAGACCGAGCAGCCAGGCCTGTGCAAGCCTGTGCCGTGGGCGGGGCTGGGAGGCAGAGGGGCTGCCCGGCAGGAGGGGAGCCTCCGCGCACAGACCAGCAGCAGGTGGCTGCCTCCGTCGCAGTCGCTGCTTGCTCTCCAACAGCTGCCTAGCTATTGAGAAAATTACCCCAAGAATGATTTCAGATATGTGTAGTCCACAAAGTAAAAAGACTAAGTTGCAAACATTACATAATGCTCTTCCATTCTTCCCTAGAAAGCCCCATGGGTTAAATGCTGAGGAATTTAAAACTTAATGTAATACTATCTAAGTAACAGTTTAAGGAGCAGTTGAGTCATTGAAGGTCTATGTGCCATCCCTTTGGAAAAGCCACAGAAATACATACAGCAGGTCTTCGAATAACGTTGTTTTGTTGTAACATTGACAAGACGCCATAGGAACTTAACTCTCATTCATACCAATGAGCCTGTGGTGAAATTGCTTTCTTTGTATGTCATTTCGCTTAAAGTCGCATCACCTATTGATGATGTTTGGTGAGGGCTTACTGTACACATACACTTGTGTGTGTTTTATATAGTGTATATGTGTGTTTAAAAACTTTGTACTAGCTTTCTCCTCTTATTTCTTCATGCCTTGATTTTACCCTTGGCCCCATTTACTTATTTATATTTCAAAATCTCTCAAACTTTTTTTAAACTAACTTTGAGGTTGAAGTTCGTTAGGCGGAGGAGTCTTAAGTCAGCCCAGACCAGCCTACCCGAAGAGTCGCGCATGGTGGCCTGTCCGCCTCCCACTCAGGCTGCCGCCTGTGACCGACTGGGACTACGCACAGGGGTTCTCCTGGCGTAGAGAGAATTACGGTTTAAAAACCAGGAAGTGCGCGTTTACAGTTTGCCACAGTTGGCTGATACGTGAATCTTCTGGTCTTACAAGATGCCCCTTACAAACGTCCATTTTTTTGCAGAGTCCAGGAAAGGGCGACAACAGTGAAGTAATTTTAGACACAACGGCAGTGATCCCGGGTGACGAGGATGCGCCGTTTCCTGCACTGAAATCTGAAGACAGTGGCATCGGGCTCAGCGCATCGTCGCCAGAACTCGCTGAGCACTTGCGGGTCCCCGGGGTCTCTCCCGAAAAAGACGACGTTTGGAAAATGGGCGGGAGTATGCAGAGAACGTTTTTCTGCATCCAGGAACTCATTGCCAACTTTGTGCACAAGAACATCATCGGGGCACAGCCAACGGCATCCGGAGCGGCCAGCAAGGCTGGAGAGCCTGTGGGCCAGCGGGATGAGGGTGGGCCGCATGGCCCAGAGCCCAGCCACCGCGGCCGGAAGAACTCGTGGGAGGCCAGGTCCATCAACATGCCCCAGTTTAAGCAGATGCTCTCAGACTGGTTCACAGTTCGAGGGTCTCCATTTAAGACCAAAAGTGCGGAACTTCTCCAACCTTTGCCCGGCAGCCCTGGCCAAGCGAAGGAGGGAGACTGGGCCATAGACCAGGTGGTCACGAACCTGGGGACCTCCAGGGAGGGCTGCAGAGAGGCTTTTGCCGCTGCCTGCCACCTGCTGCTGGACTGTGCCACCTTCCCCGTCTACTTGTCCGCAGAGGAGACCGAGCGGCTCTGCGACACACTCTTCCAGCTCCCTGGTGAGTGGGCGGCCTGTGAGCGCCGCTGTGGGGACTCACGGTACTTAGGCCGTTGACATCTCCAGAGGTGCTGGGATTGTGGGCCAGGGAGGAGCCCTGCCACGTTTGTGTCCTTGCGTTGTTTCTAATAGTGTTTGCAGGTGGCACGGTGGCGAGGCTGGGTCTCTATTTTTAAATGTTGGGTGTTGGCCCACTGACAGGTCAGGAGTATGAAAGGTGCTTAGTAGTGGTTGGTAAACAGACTCTTTCACGAGACCTGTTGTTCAAGATTTGTGCGTCCGGCGGCCAGGACTGCCGTAAAAAGCAGCGCAAACCGAGCGGTTCCGCGTGTCCCACCCTCTGTGGCCGGCTTCCTTGCAGGAGCCGGCGGCGCCGCCTTCCCGTCCTGGCTGAAGTCCCTCATGGCCGTCGGCTGCTGCGGGGCTGACCTTGAGCTCCAGCATGTGGCCATCTCCACCCTGCTGGAGGTGGTCAGCCACTCCCAGTCCCTGGCGCTGGTCATCGAGGACAAGATGAAACGCTATAAAAGCTCTGGGTACAGCCCATTCTTTGGCAAGCTCCAGATGGTGACGGTGCCGCCCATTGCGCCAGGAGTCCTGAAGGTCATTGCTGAGAAAACAGACTTCTATCAGGTATTGCACCCTGGAGGGGGGTGGGGACCTGGGGTCCTCTCCCCAGACACTTTACTGAGCGCTGTCCCGGAGGCCGTCGTCGACGGGGAGGTGGAGGCTCCGGCGACGTGCAGAGAGGGCCGCTCAGACAAACCTGCCCGGGGCTCTCGCAGGGCTTCCGGCCCTCGAGTGAGTTTTCAGCACCAGCAGTTTAGTTGTAACTTGGGGATGGGAAATCACTTTGCCTTTGGTAAAAATAAATAATGGTCAGGGGCGGCGGCCAGTCAGTGGTTCTCTCGCTCTGTGCATGGAAGTCAGTTCTGTCCCATAGAAACAAATGGGCAGAAAGAAGTAGGGCTTTGCTCTGAGATGTTCCTAAAATGTTGTAGCCCAGGACCCAGATCTCTCTCTCGGCCTTGGAAGGAGGCCTTCAGAAGTCCCCCTCCCGGAAAGGGGGGCCTGCCCTGCTTGGGCGCCTCACGCTGTTGGGTCAGGCGCCCCGCGGGCTCCCCGGGACCCGGGGAGGGTGCAGCTGGCGGCAGGCCCCGTGTGTGAAGGGCTGAGGCGGGCGGGGAAGGTGGGGGCTTGGTCTGGGACACGCCTGTGTCCTGCCAGTGAGCCAGACGGTGGCCACGGCGTTGCCACGGGACTGAGGACAAACAGTTCGCAGAATTGAAGGTGGAAGCCAGTCTAAGCCTCCCCGAGGGGCGAGGTGCTGCAGGACCCACCTCATGACGGGCGACCGCCGCAAACCCGCTTCCCGGGGGCGCGACCCTGGGACCCCAGTGCCAGCGCGTGGTCCAGCTTGGCTTGCGCTTGGCTGGAGGGTGTCGGCCAGTAGGTTCTTGCTTCCGGTCGACTCCTCACGGAAAGCGGAGGTTCCCTGCTGATCCCAAACTCCACGTGGAGCCACATCGGGGCCTGTGCCCATGTGGCTCCTGTTGGCTTCAGGGTTTGGCTTGGGTTTGCTTTGTCCTGTTTGTGGGCAGTGTTTCTCTGTACGTTGAGGATTCTCACAGAGCATAGGTAGGTAGAAGCCAGCACTTGGGACCAGGCCCGGCCTGGGCCGGGGAAGTGGGCGGTGCTGCCCGTGCTGACGCCACGTCCCCTTCGTCCCAGAGGGTGGCTCGGGTGCTGTGGAGCCAGCTGAACGAGGAGACCCGGGAGCATCATGTCACCTGTGTGGAGCTCTTCTACCGGCTGCACTGCCTGGCCCCGACGGCCAGCATCTGCGAGGACATCATCTGCCACGCCCTGCTGGACCCCGACAAGGTGAGTCACTGCAGCCCTGACCGCCCTCCTGAGAGGGTGTCCAGCACTGGGCCAGCCTGTCCCCCTGCCGGCCCGGGGCAGACGTGCCTCCGTCAGGCTGAGGGCGCTCGGGGGCGGTGGACGGCTTGGTTCATGAGCAGCAGTGTCAGAGGCATCAGGACCAGAGGAGCCGGCAGAGCTTCTGGGGCCCCGGGGCAGGGCAGTAGGAGAGGCTGTGTCGGCCCCGTAAGCCCTGGCCGTCCCTTGAAGTCCGGTGCTGTCCTTGTGCTCTGATCTGTGTGACCTTCAGTCCCCAGGGGAGGGCACGAGAGCCCCACCTGTCCTGTGTTTTCCTTCACCCACGGGCCCCCCCTGTGACCACGGGCGGGGCGAGAGCCTCGTCCGGGCTGGGCACTTCACTGACGGTGCGAGGTGTTGAGTGTGGGGAGTCAGGGGGCCTTCCTCCTGCGGGTCAGACCCCGGTGCGGGGACAGGCCCGTCTCTGCGGCACTGCTGTCCTGCTCGGAGCCCTCGCCGGCTTCCAGGTGGGGCGTGATGTGACTGAAGCAGCGCCCCGTCAGGAAACCAAGTCCCTCATGCCCGCCTGTTTCCTAATCAAGGGAACCAGACTGGAGGCTCTGTTTAGGTTTTCCGTTCTCTGGCACCTGACGCGGGAGATCCAAGGCAGTCGAGTGGCATCGCACAACCGCTCCTTCGACAGGTGAGGTCGTCCTCTTTGTTGTCAACCCATAATGCAGGGACACGTCACAGAGCTTCCCAGTCAGCGTGTTGGGCTCAGAGGGAGAGATGTGGGACCTGGACCACGTGGCCTCATATTCTTGATGCGCAGCCAGCGGCCTCCCGATCCCCCAGGTGGACCTGGGCTGGATGCGTGTGGATAAACACGTGGTGGGGCTCATACTGTGGTTAGGGGGCAGGGAACTCCAAATGCCTTCTGTCACCAGGACAGCCCTTAGAGTGTGCCCTACGGGGGTGGGGGATTGTAGGCCCCGGGGACAGCCTAGACCTGGACTGGGGGGTGGCCACCGGGTGTATATGCTTATGAAGTCATCAACCACTCGCTTAAGGTGTGAGTTTATTGCAGGTACCTATAATCCACCTTGTTTTCTAAAAATCTCCTCCTTTGTTTCCAGAGCTCTAGGTGGGGGCCAGAGACACAGCCGAGGTGCCAGCTCCTTGGGACGCCTGGGCCCACCCCAGAGTCCCATTGAACCAGTTGGGGCCGAGGCCTGGGGATCAGGACTTTAAAAGCTCCCCCTCTGGCGTCCCGGCCCACGGGGGCGCTGCTCGCTCACGCCTCTTGCACTTCCCGCCCACAGGTCCCTGTTCGTGGTGCTGGACAGCCTGACCTGCACAGACGGCGCCATCGGCGCAGCAGCGCAGGGCTGGCTGGTGCGGGCGCTGTCCCTGGGCGACGTGGCGCGCATCCTCGAGCCGGTGCTCCTGCTCCTCCTGCAGCCCAAGACCCAGAGGACCTCCATCCACTGCCTCAAGCAGGGGAGCGTGGCGGGTGAGTGCGTGCTGACTGCGGGCCCACTCTGTGTCCCCGGGGTCCCCGGGCCCGGAGGGAGGAACAGGCGGCGAGGACCCAGCCTTCTGTCATGACAGTTAAGGCGCTTTGGTGATTTTGCTGGATTCCTGCGGTGTGAAGGTGCTTTGTGAACTTGCAGGGACTTGTAAAATTTAAGGATCAGGTGAACCAACACTTAGAAATGCTAAGTAGTGGGTTTGATTTCACACACACAAAAAAATATATATTAGAATTTAAAAAATAAGATGCAAAAACTTTAGTCATTCGTCTTCCAGTAGAAAGTAGCTGCCTCCTGATTCTTCTCCTAGAGAAAGCAGTTCAGAGCACGTCTGGTGGGAGGCGAGAAGAGCAGGCTGCCCCCAAGGCCTCCGAAGCCAGCGCCTTCACCGGAGCGGGGCCTTCCCAGCTGAGGGCCGGCGAGGCGTTAAGTCTGGTCGGCCAGGCCAGCATGTCTCCCCAGGTCTCCGCCCAGACCTGGGGACAGGGTTCACATAGAAACGATCAAGTGTCCAAATATGTATGGCTTCTTCTCTCTCTGCTGATTAAGGTTCTTTCCAGCTAGAAAATTCTGTTAACATATGGTCAGAAATGCAGAAGACATAGGCCTTTGGGTTCAGAGACTTTCCAGAGGCACTTCAACACAGATGAAAGGATATAGGGAGTAAGAAAAGAGACTAAAAGCAACCTGGTGCATCCAGAGCGCGGCTTGGTGTCCCCCACCGCTTGCGGACACTGTTGCCCCCTCAGAGGGGCCGGTCGTTTTTCTGAGCCGTGGCTCCACGGGCTCTGAGTTCGTTTGCCCAGCTCGCCGGGCTGTAAATGTTCTGTTTGTCTCAGTCTCATCCTGAGAGACAAGCAGCCTGGCACCCTCACTAAATAAGCGAGGGCTTCCAAGAGGGCGCCCTCTGTCTACGCCGTCCTCGCCTGACGCCGTAGCTCCCGGTCGTCCGTGGGGAGGGCTAGCGGCCGCCCTCTCCAAGAGGCGGCCTCACACTGTCCCATCACAGCACCGTGCAACTCAGACTCGGGAGCAAACTGAGCACCTTCAGGAGAGTTTGTCCGGAGGATGACAGATACCACACGAGCTCCCTGATAGGTGGACTTTAATGAACAAAATAAACTAACGAACAAACCAGAGCAGAGGCCTGGATACGTGGAACAGACTGACAGCTGTCAGAGGGGAGGGGTGGGGGGACTGGATGAAGGGATTAAGCAAAGGTCACACGGGCAGGGCTGACTGCTTGGATGTGTTTTAAAACCGTGTTTGCTTTGCTTATCTACATTTTCTCCACCGTGTCTAGTCTAGACTCTGGTGGCGTAGTTCCATGGGGGAATTTTATTCCCACTGATCTTTCTGTCTGGCTTGAAAAGGAAGATCACTCAGGAACTAACGTACCATAGCTCACCCTTCTGCTCTGACGTCGTTTCTTATTTTGTAATTTTCAGAGGACTTGCACCGTTGGTTTAACAGGAAGAACTCTTTCAAAGAGGCGTGCGGGGCAGCTGAGCCCCAGGAAGGCAGCCCCGAGGACAGCGTGCCCCTGAGCCAGTTTACCACCGTGGACCGCGAGGCCATCTGGGCCGAGGTGGAGAGGGAGCCCGAGGCGCGCCCGCCAGGAACCCTGCTGGGGGAGGATGGCCTTCCCGACGATGCGGACCTGCTGGACGGGCCAGCCCGTGACGCCCCCGACAGCAGCGAGCACACCGAGTCTGCAGACACGAGCTCTGGCCACACGGACAGCGAGAACACGTCCTCTTTGTCCTCCCCTTCCCATGACCCGCAGGAGCTGAGCAACGGCGAGGGCTGCTGCGCGCCCATCCCCGCGGGCAGCCGGGCACCCCCCGGGCGCTCGGCCTTGCTGGCGGCCTTCCAGGCGGACAGCTTCAAGTCCAGCGCCAAGTTAAGCCTGGTGCGCGTGGACTCGGACAAGACGCAGGCGTCGGAGTCGCTCTCCAGCGACGACGAGGCCGACGTAGAGCTCCAGGCCCTCACCACATCCAGGCTTCTGAAGCAGCAGCAGGAGCGGCGGGAGACACTCGGGGCCTTGTTCAAGCACATCCTGCTCTACCTGCAGCCTTACGACTCCCGGCGCGTCCTCTACGCCTTCTCGGTGCTGGAGGCCGTGCTCAAGGCCAACCCCAAGGAGTTCGTTGAGGCCGTGTCCAGGACCAGCATGGACACCAGCTCCACCGCGCACCTCAACCTCATCTCCAACCTCCTGGCGCGGCACCAGGAGGCCCTCGTGGGCCAGAGCTTCTACGGAAAACTCCAGACCCCGTCCCCCAACGTGTGCCCCCACTCCCTGCTGATCGAGCTCCTCACCTACCTGTGCCTGAGCTTCCTGCGCAGCTACTACCCTTGCTACCTAAAGGTCTCCCACCGAGACCTGCTGGGCAACCGGGACGTCCAGGTCAAAAGCGTGGAGGTCCTGATAAGAATCATGACGCAGCTGGTCTCGGTGGCCAAGTCTGCCGAAGGGAAGAACATGGAGTCCATCCGCAGCCTGCTGCAGAGGTGCAGGGTGCAGGAGTTCGTCCTGCTCTCCCTGTCGGCATCCATGCACACAAGCCAGAAGCGCTATGGCCTGGCCACCACGGAGCACGGCCGGGCCCCACAGGAAGACAGCCTCTTTGAGGAGAGTCTCATCAACTTGGGCCAGGACCCAACCTGGAGCGAGCACCCCCTGCAGATCGAGCTGTTGAAGCTCCTGCAGGTGCTTGTCGTCTTGGAGCATCACCTGGGCCAGGTCCCCGAGGAGGCCGAGAACCAGCCAGACCTGTCCCGGGAGTGGCGGCGGGCCGTGAGCTTCCAGCAGGCCATCAGTGCCCTGCAGTATGTGCAGCCCCACCCCCTGACCTCGCAGGGCCTGCTGGTGGCTGCCGTGGTGCGAGGGCTGCAGCCGGCCTACGGCTACGGCATGCACCCGGCCTGGGTGAGCCTGGTCACGCACTCCTTGCCATACTTCGGCAAGTCCCTGGGCTGGACGGTGACACCCTTCGTTGTCCAGATTTGCAAGAACTTGGATGAGCTGGTCAAACAGTATGAGAGTGAAACTGTGAAGCCCTCTGTCAGGTACGGCGGTCCCTTCACATGTTATTACTACTATTGTTTTAATGGTGGTGTTTGTGAGGAACAGCGGATTGGCTGTAGAACCCAGATGGAGGAGATTTTAACTGATTCGGAAGCCTCTTTAGCATTGTCGGGGGGTGACAAAGAACGGGATGTCCAGCTCCTTGGTTTCTAACCTTACACAGCTCCCCAGGCCGGCTCAGAGTTGCAGGACGAGTCCGTCCCTCTGTTATTTTTGTAAATCAGAAATAAAAACACGACTCACCTGCACAGAAATTCTAAAACATCTAAAAACGTTTTTCCAAAGTGACTGCGTGACAACAAAATACCACAAAAGTTATTAAAAATGCCTACCAATATTGGAACAACATTTCATTGTGAGAGCCCCAGTTTCCTTAAGACAGTGCCATCTCTCTGGTTCCTGTGTGTGTCTGTAGGATTTAAAGTCTTTATAGCCTTACTCTTTAAAGTTCTTAAAGTCACTTTCTCATTTCTTCGCCAAAGCATAACCTCCAAGAGGGAAAACATTTCTCCGGATTATCCGCTCACTCTTTTGGAAGGGCTGACAACCATTAGTCATTTTTGTCTTTTGGAACAAACCAACCAAAATAAAAAGGTAAATTTTTTTTCTGAGTTGGGGTAATTTTTATAATACTGTTTTGTCTTTATTGAGTTAGGACTGTTTGAAATAAGACGCGTTTGCATGTGAGTGATACAAATGTGCATGCAAATCTATGCATGGAAATAATCAAGCCTTATGCAAACACATGCAAATATAAGTCATGCAGGTGTAGTTTTGTCCTTCCGTCCTAGCCCGTTATTTCATCAGTAAAGCCATTTGGGATAAAATGTAAAGCCACTTGTTTGATTTTTGGCTTATATGTGTTTTTTCCCCACGTGTTTTTCCCTGTTCTCGTGGCGTTCATGAAATCCGCGCTGGGAGACGTTGGTGCTGTTAGCTGCCCTACCTGATCCAGCGTTAATTTTGTGGGTGCAGCTCAGGCTTCGGCAGAATGGCTGGGAAGAGTCTGTAGTGTGGCCTCTCGGCTCTCAGATGCCCGCTGTGAAGGAAGGCCCCAGTTCCAAGGCACAGGGTTAAGGTTAGGGTTGGGGTCCCACTTGTAAGCCAGCACATGCAGGGCTTGCTGAGAAGAGGCCGCAGCTCCGGCGTCCCCAGCCAGCGCAGCCGCAGTTGCTGCAGGGAGGGAAGTGCCGCCTCAGGTGTGGCCGAGTCTCACGTGTCCACGTTCCTTTCAGACCACAGCTGGGAGCGATCCCGCCGATCTGAAGAACGCCAGGAACGCCATCCTGGAGGAGCTGCCTCGAGTCGTTAACACCATGGCCCTTCTCTGGAATGTTCTCAGAAAGGAGACGCAGAAGAGACCCCTGGATCTCTTTGGAGCCATGAAGGGGTCCTCTTCTGTTTACTTTAAAACCACCAAGGTGAGCGGTCTTCCTCTGGGGCTTTATTATTTTCTTCATCTTGTATTGTCCCACCAAAAATAAACACGTACGGGAATGCATACAGGAACCATCAAACGTGTGCTCAGCAGAACCCAAGTCAGAAACAAGTCAGAAGTAGACACCTCCAGTTTGTTCGTTATGAGTAATTTTTCTGTTCATGGAACAGAGGCTTTGTCAGTGGTTTTCAGCCTATTTTATTTCTCCTTTGCCTTTTTATCTTTTTAAACTAAAGATAAAGTCTCTGGTTTTGGAGTGGGGTTCCTAACGTGCTCACCTGTTTCTCACAAACTCATCTACAACGACAGCTCACCTACCTTGGACACGTGGGCACATCAGGGCGAAATGTTGGCGTGTCTTGGAGGTTTTTTGTTTTATTCAGTTGTTGTTATTGTTAAACCAGAAACAGACACAGAGAACATGGCTGGTTCTCGCCCCTTTGGTTGCAAGTCTCTGCCTCGGAAGTACCCAGGCAGGTGGCCCCTGCCCACCGAGCACCTGGTGCCAGGCCGGTTCAGAGCACAGGGAGCCCGTCTGCCCGGCTCAGAGCACCCTGGGGCCTCGGGCGGGTCCCCTAAACCCCCTGCGTTGCCTCAGGTAGGAGCACGATGCCAGGCGGTGTCCAAAGACACCCTCGGTTTATTAGCACGCTCAGCTCTCCCCCGTGAGCTGAGTGCTGTCGTCATTCCCCGGCACGGGTGAGGGCGCTGGGGTGCAGAGAGTGAGCACATCTGCTAAGCAGCGGCAGTGGGGTTAGACCCAGGCAGCCTGACGCCCAAGTCAGATGCTGCGATACATTGGCCTCCAGAACGTTCTGTCAGTTCCAGGGGTGCCCTCCATGGGAAATCTGTATTTCAGGCTGTTGCAGGAACATGCTTAAAGCCCAGGTCTTCTCTAAAAAGAGAAAAGTTTAAGAAAACCTTTAGGCATTTTCTCTCTCTGAGCCTTAGTTTTCTCATCTGTAAAATGGGTATGTTATTAGCACCTTACCTCAAGGTCTGATGGAAAGATTCAGTCTGATGGTGGCTAATGTTTGTCGAGCACTTAACTCAGAGCCCTCCCTGAAGGGCCAGGGCCTTGGACAAGGACCCCGGTAGTCTCACTAGAGCAGAAGCTATGTCCGAATGGAGGGGACATCTCTGTCCCACGCTCAGTGGTACCTAATGTGACATTAACCCCAGGCACTGGGGACACAGTGTTCAGCACACCCACGCACTTAATGAACACCTGTGCACCTGCTGCTGTACCGGGCCTCGATTATCTGCCGGGACAGAAGAAGTCCCTGTCCCTATGGTGGTCACGGACGTTAACCGGCAAGTAAAAAATAACGATGATCGTGGCACAGAGAAGTGCAGGCTGCTCGACAGTGTGCAGCCACGGAGCTGGGCCGGGCCCGTGCCCATGAAGCCGGTCTGAGGCCGGGCAGAGCTGAGCAGACCCAGGCTGGGAGGACGTGGCTGGGGAGGGGCGCTGGTGGCTGGAGGCCCGCCGGGTTTGCGGGAGAAGGGGGCGGCAGTTCGGGCTCTGGGGAAGACCCAGGCGTCGCGACTAGGAGAGTGGGCAGCGACACCCCCGGCGTGTCGTGGGTCCAGTTTAAGTCAACTAAATAACAGTTTGTTAAAGGGTCCTTGTTTGCAGAAATTGAAAAGCATCTTTCCTAATGAGTTTAAGGCCTTCCTGGGCTGATGGAGACAAACGGACCGGGGAGGTCAGACAGGGACCGTGCCCACCCTGCTGCCTGGTCTCCTCGTCTCGCAGAGCAAGATGTGGGGTGGCCTTCTTCGGGCCCTGGCCCAGCCCACTGCCGCTCTGGGGCAGCGTCCTCACCCCCTAGCCGCCCGCCTGTCTGCCCAGTCCACCCACCGAGCATCTCAAGTGCCCCACATCCAGGGCCTCCAGGAGGAGCCCCTCCCCCAGCCAGCGCGGCCCTGCTCCAGGGTTTGCCAGCTGTGAGGGGCGAGTGTCAGGGACGCCAGGCACCGCTCTGCCACAACTGTCTTTTTCTTTCCCCATTTTTCAGACCATACGACAAAAAATTTTAGACTTCCTGAACCCCCTGGCGGCCCATCTTGGAGTTCAGCTAATAGCCGCTGTCGCGGCAGTGTGGAGCAGGAAGAAGGCTAAACGTCACAGCAAGACCAAGGTGAACATAAACAACTAATAGCAGCTCACCTCACCCTGACAGAAATATCAAAGGGCCGTGAGCAATCACAGGTGACGTCAGAGGCCATGGGCAAGTGGGGAGGCCATGTCACCGTTTTAAATGCACGCGTTGATGCCGCCGAGTCTCAGGACACCTAGATCTGTGTGTGGGGTGGGTAGGGAGGAGCCCGCCCCTCTCGTTTCCGCCCTCTCTGAAACGAGTGCCTAGTGCTTCTGTTAGCGTTTGAGTCTAATGTCCTGCGGCACGCGCGCAGCAACAGGTGCGACGTGTACGTTCGGGGACTAACACACCACCACACACCCACCACCTCGCTCAAGGAGTGGCTCATCGTCCTGCCTGGGAAGGCCCCTGCGGTACCTGGTTGTGGTACCGTCCTACAGCTTCTTTTAAAATGACTTTATATTGTTAGTGCAGTTTCAGGTTCACAGCAAAACGAGAGGAAGGAACAGAGAGTCCGTAGATCCCTCACCACACGCACGGCCTCCCGCACTGTCAGTACCCTCCGCTGATACGTCGTCATCGCTCTGAGTCCACAGTTCGTGTTAGGCTCTTTCAACTCGTAAAAAGAGTAGTTGTCCGGGATGGTAGGGACGATTTAGATGGTCACATTCCTGGGCCTGAGCTGGAGTTGGCATTTTGTCCTTTCTCCGTCCGCGGACTGGTCCATCACCAGAGCCTCCAGGGGCTCAGTTGTGCGCCTGTTTCTGCAGAACCAACGTCCCATCCCCTTGCTCCCTCTCCCGACCACCCGAGTTTCTCCTCATGCCTCCCTCGGAGGGTCTTTCCCGCCCCCCGGGCGCTGTCTCAGCGCCCAACACGGGCTCCTGTCCCTGGGGAGGCGTGAGGGCTGGTGGCCCGGGCCACACTGCTCTGCCCCTGTGCCGTCCCTCCCGGCGGAGGGGCCTGATGCTCCACGTGCTCGTGACCGCGTCAGGCAGACTTCCGTCAGGCAGACTTCCATCCTCAAAATGTACCTCCCACACCAGGGCTCCCTGCCAGGCCGGCTCCTGTGAACCGGATCTGTCAGTCTGTCTTCCTGTCCTCGGCTCTTGGGGCCGCGTCTCGATGCCAGCCTGGTTCCTCCAAACTCAGCGCATCTGTTTTCTAAAACACTTTCCGAGCTTCAGCATGCCAGTTCTAGTGCTCTGCCATCAGATGCCCCTTTGGCCCTGATTTGTATCAGATACAGATGCTTAATGTGGTTAAATACTGAACTCTTTGTTCCCGGTAGAGTCTTTACCCAGCTTTTATTTGCATATTTAAAAGACTAAAACAGACCTCTTTCTTCGGGGGTAGGTAGCCCTTACAGAATTCTTTAGGCGCACCGTCCTCACTTCAGTTTCTCTCTTTGGTTTGTTTCTCGGCAGATAGTCCCGGTGGCGAGCGCATCCCAGCTGACCCTCATTGACCTGGTTTGTGCGCTCAGCGCCCTGCAGACAGACACGGTGCTGCACCTGGTGAAGGAGGTGGTGAAGAGGCCGCCGCAGATCCGGGGGGACCAGGTCAGCAGCCTGGGGAGCCCCTGACGAACGTGGGCCATTCCCGTAACTCCATGTCCTATGACTCATGTTCGGGAGGGAAACAGGTTGCAAGGACAACTAGGGCTTTAGGGTGGAAAACGGAGGTGCCCTGAGGGGGCTTTGGAGAGAGGGCGTGAAATGTGCCCGCAGGCTGCGGTGAGCCTGCGTGAGGCAGGGCCTCCTTGCCGTCGGACCGTCTTTTGTCCTCGGCTCCGGGCTTCAGAGTGCACGCCCAGGACTGGGTTCCCATCCAAGCTCCTTTGGGGGTGGGGAGGGCAGGCAGAACGGTACCTTTACAAGGAGGAAGTGGCTCTTGCTTCAGGGGACTTGCAGCCTAAAATGCATCGGAGACAAAGCCAGACACTAGGCGAAGGGGGGTAAAGACCGATTTTATTCAGTAACCGCTGTGGGGGGGGGGGGAGGGAGCTGGGCTCCATTCTGATTTGTGCAGACAGAGGGGGTGGAGGGTGGGGGACCGGGCAGGGGCTCCAGCAAACTGGGAGGGGGGGCCGGACGGTGTGGCGAGGCCTCCGGGTTTGCGGGGGCACCTGCGGAAGAGAGGCTGCTGCGCTCCCACAAGGCGGGGGCGAGCGTGTCCTGTGTTTCTTGATGAGAATTCTAAGGTCGCTGAGAAAGGCATCCCTGGGTTGTAGGGATGCACACACATCCCAGAGAGACAGAGGGAGGATTTATAACTTTTCTTAACAAAGTCTCTAAGAAAGGGAGGTGGGAGGCCTCCGGGGTTGGCGGAAGGAGCTGCCAGTTGGTTGTCTGGCGCCTCAGGCTTTCTCAGGCAGGCCTGCGGAGGGGCTGCTGGGGCGTCCTCCTGGGGACAGGCCCTGGGCGGCTGGAGGGCATCGTGGCGGTGGCGCTCATGGCTCTCCGGGCCGGGGGAGGACAGAGTCGTCTGTGCTGAAGGGTCCCGTCCCTCCCGGCCAGGGCTGAGGCCCACTCGGGCCTGGGGGAGTCTGAGGAGAGTTTGGTCTGTTTTGTTCTTAATTAATTAATTTGATAAAAAGTAGGGATTTATTTGGACCTTGAAATAATTGCCTTCTGTCAAGTTATTTAAAATTACACAGTTAGGAAAAAATTTAAGAAAAATTCCCCAAATGAAAATGAGGGGATAGAAAAAGTGATTATTAAAGTATGTTGCTCAGATAGATACTTGTACACCAGTGTTCATAACAACACTTCACAAGAGCAGAAGGTAGAAAGAACCCAAGTGTCCATCAATAGGCGAATCAACAAAATGTACATTAGTACAGTGGGCTGTTACTCAGCCTGAGAAGGGAGGGCGGTTCTGACTCACTGCCACCTGGAGGAACCTGGAAAACACCGTGGTGAGTGAAGTAAGGTGGCCCCAGGACACATACTGTACGAATCCACTTCCAAGGTCCCTAGGACAGGCAGTTCCTGGAGACAGGAGAGCGGTGAGCACCCGCGGCTGGGGGAGGGGCGTTTGTGTCTGATGGGGTCACAGTTTCAGCTGAGGAAGAAGAAGCCGTTCTAGAGCTGGATGCTGGCAGTGGTGGCCCCCAATGTGAACATGCTCAGTGCCACCGAACTGTGCGCTTGAAGATGGTTAAGATGGTCAATCTTGTCTATTTACCATCATAAACATTTTTATAAGAAAAAAGGGAATACTGTCTTTAGATGTTAAGGCCACGCACTCAGTGGTCAGCAGAAGTGGAACCAGGAAGGAGGAATGTGAGAGCTGACGCAGCGTCATGCTCTCCGGCAGGGTCAGCGGGTACGGCTCTGCCCGCCTCGGAGCAGGGCTCTGCCTTTGAGGCCTCCCCTCTGAAAGGGCCTCTCGCCCACGGCCCAGGGGAGCCTCCGTGGAAACGTCCACGCTGGTGTCTGGGCTTGTCACCTGTCAGTGACACACGGGCCCAGGGACCCTCATTCGCCTTGTCTATGAGTCAGCCCAGGGCGTCAGTGAACCGCGCCGGCGTCCACCAGCCTGTGTTCTGGCCGGGGGAGGAGGAGGAGCCTGCCTAGGAGCTGACGCTGTGAGGCCAGGGTAGGCAACCAGCGAAGTGCTTACAGAATCCAGGGGGAGTGAGCATAGCAACCTCCACCGTGTCCCAGAGATTGGCCCCAGCTCTCCCACGAGGGTCTGCTGGTCTTGTTGCCCCTCAGAAACGTGAAAGTAACTTGACTCTGGGGGAGCAGAGCAGGGTGGGACGGGCCGTCAGATCCCGCGTGGACTCCCTGGTGACTCGGAACGAGGGTCAGGCCAGGAGGAGGCTGACCTTGCACCCTGGTGGGCTGCCCCTGGGAAGCACCTCACGGGACGAGTGGCCTCCAGCAGGTTCCCCGGCAGCCTCTGTACAGGCGGAGCAAGCACCTGTGGGTTTTGTCCCCTCCCGTGACTTGAATTTCTGCAAACACCTGCATCTTAACACTTCCAGGCTAAAAATGACTAGATCTTATCTAGGTTTTTGGCTATTCAAATAAAATTACATTTCATGGTTAGTTCAGCCAATTAGCTCCACTTCTGTAATTTCTACAAATAGCTGTTTACAAGCAAGGAGGAAACCAATGTTTAAGTAGTTCCAGCCACTAGAGATTTGGGAAAGTTGCCGGGGCTGAGTTGGAGGGAGTTGATTGAGCTGAGTCAGTCGTTGAACCGCCTGCTGTCTCCAGCTAGTGGTGGGTGTTCCGCAGGGTCAGCGCCGGCCCCCTGCTGTTTGGGCAGTTCCATTACAATGCCAGGCTCTCCCTGAGTACCACCTGGGAAGGCCTGACTGGAAGGCAGGTGAACACAAAGGGAGTCTCTGGAAGTCTGATATGAGGGGCACTAAGGATTAGGGACCTCCCGGATGTGTTGATTTTTGTTCCACGTGGGGAATACTTTCAAGTTTGTTGTTGTATTCGAAAGGCTCTCTGGCTGAAAACCTTTGCTTTGTCAAGCTGTGGAATCTGCTTCCCTTTGTATTTGAATTCTTGTTTAGCCTCATTTCCTACCAGCTTGGCATAACGGGTTCTGCTTAAATCTCCAGAAGCTGCCGCTCGTGGATATCCCTGTGCTGCAGTTCTGCTCTGTTTTCATCCAGAGGTAAGGCAACCCCCAACCCGTTTCTCAATTGTAGACGCTATTGCCGTGATAACAAATAGTAACCCCAGTTCTCTTCTTGATGGCTGGCGAGCCCGAGTTCAGAAAAATGTCTCAGTGGCGTCCTGATCGCACCCCGAGGTGTGGGAGTGCCCTCGTGGTCTCCTCTGTCCTTCTCCAGAGATCTAACCTGACGTTTTAAAATCCACGTGCTGTCTGCTGGACACTCTGTGTCAGCAAAGCTTTATGTGAGGCCCGTGAATGTTCAAAGGAACAGCTTGCAATACATTGATACCAAAAAAAGTGTCCAAGGCCCAAGACCCCTTTTGGGAAAAGGAGAAATGGTTGTGTTTGGGACTTTCCCGTGTGCCCTGGCGGCTGGCTTCCAAGGCCCAAGACCCCTTTTGGGAAAAGGAGAAATGGTTGTGTTCGGGGCTTTCCCGTGTTCCCTGGCGGCTGGCTTCCAAGGCCCAAGACCCCTTTTGGGAAAAGGAGAAATTGTTGTGTTCGGGGCTTTCCCGTGTTCCCTGGCGGCTGGCTTCCAAGGCCCAAGACCCCTTTTGGGAAAAGGAGAAATGGTTGTGTTCGGGGCTTTCCCGTGTTCCCTGGCGGCTGGCTTCCGCCCATGTGCACGGAGCTTCCTCTCCTCGCTCAGTGGGTTCCCCAGGCCTCTGTCCAGGGCGGAAGGGCATCCTCACGGTGCCTCGTTCCCATCTTACCATGGCCCCTCCCCTGGGCAGGCGTCCTGGGCCGCAGCGGTGAGGGCGATGTGGGTACAGGCCCCTTCCCAAGGACGCCGGCACTCTCTCGTATCTGTCAGGCGGTTCGCCCCTGTTAAATGCGACAGTTTAAGTGAACCCTCAGCACAGTTCCTGTTCCACGGTCCCCCCACTCATGACATTCACGGGGCAGGGGTAGGTAAGTCAAGGCCCACGGTCCTTGGAGTCCCTACTCTGGGGCTGAGCTCAGACCAGCTCCGGGCCATCCGCCCACAGCCTCTTCGTGGTTCTTTCCTCCTGGAGTTAGTGAGCTGGTCACGGCCCGTAATGGCTCACATGGTGACAACAGCAACATCTGTTGTGGTGGCCTCGGTGACGGCAGCGGCACGTTCCCAGCAGCTCCAGGTTAGGTTTCGTCACCCTCCTGCAGAGGGGGAACTGCCGAGGTTGCCCGGCAGGAAGTCGGGACCAGGACTTGGGCCTGGGGCCCCGGGCTGTGGCTGTACGATGTGGCCTTGCTTCGCGGCAGTGGCCCCGAGGCTTCCTCCCGCCCCACAGGGAGGCCTGCCCTGAGGGCTACTGGACACCAGCTGCCGGCAGGTGACCCTGACCAGTCGCTGCGCCACCTTCCAGTGGGCGACAGGGTCCCCAGCGTTGTTGGAGAAGCCATGTGTAGGCCTGGACAGGCCCAGACGGTCAAAGACGGGCCACTGGGGTAAGACCGTTATTTTTATGGAGGAGCAGACCAGGAGCATCTGGCCGTCGGCCACGGGATTTCAGGTCACCAAACGCCAAGTGCTTGCCAGGAAAACAAAATTCAGCTTGTGTCAATTATCATTGGAAAAAACAAACAAACATCAGTCAGATTTGCCATGTCCCCCGGTTTTTCAGCCGTCTCAGCCTGACGTCTGCTCACCAGCAAACGCCTTGATCTGACCTCATGGTTGGGTATTTTTCCTGTTTTTGGAACTAGGCTCCCAGTAACAGCCCTGCAAGAGAACTTCCCCTCGCTGCTGGGCGTGCTGAAGGAGTCCGTGCAGCTGAACCTGGCTCCCCCCGGATACTTCCTGCTCCTCAGGTAGCTTGTCCCGGCCTCCCGCCGCCGCGTCCTCTGCTGGGGTCCTTCCTTTCTGCAACGTTCCTGCTCTGAGGCTGATTGTCTCTCAACAGCATGCTGAACGACTTTGTGGCGCGAACTCCCAACCTGGAAAGCAAAAAGGATCAGAAGGACCTGCAGGTCTGTGTGTGGAGAGAGCAGCAGGTTTTTCCCACCCATGCTGTCCCTCGGCGCGTCCCTCCGCAGTGGGCGGAGTCAGCCTTTGGGCTGCGTTCGTCCTCAGGTCTCACTGCCTCCGTTTCTGTCTCCAGGGGGCTTTTGTTCCGCCAGTGAAGGCGCATTCAGCCTGAGCCCCTGCGGAGGCTCTCTGTCTCCGCCCTTGTGGCTGTAGGAGGAACTGACTGTAAGCTGAGGGTGGGGAGAAACATTTCCCTACGTGGATTCTTTCCTTCCCCCACCGCCCGCCCCTTGATAAAAGCAATACATTCTCATAGGAAATTTCAAAACTACTGAGCACGAAAGTAAAACAACCTAGAGGAGAAGGAAAGTCTCATCTTTAGAGTGGCAAGCAACTCTAAACAGATGTAATGACAGAGTTAGAAACCCGTTTTACAGCCGTTGTGATCACGGACCGAAGGATTTTTTGGGTCGGAGGCTGTGCTGTGAGCTGGGGTGTGAGTTTCAGGGCTTTGGCAATACTACGCCGGTCGCTGGGGTCTGTGGCTTCTGTGAGGGTCTGTCCCAGTCCCAGTGTGGAGGCACTGCCGCGGAAGGCACCGTGAAGCAGCGTCAGGAAGCGCAGGCGACTCCTGTGGCCTCGGCCTGGAGAGAAGCAGCATCACCAGCGTGAGGTGCACACCCGCTGCAGGCAGCAGCTGCCTAGACGCACCTCTGCCTCGCAGGCTCTTTGCCTGTAGCAGCCCTGCCTCCTCCAGAGCTTCGGCCCGGGCGCACCCTCCTTGCTACCGGCAGGCAGACAGGCGTGCTCTCCCTTCACGCCCAGACACAGCTGCCTGGCTCACCGTGGAGTCGGGTCGTTCAGTTCTCAGGTATCAGGGACCTCCAGCCACTCTTAGCTGGCGATGCTTGGGGACACGGGCCTGAGAAGCCTGCCAGTGTTCCCGTCTCTTTGTCCCCGCTCGGTGAGCAAGTCCGTCACTGCCTGTACTCCTGACCTGGGTGACCCCTCCCTTCACCTCCATCTAGTCCAGGGAGTTTTGTTTTTTTTTTTTAATTGCTGGAAGGTTCGTTTCTAGCAAGAACTCAGGATTCTAAAGAAACCAGAGAAGTAGTCTGCTAGATGCGCTGTGCAGCTCTGACATCCAGTGTTTACTCTTATCTCCGTCGGCCAAAGCCATAATCACTCGCCACATGTGGCTCCCGAGCCCCCGAAATGTGGCTCTTCGGAGTTGATTGTGCCGAAGGGTAAAATGCACATCAAAGACAGTACCAAAAACACAATGCAAAATGTCATTAGTAATTTCTGTACTGATCACAGGTTGGTGCTATTTTGGATATATTGGGTTCAACATTACCGACTTGTTTCTTTCTGCCACTTTTTACCGTGGTCCTGGGAAATTGGATGCTGTCCCCATGGCTCACAGCTGCGGCTTGCATTGCGTTTTTGTCGGCTGGTCCTCTCCCAGGGACTTAAAATTCTTTTTCTTAATGAACTTCTTTTCCTCTTCCTCCCAACTCCTCTCAGGAAGTCACTCAAAAAATCCTGGAAGCCGTGGCGAACATCGCTGGCTCATCCTTGGAGCAGACCAGCTGGCTGAGCAGGAACCTGGAGGTGAAGGCGCAGCCTCAGGTCTCTCTGGACGAATCGGATGCCGAGGACGATTTGTGCGGTAGGTGTCAAACGGCCAGGAAGTACGCCTGCCACCGGCCGGTGGGGCTGGTTTCTCCTGGAATGTGAACTCCGTTTTCACTCGTCACAGCGTGAGTCGTGTGAGTGATAAACAGCAGGAGGCCACTAACAGTGTCATGAGTGGTGCGCTGCCATGTGCTGCCATGTTAATCCCTCACGGCGCCCAGATGGGGGTCTGTGGGAGGAACACCCCAGGACGGTTTGCATGGACTTGGTGATAGACATGCACATGGGATAAAAATACACACGTACAGGAGAAGGTATGTTTTCCGCTATGGTACTGTGAAAAGAAACAGTGAACCAGCAAACAGTTGTCAGGCTGATTACACTGTGCCTTTCGTTTCTGGCTTGTGTTTCATCGTTGCCCGGAAAGTGAAGATGCTACAAGGGCGGCCACCTACACAGGCACAGCCCGGCCCTGCTACTAGGTAAAGCTGCCTTGGAGCACGGTCGGGAGACCCACAGGGGCCGCTGACCAGCGGGCACTGTGCCCCTGAAGAGCCTGAATTGAGCGCAGGGGTGTGGATTGTCAGTTGCCAGCGCCCCAAAGACCACCAGAGAAGCCTGTCCATAGGCCGGTCCCAGGCTGTTGGGCCTGCAGCGAGGGAGCAGCTTGGCCGTCACAGGGGGTCTCAGCAGCGGGATCTGGGGGGAGGGTGGCAGTGAAACCGGGGGGCGACTGAGTCCGGTGCTCGTGCGGCCACCACCACTCAGCCCCAAAGCAGAGGCAGGGACTGGGTTGCAACTGCTCCTCTACAACTGTCGGGGGCCCGTGGGCGGGGGCGCGGGTGTTTAAAGCCCCTGACGTCACCTTCCCTTGGGCTTCAGAAGCAGGTGTATACAGAGTAAGGTGGGATTCGGGGGGCGGGATTCCAGGGGGAGCGCAGACGCGCAGGCGGCCTGCTCCTCTCAGGAGGGGGAGCTGACGGCGTCACCAGCTTCTTCCCGAGCTGGCGCCCTTTGTCCTGTGTTACCTGTCCCTTGGCCGCTGGCGTTGGCCTTCCTCTCTTCCCCGACACCTGTGGTTTGTGGCCAGGGAGGTTGTGTGTTCTCTGGTCAGAGAGGAGAGGGAGAAGTTTTTCCCTCTCAAGTGTCCTTGGTTGGGGGAGATACAGTCACCAGCCGGCTGTAAATTGCTCCAGCTGTTTGGCCTTGTTTAATGTTCTTGTCTCAGTTTGTTTCTAGTCTCCGTTTCCCCATTCCACTTGCCCAAGAGCTTTCCTTGCTTCTTCCTCTCCTGCCTCAGGAGGGCCTTGGCTGAGTTGGTGGCAGACTTCAGTGTGAGGACTGGTTGGGGTTGGGCAAAGTGACTGGTAAGGTGCCTTTGGATTGGCGGGCACGGCGCATGGCGAGAGGTCGCAGTGGATCTTGGTGAACACGTCACTCATCTTGATATGTAAACTGTTTTAGTTGGTTTACAGTTTTTCTTTCAGGATTAAGTATATCTTAGAGCATGTAATTATCTTTACGAGTTCTCAGTATTTAACACAGGGACTGGAAAGTATGTCCAGTCCTGATATTGCTTAACACCAAACGAGAAAAATCAGTTTGGTCTCAGTTTTATTTACATAGAGCAAAAAAGGAAATACACTCAAGTTCTCAGCAGCACAGTATGTGCTGCGAAGTAGATGTTGAAAACTGTTCTATTTATTGTCTCTGTCGTTAGCATCAGCAGTAATTACATGAGCGGAAATGAAGCTGAATTTGTGATTTGTATTATACGGGGGAAGAAGCGCCAAGAAGTCGGGGCCTTTTTTGAGTGTCAGACCCCACTTCAGACCGGCAAACACAAAAACAACACAGATGGGTCGCCTGGCAGGAGGAGCGCGGGTGTGGGTGCCCGGTTTTAGGCGGGGAGGCACTGGTGCTCAGGCGGCCTCAGTCAGGTCCCCCTCAGAGATTCCGGTCAGCTCCTCAGGCCGCGCAGCCCACCCGAGCAGGGGAGGAAGGCCGGACGCACGGTGCTGCGGGCACTGGGCGCCACCCGAGAGGGACTCTGTTCCCAGAGGAGGAAGGTGCTGGACAGACCCACCGTGGCACCACCCCCTGCCCGGCACTCCTGCCGTGTCTGTGTGGTAGTTCGGGGGTTTGCCTAAGAGAAGTCCTTGCGCCCCACGGGGAAGGCTGCCCGGGGAAGGCTGCCCGGGGAAGGGTCCCCGGGGAAGGCTTCGTGGCTGATGCGCTGTCCTTGGCGGATGTGAAGCAGTAGCTGTGCTTCTCAGGTTGTGGTCATGGTTTTAGTTGTGGTTCTACAAAATAGCTCCTGTGTCTCCTGGGCTGATGAGCCCTCAGGCATTTCTGCCACCTGTGCTGATAGGGCCAGTCCAGGGAGGGGTCTGGCTTGTGTGCAGTAACTAACTTTACCGTTGTAATTGCCTGATCTTTTTTTTTTTTTTTTAAAGAAATCATAGCCAGATATTTTATTTCTTCTTTTAGAGAGAGGGGAAGGGAGGGAGAAAGGGAAAGAAACATCATTTCACGCCCTCAGCCAGTTGCCCCAACTGGGAATAGAACCAGTGACCTTTCCATTCACAGGCTGGCACTCAACCCACTGAGCCACACCAGGCAGGGCAGAAATCATAGCATTGTAAGGCCTGAGGCAACTCGAGCTTCTCAGTAAGACTTAATTCACAAATTACACGGAACCAGAAACCAGAGTGTTTGGACCGCAGTTACATGTCGTTCAGTCGTGGTGTACACATCAGCCATATAACTTACGGTACAGAACTTACGGTACAAAACGTTCCCCTCTGAACTTCTGTGTGTGCAGCGGGCGTGCAGGTCCTCAACGTGTAAGCATGTGTCTGGTGTGTGCCGCGTGCTGAGCTCTGGATGCTGGTGCCGCAGCAGCCAAGGAAATGCGTGGGGTCTGTGCCTTCGCAGGGGCGTCATGGACGGTGACAGTCAAAACCAAATGAGCAAATGTATCTTTCATCTCTTCTGAAAACCTAAAATGATCTCAAGCAAAAACTTTTTTGAGTGCTGAAATAACCCAAGTATATTACCAAGAGAATTTCAGGTGGCTCTTACTATTCCAAAGAAGTCAAAGTAATGTTATAAATAGGGACTAGGAGGGAGGCCACTCGAGATACTACAGAATGTGTCCCCAAGAAAAATGAGAGGCAGGCAGGCAGCGAGCTGGGAAGGCTCCACCTGGAGTGGGTGCGAGTCCTGGAGGTGGGAGGGGCTTGCTTAGCCCAGAAAACCTGAGGCCGGGCGGGCGGGAGCCTCGACCTCCCGCCAGGCGGGTGGTCGAAGAGGTCAGGGGAGAGAGGGGCTGAAGGCTGCCGGGCTTGAGACAGCGCGTGGCCACCAGCTTGAGTGGCACCCCACTTGCCAGGAAGCCAGGAAGTGTGTGGAGCAATGACGGGACCTCGTTCGGTCTTTAGACACATCACTTGGGCTGCCGCGAGCGATCCAGGCTGTGGAATGAGAGCGGAGCTGGAAATCCATTAAAGGTCTTGGCAGAGGCTTGGCCGGGAGGGGATGGCCTGGCGGCGGGGGCGATCGGGGGAGGTGGGCGGAGTCGAATGCGGAGTCCACGGGATTCGCGGGTGGATTGCAGCTGGTGGTTGAAAAAGTGGTCAGTCAATGACTTAGGTTTTATGGCTCAAGCAATTTATTGAGGTGGAGCAGATTGAAGCAAGACCATTTTAGATAGTGAATTTGAGCTCGGTTTGGCACGGATTACATTGGAGATGTCTGGAAATGAAAAGGTGCCGGAAAAGCCAGTTAAGCATCTGCCGAGAACACAGAGCCCTGGGAGCTGTAGAAGAGCGTCTCAGGAAGGAGCCGGAGGACTGCGGCGGAAGGCTGCTGAGAAGTAGAGTAAGATGAGGGCAGAGGCCCGCTGTCCTTACCTGACTGTGGCAGTCCCTGGGGACGAACACTGGCTTGGCGTGGGTGCGGAAGGGGAGGGGAGGCGGGAACGGGAGACGGTGTCTGTCCGCAGCTCTCCGGAGCGTGTCGGCACGCAGTAACCAGGGACAGCTGAGGACTGAAGAATGTCTTTTGTCATTTTGTGTTTATTTTTAAATTGGAATATGCAAAGGAAATGTGTGTGGTGATGGAACAGTACATCAGAGAGGAAGAAATTAACACCAGGGAGAAGGGATACTGAGAAAGCAAAGCCCTGTCTGGTGGATCAGTTGGTTAAAGAGCCAGCCTGATGCGCCAAGGTTGCAGGTCTGATGCCAGGTCCGGGCACATACGAGAGTCCACCACTGAATGCATCAATAAGTGGAACAAGAACTCGATGATACTCTCTTTCTCTCCTCTCCTTCCTCTCTCTCCCCATCCTGTCTTCCCTTCTCTCTCTAAAAAAAAAAAAAAAAAAAAAAAATCAATTAAAAATTATTTTTAAAAAAAGAAAGCAAAGCTTGGTGGCCACAGGGCTGGGATTAATAACAGCAATGGAATTACTGTTCTTTGACTGGAGCCAGAGACACATGCACTCAAACGGGAGACGAGGCAGAGAACGCAGATGTAAATATTCTAGGCCAGCAGTGCAGTGGTCCAGCCATGAGCGTCCCCGTTTCATCGCAGCAGCGCGCTCAGCGCGGTATGAGGGAGCGTGTCCCTCGAAAGGCGGCAGTGGCGGTCATCGAGGCAGGATGGGAAGGAACTGCTGTCCCATGGGAAGCAGCTACCGCTGAGCTGGGGTTGTCTGGCAGCGTCGGGTCTCCTTCGAGATTCATGCTCACGAAATAGAGCAGGATCGGTTTCAGGGCATTTAGCTCCACAAAACCGCATAGGCAGACCCGAGGGGCTGGCCAGCAGGATTGCAGTTCTCCAGGTGAGAGCTTCAGAGGGAGAGAGAAGCAAGAGTCGAGGATGTTGGCGAGGTCGACGATAGGCCGTGGGGTGTAGGTGGGGAGGCAGAGCAGTGAAGGTTGCGGCGGGGGTTTGACGGGTGGAGAAGGCGGCAGACTCGGGCGCTAGAGGCCTGTGCCCAGGCTCAGAAACCGCCAGGGCCGGCTCCGGGAGGAGGGGGCCAGGAAAGAGAGAGAGACGTGGTCCGACTAGGATGCTCGAAATAGAGGTTTGGAAATTGATGAGGCCAAGGGTAGGACAGTGACAGCGAGTGGCGGAGCTGGAGCAGAGCAGAAGGTTTTTGGAAGTGAAAAGGTCAAGGGGCGCAGAGGTCAGGGTGCCAGATGGGTCATCCAAGAGCAGGATGAGGTTCCAAGGGTGATGACGAGAGAGGAAGACAGTGAGCTGGCGTTAATTTATGAGATCAAAACATGCAGATCATCAGTTGCTGAAACCACGCACGTTAACAGAGAAAAATGCGTGAGCCGCGTTTATACACGTGATCAGTATGAAAGGCGGAGCTCGTAGCTCCATCCGTGAGGGTGTCCATGGCCACCCACCCAGCACGGTCACAGCACAGACGCCTCTTTGGTTGGCAGATGCAGCCGCTGCAGCTTCGACCATGGTGTCCGCATCCGCCCCTTCGGTGTACAGCGTGCAGGCCCTCTCCCTCCTGGCAGAGGTAAGTGCACACCGGCCTGCCGTCCCTTATGGAAGTGACTGCACCCATGTCTTTGGGACGGTGTGTCTTCCCGGGCCAGGGAGTGGGGTGGCACTGTCCCGGGGGGCTCCGTCCGTCTCGGCCTCAGCTTGCTGCCGCATTTTCTGTTAGGCTGCACGTACCTGGAGGATGGACTGCCTTGCCATTGCTGGGTTCAGGAGATCTCTGTTTTCTTGCGATCCTCTTCTAGGTTCTGGCCTCTCTCCTGGACATGGTCTACCGAAGCGACGAGAAGGAGAAAGCTGTGCCTTTGATCTCCCGTCTGCTTTACTATGTGTTTCCTTACTTACGCAACCACAGGTAACGGCTCTCCGCTGCCGCCCGCCCATGGCTGGACAGCAGGTCATGGGAAATGCGCCCAGTGGCTTTCCTTGGCAGTATCTGACCGCGACGTCTCTCCTCCCACCGCCATTTAGCGCCTACAACGCTCCCAGCTTCCGGGCCAGCGCCCAGCTGCTGAGCTCGCTGAGCGGCTACGCCTACACGAAACGAGCCTGGAAGAAAGAAGTGCTGGACTTGTTTCTGGACCCTGCGTTCTTTCAGATGGACACGTCTTGCGTGCAGTAAGAAATGCCCTCCTGACCCCGTGTCACCCCGCCTCTCCACTGGAAAGAGGGTTCCGCCCACATACGGCATTCGCCCGCCTGCACGGGCCGCGGGACTGGCGGCCACCCAAATCGCGGGGCAGCCCGGGCACGGACTCCAGAGCTGGCTGTGTGCTCGAGGGAGAGGCATTAAGTCTTTTCAAAGCACGAGGGTGCTTTTTCTTTTTAATCAACAGAATTTCAATTAAGAGCATCTTATTCCTGAAGAGCTTACCGCAGAGTCCCAGCAGTTCTTGTCTGGCGCCGCTTAACGTCGTCGTCACGGAATACTTGGCACCCCTGTGTCCTTGCCCCACGTCTCGGCTCACCCTCTGTGGGCAGGCCCGCGCTGGCCGCCGAGGTCCGTGGAGGCGCAGCCACAGAGGGACCATCCTGCACCTTTTCCTCTGGGGCAACAGAGCCCCCCGTGGCTGTCCTCCTGGCGTGGCCGAGCATGGCGTTATCAGGGGCAGGGGATGGAGGGTGCAGATGGGTCAGCCTTCCCGTGTGGCCTGGGAGTTTGCCCTGCAACCGCTGTTCCCGTAGCTCCCGCCCTGGAACCCTGTCGTCGTTCGGGAGCCCCTTTGAGGATTCGAATTTGTCTTCGTTGTCCCCCGTTCTTCCCATTGACACAAGAGCGTGAACTTCACGCCATGTGGGCAGATCTAAGGGCAGCCTCTGGAAAAAGCCACAGAGCGTTGGCAGTTTGTTTCCTCGTGTGCTCAAGTCAGGATTACTGGTCATTCTCTGCGTGTCCCATCCTGTTGTTCATTCCCCATGTTAAGGTGACGACTGAAAAGCTCGGGCTTAGCTTTTCCTTGTGTAATTAAAGTGACTCATTTCACGAGCCTTTCAGAGAATAGCCTTTAGCAGACCTGAAAGGGGCATGGTCTTTTCATGATGCTTTTTAATCAAACCATCATCTTTTGCATACTTAACTAACTATGCTTTTTTTTATATCTAGTTGGAAGTCCATTATTGACCATCTTCTGACTCATGAGAAAACAATGTTTAAAGATTTAATGAGTAAGTTCTGGGTTCCTTGTACATGAGTCACACCTTAAGGGACCAGCGCCACCGAGATCAGCTATGCCCCGCATTTGAGAACCCGCTCGAACCTCGGTGGGGCCGTCTGAGCTGCACGCCGTAGTGTGACGGGCACAACGTGTCAGGGCTCCGTGAGGAGCCCTCCCGGGTCCCGTCTGTGGACAAGATGCCTTAACAAGCTTCTCTGCAGCTTTATTGTGGAGGAAAACTTTGGAAAGTGATGTTAAGTTTACTGTAATGTATTAGGAGTACTTTTCTATACCTTGTATTTTCTTCTATCCCTTATCGTTAAGTAACGTTAAAGAAACACATTTTTACAAATAAATATATAAATAATAATGACATGCCCTTACTAGTAGTTTTCTCAGTAAATGGAACTTATTTCTGTGTTTCTTCTAGACATGCAGAGCAGTTCCTTAAAGCTGTTCTCAAGTTTTGAGCAGAAAGCCATGCTGCTGAAGCGCCAGGCTTTCGCCGTCTTCAGCGGCGAGCCCGATCAGTACCACCCTTGCCTCCCTCTGATACAAGGTAAGAAGGTCGGCGCCCCCCAGGCAAGGCCCGCGAGGGGCTGCGGCGGGCTGGCTGCCGGAGGGTCCCCTCGTCCTGGCAGGACGTCCTGCCGAGCACCCAGCCGGGGCTGTTGTGGAAGAGCTGCAGAAACAGAGCAGTAAACCTGAAGCTTTATTTTTAAAATCAACTGTGATCCTGCTGTTCGTTTTTATGAGGTAGTTTCGGGGAGTCTGACAGGACTCTCTCAGCGCTGCCTTTTGCTGGATCCCTCCTGCGATCAGGATACTTCGCGTTCACAGTAAACACTGAGGCCTGTGAACCAGCAGGATGTTGGGGAAATACCTAATTTGCCCATAACAGGTTTTTCTCTTCTTCATACTCACTCTACTGTTTAGCCTGCCTCAGAAATGAGCTGTTGTGGCTGTCGTACCTGATTTTTAAAGGGTTTTTTCCTCCTCATAAAATACTGATGTGGCAAAGTGGATATCCTGCTTCCGACCTGAAAGAACTCTCAAATAGCAGTGGGGTTTCCCTGAGACGCATAGCCTGTGTGGACTCAGATAAAACTCAGGCAATTCTTGAAGGATTTTTTGTTTCCTATTATGAAGACTATTGTAAGAAACAAATGCATAGACATTAGAATTACGATGTAAATCCCTTGGGGCTCCGGTTATTAAGGTGTAACGTGCGTGCAGCGGTTATACGGGCCCATGAATGTTCACAGACAGTCACATGGCCCCTGCCACAGTCAGGGCAGGACACCCGCATCCCCCCGAGAGTTCCCCCTTGCCCCTCAGGTGTCGTCCCCGCCCCCGCTGGACTGCTTTCTGTGCACATGGTTACGTCCTTTCCAGAATGTCCCGTAAATGTAATCAGTGTGATTAGGCATAGCCTTGCGCCTGGCTTCTTGCACCTGGCACAGTGTGTGTGGCCGTCATCCATTCTCCCGTCTTTATCCATCGCTGTTCCCTTTTATGCTGAATGACATCCAGCTCTGGGATTCGCGGGCCAGGTCGCCCGTGGAGGGCGTTCGGGTTGTTCGCAGGCAGAGTTTCGATGTGACTTGCTGTAGCTCCGGCAGCTCTTGGGCTGCGTGCCCTTCCCAGAGCCCTCCCGGTGGCCCCGCAGCCGCGCCAGTTGTCTGCTCCCCGCCCCGCTTGCCTGGCTGTTTGCCAGCCCCGCTCTAGTTCAGGCATCAGCAGCTTTCCCAGCTAGTGATATGACAGTTTATATTTGCAGTAATAAAATAGCTTCAGACATGATTTCAGCACATAAAGCACAGAAGGGGACTTTCACCTCATCACATCCTGTGAAAGCGAACCTTCAGATCCTGCCCCACCTTTCCTGAGTTGCCATAGGAGGCCGACACAGTCGGGGGTGACCAGGGAGGCCAGTGAAGGTGACAGCGGCCCTCTAAAGGCTTTGGCCGCGAGCAGAGTCTGTGCGGGACTTGGTTGCCCTCCTGCACAGTATGGAGGGCGAGAGGACAGGGGAGCCCGGCGTCCAGGAGCTCCGGTGCCGTGTGCTCGGCTGCCGGCGCGGGGTCCCCATGCAGCGGGGAGCCGGCTCCATGAGCAGAGCAGGGAAGCGGGCGGAGGAGCTGACCCTCGCAGGTTTAAACATCCAGCGGTTCCGAGAAATCATGCCTCGGAGAGGGGGAGAGAAGTACGGACGGTGTACTATTGTTTACGTTGGATAGTCTATTTATACATATAACATGTGTAATGTATATTTATACATGTGTGCACATGACAAAATCAGCGTCCTGCTGACCTAAATGGGCGGTGGGTGGGGGCGCCTGGTGGGGGAGGTTTTCCCTCCGAGCGAGGCCGAGGTGCCGGGGTGGGGCCCTGAGCAGCTCCGCACGCCAGGGCTCAGGGCGACCTCTGTTACCTTGGTCACAAAAGGAGCTGTGAAGAAGCCCAAAGCAAGTATTTTTGTACAAAAAAGGAAAAGGGCAAGGTGTCATTTGTCTAAAATGAGGAGAGAGGATACACATCCCCCCACTGAGGCCCCCAACCAGGGACCGGAAAGATCTGGCGGGAGCTTTAAAAATCCTCTTCTGATGGTTCCAGCCTTCATACTGTCTCCACATCAGTGTCTTTCAGTTCTCTCTTCATGTCCCAGTGGAGGCTTCTGGCGTCCCAGGTCACAGTCCCTCAGCTGCCCAGGCCAGACTGACATTTAAAAATTTTAAAAAAAAAAAAAAAAAAAGGGCATTCACCTCCAGGTTCCCAGCTTGTCCTGCCGCCTGTGCTTCGCCTTCCTGCTTTCCGTAGTTGGCTAAATTAGTTTGTTCAAGGCTTGCCTTTTTTTTTTTTTTTTTTTAATTTCCATTAAAGAATGGAACCAGAGGCAGAAGCCAGCTCTTTAAAAGTGCCAGTGTGTTGTCAGGCGTCTGAGCGGTGCAGGTGTTCCTTCATTCATCAGGGCACTTGTCAAAGCAAGAAGTGACATCGCCCGTAAGCCAGCGCAGCTGGCACAGCCGTCTGCTGGAGCAAGTTAGGTTCCTGAGAAACCTTAAGTTATAGGGAAAAAACCACTTTGTGCAAACAATTATTTCCATAGACAAGTGCAAAGATTGTTAGGGGCCACAAGAGTTAAATTTACAGTGTTTTCCCTCCCTGCAAGAGTTAAAGTTTCTGTCGTGGTTATCCAATATAAACATCATTAAACAAATCTGTTTTGTTCACTCACTATATGTCCCGCTTCTCACCACCAAAATATGGTGTCACCTGGCAGCCAGCATCTGTGGTCTTAGGATCCCTCCACTCACCAAAGACTGCCTTTGGTTTCTGGGTCCCATAGTGCATATTCTTAGAAGAAAATTTAAGCGGTCACTGATCACAGGTTGAATGTCTGGCTTCAGCCACGGTGTGTGCCCTTCTCATCGGCGGTGGTGGTGGGTGAGAGCCGCGTGCACCCGTTCCGTAGCAAAGGCCGTGGGCAAAGAGGAGGGCGGGGTAGACCGGGCACGGGAACCCCCCGGCACTCATTCCTCGTGCTGGGTGGCAGTGAGGTGTCAGAGCAATGGCAGTCTCATTTTTGTTTTTGTCTGCTGAGAAACCCAAAACTGCATATTTGTGTGACGTCTTTAAAATCTTCTTTCCTTAGAACGCCTGACAGACAATCTCAGAGTTGGACAGACATCCCTAGTTGCTGCTCAGATGTTTCTTTTTTTCAGAGTTTTGCTGCTAAGAATATCTCCCCAGCATTTGACTTCATTGTGGCCAATAATGGTCTCTGAATTAGTAAGTACACATATTCTACCTTTGGAAGCAAAGTTGGAGCTTTTGAAAAAGATTTCTCAGGAATATATGCTGCTCTACATACAATCACACACCACTTGACAGCAGGGCTATGTCCTGAGAAGGGAGTCGTTAGGCACGTTCGCTGTCCAGCAGACATGGAGGCTCTTACACAGACCTGGACGGCGTAGCCCACTGCACCCCTGGGCTCTGCGGGGTGGCCTGTTGCCCCTGGGCCACGAGCCCGTGCGGCATGTGACTGTACAAAACAACACGGGCGTGAATCAGGCACAAGAGAACACGGCGGCGCCCAGAGACGCAGTGAGCGCGAGGCTGCCGCGCGCGAAGCCCGGCGGACTGTTCACAGCCACCTGGCTGTGCGAGTCAGGAGAGTGCGCTCTGCGGTGACAGGGAAGCCAGAGCGAGTGCGCACGCCGGGAGCAGCGACGTTGAGTCTCATCACCGAGTGTCCACTGTCCCCAGTCACGTGTGCTGCACTTCGACAGCTGACGGTGCAGCACGTGTGTTGACAGCAGCATCGCCGCAGACACATGGGACCCCGCGACGGCTCTGGGGCCGCCGGGTGACGGGGCTTCCTCAGCTCCGGGGTGACCTTGCGGGCCCACTGGTGTCTGCGAAGTCCGCCGCTGACCAGGACGCCGTTACGTGCCATGCCCGTCGATGTTACCCGCGAGATTCCCAGCCACACTGGTAGCACTGGGTAGCTCTTGGTTAGACGCAGGGTGCCTTATCTCACCCTGTAATCACATTTGATCTCTCACATGCCAGTTCAATTAATTTGCACCGTTTTTATCGACTTTTTTAATATATGTTTTTGTTAAATTTATTGGGGTGACATTGGTTAATAAGACCATATAAGTTTCAAGTGTACATTTCTGTCATTTTTTTGCCATTTTAAAGTGTTTCTGTCCAGTTTTAGTGAGAAATAATTGGCATACAGAAGTACGTAAGTTTAAGGTGCACAGCATAGTAGTTTGACTTTGTGTTGTGAAACAATTACCACAGTAAGTTCACTTAGCCTCCACTGTCTCACATAGGTGCAAAAAGAAGTAGTTTTTCCTCATGATGAGAACTTAGGATTTCTTCTCTTAGCAATGTTCATATATGAGGGGGGACTCGAAAAAACGCCAGAATTTGTTTATAAAAAATTGTTTATTTATTCTTATATCTTTAAACTTCAGTCACCTTCCAAGTCCTCTCTTTTGATGCAGTACACCTATCGAGACCTTTTTTCCACGCTTGAAACAGTTTTTGAACACATCACTTTTGATGCCTTTTAGTGCTTCTGCCATTTTTTGTTTCACCTCTTCCATACTGGCAAAATGTTTCCCTTTGAGGACTTTATTCATTTGGGGAAACCAAAAACAAAAAAGTCACTCTGGGCAAGTGAATTCAGGTGAATTGAGAGGGTGGGGCACAGGGGTCACGCTGTTTTTGGTCAAAAACTGCTGAACACTCAGCGGTGTGGGCAGGTGCGCTTGTCAATCACCCATCATGAAAATGGGCAAAGGCTCTGAAAGAGTCTTCAAAAAAAAAAAAAAATTTCACTGAAGCTGAACCCAGCCTCTCACAACGACACCAGCTGGTGCACTGACACAGATGGGCTCCTAGAACATTCCCCTAGCGGGGGAGCCTGGACTACAAGGGCCTGCCCTCCAGAAGATAATTCTAGTTTTTTGGGGGGGATGGGTCCCCTTGTATACCATACAGAGACTTTAATTGGAGTTATAACATGGTTGTAGGGGAACAGAACTTGTTATCCCCCAAAATGTGTCTATTTGGCATCGGTATTTTAGTTAATTTTGTTTTCTTTTTTTAAGATTTTCTTTAGAGAGGGGGGAAGGGAGGGAGAAAGAGAAACATCGATGTGTGAGAGATACGTCGTTCGGTTGCATCTTGCACACCCCCAGCTGAGGACCTGGCCCACAACCCAGGCACGCGCCCTAGACTGGATATCAAACAGGCGACCCTTTGGTTTGCAGGCTGGCTCTCGGTCTACTGAGCCTCACCAGCCAGGGCAGGCTAGTTAGTTTTAAGAAACAACAGGCATGGATGAAGCTCTAAAAACCAAGTAAAATGTAAAAGACATTCACATTTGTACGGGAAATCTGATTTGTAAGTGTGTCTCCCTCCCTGCACCGGGAAGAGGTGAACAACCGTGTCCCTAGAAACCCTCACCATTCAGAAGACAATCAAGTGGATAGCACATAGCTCTGGAGGGACCACACAGCGTGGAAAGCAGGACACAGGATGGGGCAAGGGATCTGTTCTCCAAAGAAGGGCTTCCGGGACCCAGAAGGGGACAGGTTTTATCAAACAGATTGCCTCTCCTTTTGGGAAATGTAGAGAGCCCTGTGACAGGTCACCTTCCTGGTGCTGACCAGAAAATTCCAGGCTCAGCTGATTAAGAGTATGTTTTTGGAGGAAGTTGAAACTGCAGCTACTTCTGGTAGTAAATCTGCGTTTGGTGTCTTGGACTTCAGCACAAGAGGCGTCATTCAGAGCTGCGGTTTGCTCTTTTAATAGTAGATTGTCTATTTTGTCAGTTGTTTCTTTTGCTTTAGTTGCTGTTTTTATGGACATACAAATTTTAAACATTAAGCTAGGTTTCATCTCTTTCAAATAGTGACTTGCATTCACGTTTTATCTTTAAGATTCAGACACTCATACAGCTGGAGGAAGACCTGAAAGAGGACGATGAGTCGCTGAGGTGAGGGGTCGGGGCTCTGCCTACATGCATGATGGTCAAGGGGCGTCGCTTTACAGCGCAGGGTCATCTAACAATGCTGAGGACCATTTTCTTGTGGCGGGAACCCCTGTTTTGATAATTTCTTAAAAGTAAAAAACCTGTTTGCGGACATTATGCTACCAGTCCAAAATTGGTTGTGCTTCGTGAAGGTCAAAACTCAAAACGTCAGTTTGGAGTGAGGAAAGGTTTGGTGATCAAGCCTAGAAAGTGGGAGACTTAGCGGTGCCTCAAGTCCATCGTAAGAAAGTACAGAGTTCAGGCTCCTGTTATGCCAAGGGGAGGGGCAGCGGGAGGGGCAAGAGGTGATCCATGAACACAGACCTCCGGGCGCCATCAGGGGTCTGAGGAGGATTGTGCTTCGTCTGTTGACCGTAGTTTGACCGTAGTTAAAGTGAGCCCAGTCAGGCGGTCCCTGCACATCTCTGATAAACACTACATGCTTCCCGTAACTCCTGGGAGAGGCAATTTCTGGTAAGTGGCTATTTTGTTTTTGTAAAACTCAAGCCACAAGCAGAATTCCTCTCATGATTAGCATGACTATATGCAAGAAGCCATCCGCCCGAAGGCCGTGCGAACAAAACCATTGCTTAAAAAATGGAATCAGAGAGATGTAGCGCTTGACTGTGTTACAGTTGCATAAGGAAATAGACTGCAGCAGATGTGAATGAGTTTGTAACAAGAGTTTCTTTGCAAATCCCTAGAAACAGCAACAAAATCAACCGAATGAAAGTTTTAGTCCCTGATGCAAATGGGCCAGGGGAGATGCCCCAGAGTGAACTCGTCTTATATTTATCCGCTTGCAAATTCTTGGACACAGCGCTTTCTTTTCCACCAGACAAGATGCCATTATTTCAAATGTAAGTCCACTAAAACTACGTGTCCTCTTTGGAGCAGGCGACTTTTCTCGTAAGCACTTTGACTGTTCTTCGCTGCACAGTATATGAGAAACGGTGGTGTGGCTACTAGAGGCCCGTGGGTGCACTCAGCACACCGCAGCTCTGGTCGCTGGCGTGTGCGGTTTTGTGAAATTGGCTCGCAGTAGTGTATTATGGGGGTGCGGGGGGGTGTGCGCGCACGCGCACGTGTGGGCTTTTTGCTACGGAGTGCTTATAAAACAGGAGTCGTGCCCTGGTCATCCTCACTGCCTTTGTGGAGACTTTTTTGTCTCCGTTTCTCATTCCGTAACTGGAACACACCATCTCCAAGTGGCTTTGCCCCGTCCGCACGCATTCCCTGCAGGCCTAATGCAGCTGCTCGTATGTCTCATTTCACTCCTGGCCCCAGATGCCCCTTCCCTCGGTCCCATTCCACTAAAGAGAGTAATCGTGTAGCTCCTTAAGTGCATGTTGTTACATGAAAGAAACCAATCTAAAAAGGTCACATACTGTATGATTCCAACTTTTATGACGTTCTTTAAAAGGCCCCCCAAAACTGCAAAGACAGTGAAAGATCCGACGTTTCCAAGGGTCTGGGAGAGGGAGGCGGAGCACAGGATTTTTAGGGCAGTGGGACTGCTTGGCGTGGTGCCACCACAATGGTGCCTGTCACTACGTCAGTCCCAACCCACAGGATGCTTAACAGCCAGCAGGCGTGAACCCAAGCGCGAACCGTGGACCCTGGGTGATAGCGGCGTGTCGCTGCAGGTTCATCGACTGTAGCGAGCGTGCCGCGCTGCGGGGGTGCTGATCGTGGGGAGGGCTGTGCATTCGGGGACAGGGGTATATGGCAGCTCTGTCCTTTCTGTTCAACTTTGCTGTGACTCTAAAACTGTTCTTAAAAAGAAAGCCTTCTTTTAAAAATGGGTTATGATGTACATGACTGTGCAAAGCAGCATTATTCATAATAGGCAAAAAGTGGAGACAACCCAGATGTCTGTTGGTTGATGAATGGGAAGTAACACGTGACCTGGCCACGCCACAACGTGGAGGGCCATGGCAACATTAAGTGAAAGAAGCCGGACACAGATATTAGTCGTTGCCTGGATTGCGGGGGTAGAGGGGATAGAGGGGGAATGTGAGCAGGGATGCTTTTGTGGGTAATAAAAATATTCTAAAATTAATTATGGTGATAGATGTACAATTCTGTGATAGAGTAAAAGCCACTGAATTGTACGCTTTAAACAGGTGAATTGTATGGTATGTGAATTATATCTCAATAAAACCATTTAAAAACTTATAGGCGGGGCCTGAGCCTGCATGGCTGACCTTGGGTTCTTCCCCGCAGTTACCGGTGGGCGTTTGTCCCGGAAGTGGACACGCAGGGCGCTGCGGCCCTGCCTGACCTGGAGGACGGCCACGGAGAATGCAGGCCCCACACGGTCCGGATTCTAGAACTTCTGAAATTGAAATACGGGGTGAGTGCTTTCCTTTTTAAAATGTATGGTTGTGGAAGAAGGGAGAAGGGCTGAGTGGACCGTTGCGGTATGCCGCCTGATTTTAGGAACGTGGAGTAATTTTCAAAGTTTCTCTTATCCGAGTGTCAAAACTTGGAGATGGTTACGAACTCCATCTGGTTTTGTATTCTTACGTCACGTTCCATCCCAGCTGCTGAGAAGCAGGCCTTCCTGGATAACGCCGTCATGGGGAAGCGCTTGGTTCCTTGGCGGAGGCAGGCCTGTTGGGGGACCGGCGGGGCCTCCGCGGGGCGGGGCGGGGCGGGGGAGTGCTTTGGACTAAGTCCTGGTGGACGTGGTCCCTTGAAGGCCGAGCATTTGCCTTCGTGCTGCTGTCCTTGGAGCTGATGATGAGTTTTCATGGTGAGCCGGTCTCTCAAGACTGGCCGCCTGCGTGGGCTTCATGTCGATCTCCACCCCCAGCAAAGTTGTGTCATTTTTATGGGTCTGTTTTTGTTTTGTTTTTGCAGGACACTGGCAGCTCTGACGAGGTCCCCGTGAGAAAGGACTTCCCGCTCCTGCGCCAGCGCTCTGTGTCCAGCGTGAGGCAGTTGATGCCATTCTTCGAGACCCTCAGCTGTGCTTTTAAAACCCAAGGCACACGGCCCACTGACGCCCGGGCACCTCCGTCCCTCGAGTTTCCTGTCACAGACAGTCCAAGGGTCTTGAAGCAACTGGAGGAATGTATTGAATATGATTTCTTGGAACACCTGGAATGTTAACCGTCTGAGACAATGTGTGTAGTTCATTTACTGATACTTCAGCGGAAACCAGAATGTATTCTAAACAAGAGGAAAGCCTGGGTAGGCTTCTAAAGACAAAGCCTATTTCAGTTTTGAAAGCAGATTTTGGATAATTTTTCGTTGGGCAACAAAGCATACCTCCCTAAATGCCTTGTAATATAGTTGAATCGAACTATATGTTTCTTCCTCAATTTATGTAAAGAAAATAAAGATAATATATCATCTAACAATAGCACAAAATTTGTAAGTTGAAGTCAAGTACGAAGAGAACGAAGAGCTGGTTCCTTTGTTGATGCTGATACTGGGTCTGTCTCAGTACATTTCTCTAAATTTTTAACTGGTTGAATATTATTTTTAACGTTTCACACATATGTCCTTTCAAGTGTTTATTTTAATACTACATTTTAGAACTGAAATATATTTTCTGAAAACAGTAATTGCCCGTGACAATGGACTGTTAAGCAGCGGTGGTCGCTTGAATAAGCTATCGGAGTGTATTTAACTCTTGCCCATTAAAATCACACGTTTGCACTGTTCAGCTGAGTAAGAAATACTACTTTTCAGAAGCCTGACAGCTGTCCCCTTAGGCATGTCCCACCGTGCGCCGTGCCAGTCCTTCCCGTCTAACGTGGTCGGCCAGCCCAGTCACGGTCACGGAGGGCCCGGACGGCTGTCGGGGAGTCTCCCCCGCGGGACTCTCTCCTTTGCCACTGTGCGTGCGTTGCGTGCACTGTGCGTGCATTGCTGCTCACGGAAGTCACCCCTCCCTAGGCACAGGCTTCTCTAGCCTGGCAGCATGTCATCCCCCTGGTTCCAAAGCCTTTCTGTCTGGTGCCGCCTCCCCCATTTAGAGTCCTGGCTGGGCACCCCTCCTTGGCTGTGGCTCGCCGTCCAGCCCTGCTTCTCTCATGCCCCCGTTTCAGCCAGCAGAGCGGGAAATCGCTTTCCTGGCCGGATGCCTCCTGCCCTCCGAACAAGGGCTCTCAAGTCATTCTTTCTGTGGATGACGTGGGATTGGAGGAGCACAAGGGGTTAAGTGTCTGCTAACATCCCACCACTGACTGGTCTGTGTGCAGTCATTTGCCCCGATACGGGATCTGGGGAGCGCAGAACCACTTGGCTCCCCAAATAAGGGCTGAAAGAGAATCAAAAGGTGCCACTGTTCCCTGGCTGGTGTGGCTCTGTGGATTGAGCTCCCGCCTACAAACCAAAGGGTCACCCGTTTGTTCTCAGGGCACATACCTGGGTTGTGGGCCAGGTTTTCAGTAGGGGGCAAATGAGAGGCAAACACATTGATGTTTCCCTCTTTCTCCCTTCCCCTCTAAAAATAAAATCTTTTTTAAAAAGAAGGCGCCACGAGATATACAGATATACATACAAATAGGTGTTAAAAATTGACATGGAAATTGTTTTGGTGTGGGATATCTTTGAAAACATTTGCAATTTTGGCTGCTAAAATTTTAACTATTGAAGTGTAGAATTACAAATTCTGTGTCACACTGCATTACCTGTTATTCAGGTCGCGAGGAGACAACCATGTGCTCATTAATAGTTAACATCAAGGATATAATTGTTCATCTATCAAAATTTACAAAACTATACCGTGGCTGCTGTGGCTTGGTGGATTGAGTGCCAGCCTACAGACCAAATAGTCACTGGATCGATTCCCAGTCAGGGCACGTGCCTGGGTTGCAGGCCAGATCCCCAGTAGGGGGCGCACAAGAGGACACCACACATTGATGTTTTCCTCCCTTCTTTCCCCTCTCTCTAAAACTAGAATTTAAAAAAATTTTTTAAAAAACTTGCTGCCAATTATTAAAAATTTACAAAACTGATAGTTTATATCGTCAGTAGCTGTTATGACATGAAAGGTAGTTCTTATATCTGTGCTTAGATCTACCAATTTTTTCATTTTTTTCTCTCCAGTATCTAAAACAACGGTCTCTGATAATACTATATGTAATTTAATACTTCAGAGAAATCTTAAAAGACAGGGATTCAACAACTCATCCTTGGTTCTCATAGAACACGACAGAAGTCTTAAAAACGCGGTGTGCATTGGCTCTCTTCTTGCGTCAGCATGGACCACCATAGTGAAGGACACAGGCTCTGACGTCAACTTGCCTGGGCAAATATGTTGTGCCTCATTTTTCTCATCTGTAAAATGGGAATATCAGTGGTAAGTGCCTCTCCGGGTTCTAGCAGCTGAGCATCTCTGCACCTCTGTGGTTGCTATGAACCGTTCTGACCCTGCACCCTTCAGTGAAAATGAAACTGGTGTCCACCCCCTCATTCCTTAGCCTAGGGTTATCTTAATTTACCTGTGTACCAACATGCATTGCATACTTTATGAAACAGGAAATGGATATTCTAATATGAATACCAGCATCTGTTGTGTATGTCATAGAAGAGGAAATGGAGATTTTTAAATAATGAGAGAAACAAATTGAGCAGTTCTGATATTTTCTTCTTACTTAGCCCCCGGGACCTTTCTGCCGCCCGCCGTGGAGATGACCACTCGGACTCGGCTCCTCCCGGAGCAAGCTCGTGCCATGTGTGCAGCCCAGCGACCAAGGGGCTCCCGCACTGAGTGTGTCAGGACAGGCGGGGGCAAGGGCAGCCGGAGCAGGCAAGACACACTGCTGCTCTAACGGTTGTGGGTGGCCGGGGCCAGGTGGCCGCACGTGGCCACGAGCGGAGGCCGGCCACTGGGGAGCTGTTGGGGCCGGCCATGGTGCTCAGTGCGTCCCGGGCACGGCTCGCTTTCTTATCTACCCCCCCACCAGCCCCACCCCGTGGAGTGGAGGACAGAGCCGGCTGATTCAGGAACCGAAACCTTGGCAGATCGTGCTCTGCGGCCCTAGGCTCGCGGCCCCAGTGCTGAGAAAGCGAAACAGGAAAACCTCGAGGTGCCTGTGGGGTGATGCAAAGGAGGCAGCTTCTCCCACCGCCCCACCCGCCTGACTTTGTGCAAAGTCATCTGTCTGAGGGCCACAGCACAGGGGCGGATCCTGTCTCCCAAGATGTGGGGTGGGGTGGTGTGAAGGAGAATAGGCCTCATCTTCCATTATTTGTATGTTAGGCCCAGTTAAATTCGGGGACAACTGGCTAGATTTGTGGAAATAGTTGAAGTTTTGAACAAGGATCTGGGAGATCAGACAGAATTCTGTATTGGAATTAAATGCTCTGATGTGAGACAATGCCTTCTACCAGGCACTATTTGCAATTCAGTGGGTATGCACAAACCAGTGAACATGCAAAACTAACACCCTCGGAAAAGGAAGTGTCGTCATTTGGACACGGACCAGTTAAGGAGTTCATGCACTCTAAAGCGAGGGGCAACCGGACATGCTTTAGAGAGGAAGGGAGAGAGAGACATCAATTGATTGCCTCCCATATGCGCCTGGACTGTGGTTTGGACTCACAACCTAGGCAAGTGCTCTGGCTGGGAATCGAACCTGCAATCTTTTGATGTTTGGGGTGACGCTCCAATCAACTGAGCCACACTGGCCGGGGCTAAGATCGTTTTTAATCATAACAATATCACCTCAAACTCAGCTTTGGCATTTTTTGAAAATAAATGTTTACAAGTAAACTTGAGTTTGGTACAAGCGCCAGAGGGGTGTGGTGAAGCATTTCCTTCTCAGGAAAAGCCCCTTAAATACCAACCAGCTGAGTGTAGCCTGAGTGTGACGGCCTCACATTGCACCCCTGTGAGTAAGCTTTGAGAATGCAGACTCCTGCGGTGTGCTCAATTGTGTTTAAACAAAAAATAAATACATACATAAATAAAGGAGGGAGAGGCAAGAATTTGTATAGGTAAGGATCTGTTTTTACACGAATGAACTATTGTCTATCCCTGTTGCTGCTCCAACAAATTACTGAAAACACAGTCACTTAAAACTACAGAAATGTGTTCTCTGCCAGCACTGGAGGCCAGACGCCTGAAACGAGTCTCACTGGGCAGAAACCAAGGTGCCGGCCGGATTTCGCTCTCTTTTTAAGTTCTAAGGGCCCTAAAACAGAGTTCTCTTGCCTTTTCCGGCTTCTAGAACTGCATTCCTTGGTTCATGGCTTCTCCATTTTTGAAGCCAGCAGCACAGCATCTTTAAGCCGCTTTCTCCGTCTGTGGTCAAATAGTCGTCTGTGACCAAATCCCTCGGCCTCTGCCTTGGAGACACTTGTGTGTGTTTATCTATTTCTTTTTAATTGATTTGAGAGAGAGGCAGACATTGCTTTGTTATTTCACTTACTTAGGAATTCATTGGTTGATTCCTTTTTTTTTTTAAAGCCTCACCTGAGGAAACGTTTATTAATTTTAGAGAGAGAAGAAGGTGCGGTGGGGCGGGGGGAGAAACGTTGATGTGAGAAACATCAGTTGTCTACCATACCCTCCCCAACCGGGGATCGAACCCACAACCTATCACTGGTTGATTCTTCTATGTCCCCTGACCTGGGATTGAACCTACAACCTTGGTTTATTGAGACAGTGCCCTAACCAAGTGAGCAACCCAGCCAGGGCAGAATTACTTGTGTTTGCATCTAGGGCCCACCTGGATAACCTATGCTAATTTCATCTCAAAGCAAAGTAAGTTGTTGAACATCACATAGCTAACAAGTGAAGAAGTTGGATTTGGGCCTGGAGAGACACTGTATTATATTATTAATTAAAATTCTATTTTGTTTCTTATGAAGTACTAGTTGAGACTCATCAAATTAATTTCACAACTTACTTAATAAACACAACGTTGACATCATGGAACTTCTATATTTTGGTTACCACTGCACCCTTCAATGCCTTACTTTGCCAGTCAGGAAGAGACAAGAGCCTCACACATAACAATATAATTGTTAGCGGCATTGTGGGCTCTCAGTTCTTGCTGTCATGCAGAGAAGATTTCATAATACTAGTCTGGGTGATTTTGGGAGTACGTTTATTAAAGCTGGGGACAGTGAAACAAGGGAAGGGACAAGGTCGTATCAACAGGAGTGAGCCCAGGCGGGGCTGCCTTGGCCTTTTAGAGAGAAGTAAGAGACAGTAGGAGAGTGCCAGCTGGGTTGCATGGACTCATGAAACAAGTTTCCAAGGCAAAAGAAGGGCCCTCGGAGAAAGCAAGCAAAGATACGTGCCTTAGGGAAGAAAGGGAGGAAACAAGGCGAGGGAGAACCCGTGCACGCACAGACCTCGCCTAAATATTCGTCAACTCTCCGGGTGTGTCCTTTCAGGGTGGTGGTCTCTACTGATTGGCTGGCACTAGGACAGGGGGTTATTATCAAACAGGAAACGCAAGCGTTCTTGCTGAGTGCCACCACCAGACCCAATAAGCAGAGACAGGGACTGAATCTTTTTAAGTCCTTTATTCAGGTGGACGATGATCTGAGAAGACAGTGAGTTACATTCCCTAACAGACCTTACATTCCATTTCAAACTGACCCTTTTTATAGGGAGAAGAAAAGAGTAGGTAAGGGGTTTGGAATTCAGGGAAAAGGTTAATCAGATAAAAGCTGCAGCATTCCGTCATCTACTGACTGGCAAGTCCTTATCTGTGACCTGAGCGGTGGACATCTCTCTCTGGAGCACAGTGGCTCAGATGCCATCTTAATGGCTTGCAGTCCTCCTGGGGCACAAAGATGGAACTGCTTATGGTCTCCTGAAGTCAAGGTGGGTTATACGTTCAGTTCCTGAAATAATAACTTTTTACATGCATGAATTACTAAGCTTATTAACTCAGAACTAAATTTTTCCAGCTCTTAAGTTCCCGCATCAATTAGTCATTGCATCCAATCCTGATGTCAGCCGTGGCGTTGCTCTGTCTGCTTTTGCTGCTTTTCTGGGCCTTCATGAAGCTGAAACACAACGGAGGCCTAGATATTTGAGGAAAACCCTGACTCTGTGGTCAACAGACCTGAGGCTTTGTCCTTATGATTATCTGATGCGGATCAGAACCTCATTGTCCTGAGGGCTTAATGCTAGAAAGGGAGAGGGAGGCAGGTGAGTCAGGGGGCCGAATGAGACCAGTGTGAATCAACCATGAGTCTTTTTCCTAATCCTGCAGGCCGAGGAATTCTCCTGGCTGCTTATCCTGCCCCACAATCTTAAAGCTGGAGAAAACCTGAGCAATGACCAAGTCCAGAGCATTTCTAATGGGATTAACTATCACTCTTAGGCGATTCACATTATGTCATTTACCCAATGATCAGTGGCCAGGGTGACAATAGAACACAAGTTGTTTTTTTTTAACTTTTCCTCATTCATTTATTCATTAATTCAAAAATGTTTGAGTACTTACAAGCCTCAAGCTGAAATAATTAGATAAAATGAAAATGCTAGTGGCAGAAGAATCTGTAAGGTCTGGTGCTATATCGTAAGTAATATTTAATATATAGTGAGCCTGATGGGGAACTCAAGAGTTAAAGATTTTGGTGTCTGTTGTAGTGGATAGACTTAAGTGACTAATGCTTGTGGAAAGCTGTTTTTCCAGGAACTGGAATGCATGATCTCCAGGAGATCACCAGCAATTCAACCTTTGTGCTCCAAGGGGTCTGCAAGCATCGGAGGTGGTATCTGAGCCCTCCTGTTCCAAGGAGGGAGAGTCTGGTAATGCAGATAAAGAATTGTTGATCAGCAGATAAATGAATACTAAGAAAATTGCTGCTGGACTGCAACTCTTATCAGATTAACCTTTTTCCAAACCCCTTACATACGCTTTCCTTCTCCTTACAGGTGGTCTTGAGATGAGATGTTAAATACGAGTTTTTTTAGGGTACAGAACCTGCCATCTTGTCAGATCACCAGCATCTGAATAATACATCCATAAAGATTCGGTCCTTGTCTCTCCTTGTTGGTTCCGGTAGTGACAGGCAGCAGGAAGGCAGACTCTTCTGGTTTCAAGTCTGGAGTAATATACACCACATTGTCTACATATTCTGGTGAAGGACTTGGAGTTACATTTTGTTTTATATTTCTGTATTATTAGAATTTTTACAAAGAAATGCCACTTTTACAGTCATTAAAACGCAATGGATATTTAAAAAAAATTTCAACCCTTTCTTTACCTGCAGTGTATGACAGCCCTTGACTTACTAATTTCTATATCCTACTCAGCCCAAAGCCCGCCTCAAAGTTGACACCAAGTGTGTCGAGCAAAAGGACTCAATAGATGTGCATGCGAGAAAGGGCTCTATCAGGTTGAAGGATGATAATTTTCAGGGTAAATCCAAAATGTTCAAGTTCATCATTCCGTTAATAAGCTTTCAGATCAAGTTGACACGGCTGCGCAAGGGATGGCTTTTCTCCGTGCAGTTCACGTCCACCCAGGTCAAGCGCGTCTATTTTTCTGGACCACCAGGGCACATCGCGATGCCCGCCTTCAAACTCGAGACCCTTAAGCCTCCAGGTCCACTAATGCAATGACTTTTCGCGGCCGCCCATCCTCGGCAGGCGCCCCACCCCGCCCGCCCGCCCGCCCGCCGGGTGTTCGGAGCCCAAGCTCCACCGCTGGACCCGCCTTTACCCACCTTCACCCACCCCGCAATTTTTGCGTTTCCCACACACCCACCCCGATACTGCCTGCAGGCGGAAGTGAGTGGGCGGGGCGCCCGCGAGGCCCGCCCCCGGAAGTGGGCGGGGCCGCGCGGTCACCACAACAGTCCCCGCGGTCTCCCTCCCGGTCGTGCTGCGACAGAGGCCGGTCCTGGCTTTGTAGCTCGCTCAAGATGGCGGCGCAGCCACCCAGCGGGATCCGCCTCAGCGCGGTGAGCATTCGCGAGGGGTGGAGCGGCCGTGTCCCTGGAGGGCGGGCAGGCGGGCAAGCGAGGGGGGGCCGGCAGTGGGCGGTGGCGACTCGTTGGCGGGTGGCTGGGGCCGCGTCGGGGTCGGGGGAGGGGGCAGCCGTCTCGGTCCCGTCGGCGGAGCGGCTCGGCGGCCAGCAGGGCTGGGCCGGGCTGCGTCCCGGGCTGCGTCCCGTTCCCTCAGCGTTAGGTTTCTGTTTTGCGCCCGAGGCTTCGGGGCGGGCCGGGGCCGCGGCCCCTCCTCCGGGCTCCGTCCAGGCTGTCTGGCCGCTCTGGCCCGCCGGCGGGGCCTCGGCGGCCGACTCGCCAGCCTCGGACCGTGCGGGCCCCCTGACCCTTCCCGGCCTGCGGGCCCGCGGGCACTCCGGAGGGGGAGGGAGCGGCTGGCTGCGGCCAGAAATGCCGGCGGCCTTGACCTCCTGGGCAGCGGCGCGGGGCGCAGCGAGCCCGGACCAGTCTGACTCGTTGAAATTCCTGCCGCTTCCCTCCAGTGAAGCCCTCGGGCGGAATCACGGCGTCCGCGAGCTCGCTGGCTCCCCGCTGGCCTCTCCGGCGCGTCAGTTTCGGGTTCCTGGAAATCCACGCTCCTCCGATCTCGGAGTCGCGGCGTAGGGAGCGGCCGCACAATACAAATTAACATTTCGCGACTGAAGATGTGGGCGTGGCTTTCCTACCTGAGTATTTGAAAAAGTTGGCGGCGCTGGTGGTTCCAAAACGGACCTCCTCCCGGGAGGAGGTGGGTCCCGGGGGTGGCGGCCGCCCGGCCCCCGCCCGGAGCCCTCGCGTGGGGGCAGCCCGGCCCTGCTTCCATTCATTCAGCCAGTTTCTCGCCCACAGCTGGTGCCGTCGGCCTCTGTCCCCGACGAGTGGGAAAGGGTGTCTGGGTTTAACTTTGCACTTCCTGGACGGCTGGGGAAATGGAAAGTGTCCCATTTCACTCTCGGGGGCTTTTGGGCGTTTCTGAAAAAGACCTGTCCTTTGCCCGCGCCCCGGCGTTCCTTCTCCTCCCGGGGTAGGGGGCATCCGTTGGGCAATAAGCGTCCTTCACCCGTTCTGAATACAGGGCCTTGGTGACGTAGCTGGCTTATTGTACGGGGTGGCATTTAGGAGTTCGGGTGCCGAGGGCCGCTCTCTCCTTCCTTGCCACTGGCTTTAAACGGTATTTGCTAGCCGCTCGCGCTACACCTGGGTGACCCTGGCGGACTGGGATGCTCTGCAGGGCGCCCGGATGCTGTCAAGCCTTAGCGAGTGGGACTCTTGTCAGCCGTCCCGCGCCGCCAGGTTCCCAGGCCGGGCCAGTTGCAGGCCCGCGGGGCCGCGGCGGCGAGGGAGGGAGCTGGCGCTGCCCGGGGCGCGGAGACTCCTTCGCCTCGCGCGTCGCCGCCTGCGGCTGTTCCGGACTCGGGGGAGAAGGAACGCGAAGAGCAGGGCCAGACAGTCCGAGAGACGCGGACTGTCAGCTGGCGGCCGGGGCGGGGGGGCGGGGGCGGTTGTCTTTCGTGGGTGAGGGGCTGTTTGGAACCCCGTCGGCAGGAATCTCCCCGCTGCGGCTGCTGGACGGTCTCCCTGCTTGAGGACGCGAACTGGCCGGCTGCAGCCCACGGCCAGGCACAGCCGCCTCCTGCTTCTCTGTGGCCCAGGAGCTGAGAGTGACTCTGAAACGGTTACCGAAAAGTCCAAGACCCTTTCCTCACCTATGAAAACTGTGTGAAATAGGTCCTCCCGTTGCCATGCGTAGGCGTCGTTGGAACACGGGCGTGCTCCTGCGCTTGTGCACGGCCGGCCTGCGTCGGCAGAGGGTCCGGGAGTGGATGAGTTCGTCGGTCTGTCAGAAGCCGCGAGGCACAGAGGTGAACCATCGTGAATGCAGGTGTAAAACAATCGTTTAGTGGGTCAGGAGGTCCCAGAGTGGAGTGTGGAGTGATAAAAACTTATTAAAATATTTGCTTTTTGCCTCCATATTCCTGAGTAAAATCCTGATACCATTTTGTTGTTGTTTTCCAAAAATCCTGCTGTGGATTTAGCGGACACATACACACACTTTTCACCTCTTCCCATCCTTCCAGAGCTTATATGTCTCTCTTTTTGGTTGAATTACTGTATGATTTATCGCTCTTACTATTATTTGCAAGTGAATAAGCCAGAAGTATGACTGTGTTTTCTTGGCTGTACAGCTTTTTGTTTTCACTGAACTTAATTGATTTGTATTTTATGTGCTTGTTTGCTTAGTTTTTCTCTGTACTGATTGATCCCTTTTTCATTCAGACTTTCAGAGCCCTGGAATGTCTTTTCTAGAAGTGTTTAAGCACACTCAGTATTTTGTTAGTTTTGTTGATTGAGTTGTGATTTGGGGACTTCCCTTTATTTTTTATTTTTTTCAATTTCCTTCCCCTTTTGGTAGTGTCTCCACGCCCCGCCCCGTAGGCCTCTTCTGAGGTTTTCTCCCTGTGGCCCTCCCATCTTTGTCCAGGTCCTGAGTGACAGCTGCAAGTGTGACCCTGGGCACGTCACTGCAGTTAACCTATTTGTGCCTGAGTTTCCAGTCGAAGTTATGGGAAAAATCATTGTGCCTCCCTCAGAAGGTGGTTTTAAACATTAAATGAGCAAATACATATAACGGGCAAGTGCATGCTGTAAGCACTGGGGAAATATTTGCTATTTTGTTACTGGTGTGTTGGAGCCCAGCCAGCCTTCCAAAAACAGGTGTAACTCCCTAGGAACAGAGTACATGGGCAGAACAATGTTACATCATTTCTTGAAACTCTTTTTGGTACCATTGCTTGCCCTTTACCTTTAATTTGTCTGGGTTTGAAAGTCTAGGTTAGAAGTAACTTGTCTCAGAATTTTAAGGACACATCTTATTGTTCAGTGGAGTCCTGTGCATTGCCTTGGGCATGTAGGCTGGAAACTTAAGAAAATTTTCTCAGATATTTAATAGATATCTTCCCTCTATTTTTCTGTTCTCTCTTGTCTCCTCATTCCTTTCTCATTGGTTTTTCTTTCCTTTCTGGGAGACTCCTTCCATTGATCCTTTCTCTTACCATGTATTTCGTTAGTATAAACACTTGTCTTATTTTCTGAATGTCTTCTTAAAAATCGGGGACAAAATATTTGTTCTTATCACTGGGCATATAAGTCATAGTATTTTTGAAGTTTTCTTTTATTCTGCATTACCTCTACTTATGTTTCTCTTGCTCTGTTTTTTTGATTTTTTAAACTTTTTGGTTATTGGTTTGAGAGAGAGACACAATGGTTTGGTGTTCCACTTATCTTTATGTTCATTTGTTGATGCTTGTGTGTGTCCTGACTGGAAATGGAACCCGAAACCTTTTGGTGTGTGGCACGACACTCCAACCAACAGAGCCACTCCAGAGATGATTGCTAGCCTTCCACTTGCATTTCCAAGTGAGACATTAAAAGCTGACTGCAAAGTGTTCAGATCCGAGTGTAGCCCTTTGGTAGGCTTCAGTGTTGAGTGTTCAGAAAGGAAGGAGCCAGTTCTTTTTTTGGGTGTACCCTATGTCAGTATCTATAGACACTAAAGAATGAAAGTGTTAGACCATAAAATAAGTATGTGTAAAATAACTAAAAAACTGTTTTACAGTATTTTTTTAAAAGTGAGAACAAAAACAAAGAGTGTTATCCAGAAAGTATAATTGTAAACGACCCAAGTAGAACTATTAGAGTTCATCCCATTTTCTAGAGAGGAAACTTACGTCTACACTTTACATCTACTAAATATACTACACGTTATCTGTCCAATCATCCACGCACAATTGGGTTGCCTCTACTTTTTGACTATTGTGAATAACTTGGCTATGAACATGGGTATATAAATATATCTTCAAGACTCTGCTTTCAGTACTTTTCAGTATTTTCTCAAAAGTGGAGTTGCTGGATTATATGGTAATTCTATATTGATTTGGTTTTTTTTAAGAAACCCCCCCCCCCCCCCCCCGCCATAGTGGCTCTACCATTTTATGTTCCCTTAAAGAGTACACAGCAGTTCCAGTTTCCACACATCCTCCCCGGAACTTCTTGTTTTCTCGTTTCGATGTTGTGTTTGTGAAGTGAATTTATTTTTTGCTTTGTGATAATAGACATTGGCTATATCATTGTGGTTTCAGTTTACATTTCCCTAATGATTAGTGTGCTCTGAGCAGCTTTTCTTGTGCTTAGTGGTCACTTGTATACCATCTTTGAAGTAGCTATTCAAGTCCTTTATCTGTTTTTTTTGAAAAATTGTATTCATTATGCTATTACAGTTGCCTTGATTTTCCCCCTTTGCCCCTCCTCCACCGAGCGTCGTGCATCGTGCAGTCCTTCAGGCAGTTCCCCCACCAGTGTTCATGCCCCTGGGTCCTGCGGGCAAGTCCTTTGGCTACTTTATTTCCTAGTCTGTACTTTACATCCCCATGGCTGTTCTGTAACTACCTGTTTGTACATCTTAATGCCCTCCCCTCTTCACCCATCCCCCGCACCCCCCCATCTGGCAGCCATCCAGAGGCTCTCCGCACACAGGGTTCTGTCTCTGTTCTTAACGAGTTTGTTTTTTAGATTCAGTTGTTGATAGCAACGTGGTTCTTTGTTTTTGTTTTTTTTGTTTTGCCATTTTATTGTTCATAGTTTTGATCTTCTTTTTAAGTCCCTTTAATATTTCATATAATAATAGTTTGGTGATGATGAATTCCTTTAGTTTTTTTCTTGTTTGGAAAGCTCTTTATCTGCCCTTCAATTCTAAAGGACAGCTTGGCTGGGTAGAGCAACCTTGGCTGTAGGTCCCTGCTTTTCATCACTTTGAATATTCCTTGCCTGTCCCTCCTAGCCTGTAAAGTTCCTTTTGAGAAATTAGCTGGCAGTCTTATGGGAACGCCCCTGTAGGTAACCAGCTACTGTTTTTTTGCTCCTTTGAAGATTCTCTCTTTTATTTTTAACCTTTGACATTTTAATTCTGCTGTGTCTTGGCGTGGGCCTCTTTGCATGTTTTATTTGGAACTCTCTGTGCTTTCTGGACTTGACATGTCTATTTCCTTTATGAAATTAGGGAAGTTTTCTTTCACCATTTTTCACATAGATTTCCAGCTTCTTGCTCTTTCTCTCCTCCTTCTGGTGCCGTTGTGATGCGGATATTGGGCTTCTTCAGGTTGCCCCGAGGCCATTTATACTATTATTATTATTATTTGGATTCTTTTTTCTTCTTGTTCTGCGTGATCGTTTTTTTTGTTCCTTACATTCCAAATCATTGATTTGATTCCTAGCTTCATCCACTCTACTGTTGTTTCCCTGTAAGTAGTTCCTTATTTCAATTAGTGTATCCTTTGTTTCTGACTGTATCTATTTTGAGGCCCTAAGTTCCTTGAGCATCCTGACAACCAGGGTTTTGAAATCTGCATCTGACAGATTGCTTATCTCCATTTCGTTTAGCTCTTTTTCTGGAGCTTTGATCTGTTCTCTCATTTGGGTCATGTTTCTTTGTCTCCTCAGTTTGGCAGCCTCCTGCGTTTGTTTCTGTGTATGAGGTAGAACTGCTATGACTCCCTGTTTTAGTAGCATGGCCTCTTGTAGTGGGAGTCCTGTGCGGTGCCTTGGCACAGCCTCCCCTGTCACCCAAGCTGGGTGCTCGAGGTGCGTCCGTCCTTTGTGTGGGCCGTGCACATCATCCTCTTGTCGTTGAGCCTTGATTGCTGTTGTCAGGTCAATGGAGGGATTTACCCAAGCCAGCCAACTGCAAGGATCGGCTGTGACCACTGACCGCCCACCTCCACCCTCCGTGGGGGATTGCAGAGAGTGGGGCAGGGGGGTGGCGCCCTGTCATGGTCTATAGCTGTCCACTGGGTGTGCAAGCTCTGGGGTGTCCTGGGTGGTGCAGGCCCAGGTCAGCCCCTACCTGTGTTCTGCCTGGGGCCACCCTACCTGAGCTATAGAGCAACTTTAGAAGGCTGCTACTTGTGCTGGGCTTGGAGATTCCCAGGGAAGCCAAGCTGTGAATCTATCTGGTTGCTCTTAGTGCCAGGCCTGGGGCCACTTAACAAGAAGTACTGAGCTGGGGGCCAGCTGTTGCTTGTTTGAGAGGATTTAGGAAGTTGTGAAGCTGGAGCCAAGACCAGCCATTCATATGGAAAAGTCCCTGATTAACAGCTTGGGTGGGCCTGTAAGGTCGGGGGTAAATTGGTTGGGATGAAGCCTCAGGGGTTCTCCAGGGCGGGGCCAATGGTGTTAGCCAGGTTGCTGCAGTCTCAGATATGTCACCCGCCTGCCACCTCTGTGGTTCGGTAGGGGGCAGTAGGGGGCGCGTTCAGAAAAGGGACAGTGGCCTCTGCCTGCCTTTTTGTCTGGGAGAAAGCTGTCCTCTGGCTCCCGCCTTGATGCCAGACTTCCATCCCTCCCTGCATATGCCACTGGTGCCTTTCATGCTGCCATCGTGGTGCCTGAGCCCAGAGGGGGTGAGTATGAGTACGTCTGTGGGTTCTTTAAGAGGAACTGTTTGGAACTCCAGAAGTGTCTTCCACTGACTTAATCTCCACTGGTTTTTTGCAGCTGGAAGTTATGGGGACTTACCTTCCTCGTGCTGGGACTCTTGGCTTGGGGTCCTGGTGTGGGTCTGGGGCTCCTTGCTCCTGAGATATCCCTCCCAAATTTTTATCCATCACATGTGGATGTGGGGCCGGCCCGATTCTTGTGTGTGCCCCTCCCACCAGCCTGGATGGATGTGGTTTCTTTAATTCCATAGTTGTCAGACTTCCATTTAACTCGGTCTGTCGGTTCTGAGTGATGATTGTTCTATAGTTTAGTTGTAATTTTGCTGTGGTTGCACGAGGAGACGAGCCCTGTTTCCCTGTGCTGCCATCTTGACCGGAGTCCTGATAAAACTTGATGAGTAAACTAGTTTATTAACATCCTTATCTTCCAGGAATCTTACCTTCTAGGTTATATTTTCCAGGTATATTCTGAAACAAACAGGTTATTTTACTCGGTCTCACTGTTGTTTAATGCAAGGACAGAAAATTATATTTATTTTGTTAAACAAACAAACAAAACCTTTTATGGCTGAAAGCTTTTCTGAAAGCATTTATTGAGCCAAATGGTAGCCAGAAATGGACCAGAACTGGGGCATGAAGTCTAAACCAGCAGCAGCAGGGCTGATGGGAAAGACCAACACGTCCACAGTCCTGCGGTGGATGGGCGCTTCCATACATTAGGTTTTGGTAAAGACAGACGTAAACTGGTTGGAAAGAATTTGCATTGGCTACAGATAAGGGGGTGGGTGAAGCGGGCGGGGGGCGTGCAGGCCCAGGCCCAGGCCCGGTGCATGGCCAGTAAGGAGTAGGGGTTTGCTGCCTTTGGGTGGCCCGGGAAACAGCCCTGAAGGTTCCTGCGTGAGCAGGGTGCTGTGGAGCCTGGGGGCCCTTCCTCACGGTGGGCCCGAGCTCCAGCGACCGGTCTCCAGCGTGCAGGCAGGGTGTGCGCAGCCTGTTGCTAGTGGGCCCGCGGCCCTGACTGGTTACTTTCTCTCACTTGTCTGTGGTATTTTAATGTAGGACCTCTCAGAATTTTTCTTTTCTCAGTTTCTATCCTTAAAAGTAAGACCTGAATTTACATGAATCGTTGGTTTGTTTCAGCTTTGCCCGAAGTTTTTACATACAAATTCTACTAGTCACACGTGGCCATTCAGTGCAGTTGCTGAATTAATAGGTATGTAAAACTGACATTTCATATGTAACCTGTTGCTTGCAGTTGAAGTCCTAAAAAAATTTTTCTTTGAAAAATATTATGTATTTGTGCTTTTTGAAAAAATGAGTGTATCTTGATTGATAACATTATGGGTAAAGGTTAAAGGTTGCCTAGCATAATAGCTATTCAAATGGATGTCAAATTAATCACTGTTCAGTGTTTCCTATACTACTTTCAAAGTATTATAATTTCTAAGTTCATAAAGCATTTATGTTGAAAATATTTTTATTCTGATTATAAAAGAAATAGACCTGCAAAAAATGAGAATTTTTTTAATAGTTGGGAAGTATGTAAAACAGAATGGATTCATTTTTCTGGTGTTAGTTAAGTAGGAGGATTAATGCTCTGTTAGATTTGTGGTAATAAATTCTTGTTTCTTCCAATAGATAGAATGATCAAACCATTGGATTGTATTTAATAATGTCTTAATAGGGGGAGGCAGAGACAAATGTATTTAAAAAGAAAGAAAGAAAGAAAGAAAGAAAGAAAGAAAGAAAGAAAGAAAGAAAGAAAGAAAGAAAGAAAGAAAGAAAAAATGTCTTAATAAACATGAGAAGAGAAGCAAGGTAGTGATCAGATTTACATTATGGGTCATAATTTTGGGGGAGGGAATTCATGTACATGAATTTTAATTTAAGCCTGTATTTGAGAAACATAATGAAATAAATTATATTCTTAGGTATTCTTAGATGTACTTTATTTTATTTTTTAAAATTTATTGACTTGACTTTTTTTAGAGAGAGAGGGGAAGGTGAGGGGAGAGGGAGGGAGAGAGAGAGAGAAACATCGATTCATTGTTTGCTGATTTGTGTGCTCGTTGGTTGCTTCTTGTATGTGCCCTGAGCAGAGATTGAACCTGCAACCTTGGTTTATCAAAAGGATTGTCTAACAGCCTGAACTCCCTGGCCAGGGCTCTTAGACATACTTTAGATTCTTTATCAAGGAAGGATCTATTTTAGAAAAGAAGCAACTTTTGAGCGCCCTTCTTTCCTTTGGTGTAGATTTTCCAGAGTCTCCCAGCTAACATGCTGTTCAGGTGTTTGTTTTGCTTTATTTTGAATCCTCACCCGAGGATATGTTTACTGATGTTTAGAGAGAAAGGAAGGGAAAGAGAAACATTGATGTGAGAGAGAAACATTGTCCGGTTGCCTCCTGTACACGCCCTGACGGGGATTGAACCCGCAGCCTTTTTGTTGTCTAGGACAAAGCTCCATCTGGCCGAGCCACCGGCCAGGGCCAGCTCTTTTTTAAAAACCCTGAGTGGATCTGCTTTAGCCTTGCAGCTATTCACTGTCATTCTTTGTTTGTGGCAACCCGGAGGATCTACCCAACGTGGGTTGTTCTTTCACACAGAGTGGTTCTCTAGCTTCTGTCGGAGGAACTGAAAATCACAGTGCTCTGTGTGGTATGTCAGATTTTGAGTTGTTAGTGGAACACCGCCTGTGGCTGATTTTTAAAGACTCATTTTTAATTGTAGGCTGTCTTATGGAAGGACAGTTTGAGAACCGTTATTTATACTGTAATAACTGGGATATTTGAATGGATTTTAGGTAGTTCACAAGTTAATTGTATTACTGTTGAAAATTTCTAATTTTTTTTTTTTATGTATTCCTTTGTACTTACTCATTCTGACAGAAACAAGGTTGCTAAAGAAGGATGTTGAATGGAAGGTGTGCTGAGATCATAGAAGTGTAAAACCACCAGAGACTTTGGTTAGATTGTTTTTAAAAACAAAATATAGCCAAGGAAATGTGGAGATCTAATTGTCATACAGCGATTCGGGCCTGGGGCAGCATCCTGTCTAGCACCTAAAAGGGCCCTTGAGGGGCTGTGCCAAATGGAAGGGTTTTATAGGAGACTGGGTGGAGCCAGGGAGCTGTTAGGGAAAGGAAAGAAAGGGTTTGGGGGACCCCCTCTGCGGGGTTTATTGTCCTGTAGGTGCCTTGGCTGTTCCTTCTGTGTAGGAAAGAAGGGGCCTGTGGGACCAGCAGCCTTCCTGGTGCTTGACCAGGAAATTCCAGGCTGGTTAAGGTTAATTAAGATCACGCTTCCGGGAGAGGCTGAAGCTGCAATTAAATCAGGTATCAAGATCTAGGTTTGGTATCTTGGGGCTTTAGCACGAGGGACACTATTTTGGGCCTGTGGCTTTCTCTTTAACAATTGAAAAGGGCCCCAGTTTGAAGAACTCTGGAGAAGGTGAACCTTCACCCACCTGTGCAGCTTGGCAGGGAATGCTGCTGCTCTCTCATTGGCTCGGCAGCCACACTGTGTCCCTCCCAGGGTTGGTTCTGCGGGCAGAAGACCTTCTTATCTTGGCTATCTCTGTAATACATGATTTTTCCCATTTTTACACTTTTACAGCTGTAGCGAGTACCAGTATTTGCTCTATGTATAACAAATGGAGGGGCTTTGGAAAGAATTAATTCTGTTATGGTCAATGAGTGACACATAATAGAGTACACTTCTTTTTTTTGTAGATTTTACTTATTTATTTTTAGAGAGGGGAAGAAACATTAATGTGTGGTTGCCTCTCGTGTACCCCACACCAGGTACCTGGCCTGCAACCCAGGCATGTGCCCTGACTGGGAATCGAACTGGTGACCCTTTGGTTCGCAGGCAGGCGCTCAATCCACTGAGCCACACCAGCTAGGGCCGGGGGTACACTTTTTTAGTTTCAGGTTTTCAGATCTTAGGAGTTCTTGACACTTCAACTTTTTAAATGTCCTTAAAATATGTTATTCCGTTGCTTGTTAAGGGATTGTTGTGAACTAATTGCTCTCTTTCAATAATACAAACTCAGAATTTCTCAAAACTTTTGTTTCTCAGATAATGCATATGATCCTGATGTAAATGCTAAACAGATATGGATTGACAAAACAGTGATAAATAACCATATATGCTTGACGTTCACTGATAATGGGAATGGTATGACTTCAGATAAATTACATAAAATGCTAAGGTATGTAAAAGTATCACACATCTGAAAATCATTGTTTTTACCTAATGCAGGGGTTTCATGTTCCACACTTACTGTCCACAGGTTTGTGTTTTAAACGTGAGCTGATACAGCCGCGGTGTGCTCTAGTCTCTTAGTCTTCCATTGTTTTCTGCTGTTAGGTTCTTAGGCCATGCCGTTCTTCTCATCACCCCCCGCCGTATCCGGCTTATCTAAAATTCTGCCATTCCTTTACAGAGTTGGAGCACATTGATATCAGTTATCTGTATTTTAGTGTAAATTAGTTTTAACCAGCATTTCCAGTAATACTCACCACTTGGGGTGGAGGGTAGTTTTAAAGGGATTCCTCAGAAGATGGGGAAGCAGCGTAAAATAGTCATAAGGCCTCAGGCTCTAGGGCCACAATATAGAATGTGTCGGTATGACTCCTAATGAGCCTAGAACAAAAACTAAGATGCTTAGCCTAGGTAGAGGGGGAATTTGGTAGCAGAGGCCTTTCTGCTGTTCCTCCAGTATTCCTCATGGTGCCAAAAAGTCAAGGCAACCCCAGCGGTACTCTTACCGTAGGCTTGCTGAGAATGAGGGGACCGTTCACGCTTACTGGAGATTGCCTGGGGCACAGTTTCAAGGCCCCAGGGACCCAAGTTACATACCCGGCCATTCAGCCCAGGTATGCCAGGCAATGAGCTCCTGTCTGGTGTGTGCGACCCTTACTCACGCCGCAGACGCAGACCTGGTTTCCTTCCCTCAGAGCGGGGAGGACGTGTCAAGGCAGGTTAGTTCATCGCCTAAGATTCATCTCGGAAGGGGGAGGCCAGCATACAGAACCAGGCTTTTTAGGTGTTACAGTTTTTGAATTAAAAACAGGAAGCTTATATGTATTTATTTTAAAAATCTCTTTTCTTTTTTAGCTTTGGCTTCAGTGACAAAGTCACCATGAATGGTCATGTCCCAGTTGGATTGTATGGGAATGGCTTCAAGTCAGGTTCTATGCGTTTGGGTAAAGATGCAATCGTTTTTACCAAAAATGGAGAAACCATGAGTGTGGGCTTCTTGTCTCAGACCTACTTGGATGCCATAAAAGCAGAACACGTTGTTGTCCCCATAGTGGCATTCAACAAACAGCATATCCTTTTGATTTGGAAATGGAAACTAGAGATTCTGAAGAAATGATGTGAACCAGTCTACCCGTTTGCCTTCCTGCAGACTCTTGTTTCTCATCACACCTTCCATTCTAGCTCCTGTGCTGCTGCTGCCTCTCTCCATGGCAGCTGCGGCTCGGCGTCTGCTCCTCTACGCCCTGGGAGTCGTGTCTGGCAGGCCGTACCATTAGGAGGTTGCATTTCATACCGAGCTTCCTGCAGCCTTCCTCTTTATTTCAATCTTGTTATGGCCTAGTAAGACTTGCGGTCTGGCTTGAAAGTTCCCCTAATTGCCTTGACAAGCAAGATATCTTTAGGAAAATGTCTTCTGTGTAAACGCACATTGTTTATGTATTGGAAACTGTTCAGTCAGTTAGGGATAATAAACTTGCGCATCCTTTTGGGTGTTCATTTGAAATCAAATTGTCATTTAAAACTTAGGAAATAATTTAGGAAGTAATTTTCCTGTTACTCAAGTTCGAGTTGGCTACCATATTTGCAATTGTGGAAAATATGTTGGTGGTCTAATTCTTTAACTGAGGATATACGACAGATGATTAATTTAGTGGAATCAGAAGCAAGCCTCGCTGCAATTCTGGAACACTCTCTGTTTTCTACGGACCAGAGTTTACTAGCAGAACTGGATGCCATCATGGGTAAGAAGGGGACGAGGATCATCATTTGGAACCTTAGAAGGTAAATATAGTCTGCGGCCAGCTGGTTCAGTGTTGGGAGAGTTCAGCACATGTGCAGGAGTGACTGCCCTGCAGGCGCCCATGGACTGTTGCACAGAGTAGAAATGCATCGGGAGGGGCTCATTTTTTGGCATAGTCAAAGGTTTGGCTTATTCAAGGGCATTTTATTGAGGCCATTTTGGCTTCAGTTGGGATAATTACATGTTAATAAAAATAAATTTCCTAACCCTGAGGTTTAGACTCCATAGTACTCTATTCTCTTTGTTATTCCACTTCTCTCCTCAAAACAAACAAACAAACAAATACATGAGAAGATAAAAACCCAGCTGAATTCTAGCTTCTGTAAGGTAAAAGAGAAACCTTGGTTCATTTGGTCTAGTACTTAAAGCCAAGCATGATTTAGCATCTGGTGAGAAAAGCAATATAGATCAGACTTCTGTATTACTGAGATTTGTAGTTCTTTATCCTTGTGGTGAGAACGAGGTCCTTTGCAAATAAAAGTTTTAAAATTTAGGATGAACATGTAATATTGAGAGATCTAAGATATACTGAACCATAGAAATAAAGCATAAGTAGTGGGGAACCAAAAATACTTTAAATCTTGTGCTTTTCTGACCTCTTTGTCCCCCCTCCTTTTTTTTTTTTTTGTTTTTTGCTTTTGCTTCCTTGTCCCTCCCCCGGTTCTTTTTTTAATTTAAACTCTTTATTTTAAGATAGTTACATATTCGTGTGCAGTTGTAAGAATGATAGAGATCTCACGGACCCTTTACCCGGTTTCCCCAGCGGTGGCATCTTGCAGAAGTGTGGAACAGTGGCACTGTTGATAGTGACATTGACACAGTCAAGATACAGGACGTTCCTCACCACAAGGGCTCTCCGAGCTGTCCTCTTACGACCACAACGCATTCCTTTTTTAATCCCTGGCAACCTTTAACGTGGTCTCCATTTCGATAACTTTGTCATTTCAAGAGTGTTACATGAAAGGAGTTGCAGCGTGAAGCCATTTGTGATTGGCTTCTCTCATTCAGCATAAATCTCTGGAGTTTCTCGCAGGTTCTTGTGTGTAGCAGTAGTTTGCTCCCTTTTTCTTGCCAAATACACTCGCGCATGTGTGGGTGGACTAGAGGGTGTCGAACCATGCATCGGTTGAAGGCATGGCTCTGGGTTACTTACAGTTTTGGGCTACTTCAAATAAAGCTCTAGATGTTTGTGTACAGGTTTTCGTGGGAATACAGTGTTCTTTTTTCTAAAGTAAATGACCAGGAGTGTTCATTGATAGGTCATAGGGGAGTTTTATGTATAGTTTTTTTAGGAAACTGCCATAACGGTTTTCAAAGTGGCTCTGTGATTTGACCTTCCCACCAACCATGTTTGTGACAGTTTTTTTTTGCATTTTTCTGGATTTCTTTTCTTTCATTTTATTTCTTGCTTTGTTTTGTTAACTAATAGTATTTTGTTGCTTATCTATCTGTAAAGTTAAATTTTTGCTCCTTTAAAAAATTATTTTTATAGCTACAAAGGTGCAACAGAATTTGATTTCGATAAGGATAAATATGACATCAGAATCCCAGAAGACTTAGATGAGACCACAGGGAGGAAAGGTTACAAGAAGCAAGAGAGGATGGACCAAATCGCCCCAGAGAGCGACTACTCCCTGAGGGTATGTATCCAGCTGTCCTGCAGAAGTGAGAAAGTCACCCAGGGCCAGAAGTTAGGCTGTTGGCTTGTGTTGCAACTGCTGCCATTGACCTCTGAATGAAAGCATCTCAGACATGAGCCAACTTCAGGAAATTTCATGAGCACGCTGTTGTGTTTTCACTTAAAAACCGTTTTTTAATTGTGAGGGCATCAGGTCTAACGGCGTTTGTAGTCCTTTCCCTGTGTGGTTTGGTTACGTACTTAGGTTGGCTGGACTGGGATCAGTATGCCCTGTAACGGCCATGTGGACGAAGCAGTCAACAGTACTGAATTGAGAGTACACACGCCTTGACATCCTAAAGCAAGAAATTATGTATAGACTAGAGATAATGTACATTAATAAAATTTTGTGATAAATATCTCTGAAATTTGACCCTAGAAATGGTTGTTTTTCAGATTGAGGAAATTAATATCTCAATATAACAATGATAAGAAAATTAAGTTTCTTATTCCCTATAAGATATATCATGCTGTTCCCTCTATTTTTGTGTTGCATGGATTCCATAACCCCAGGGTGAGGATACATTTGACATTTATAACTTTACCATGTAACTTATTGTTAGCAATTAAATGATGGATGTTGCTATTACTTGACGTGCCCCAACGTGCTATTGAAGTATATATCCTAATTGTTAGGAAAACCTTGCTCTCAAGTATGAATGAGTGTGGAGGCCGCCAGAGCAGATGGTGTGGTAGAGTGTACCACAAAGCACAGTGTTGTATCATTAACCAATTACATAAATGCCAAAGCGCCCCTTGATGCTGTTGAAATCAGGAGACAGGAAAAAAAAGAATTCAAATAATAGTTTTGCAGTGAACCGTTTATCTATCTGTGAGTTACTTAGTTCATTTCCTGTGGAGATTTCTGATACCTTGGAGGTTGGCACAGAAGAGTATATTTTAAACATGTTTAAGGATTCAAAATTTGGTCAACATTCTAAAGTGAGGGAGGCCCTGTCCCACAGAGGTCCGCCCTCCCCACCCGCAATGGATAAAGACAGAAACTGTACCAGACACTATTTTCCTGTCAGGAGAGGGGTAGTGATTCCCTCCAGTGGAGAACACCCCAGCCCTTCTCTTGAAGTGGCTTTTATTGAGAACAGTATGCGCAGGAGTATACACCATGTGTGCAGGCTTATCAATCAATGCCTAAAGGTTATATTTACAGAAAACAGAGATCATAGAAAATAATTGGAGGAACACAGAGATTTGCCTCAGGTCAAGGTCTGGTAGACAGGGTGAAGCCTATTCAGCCCTAAAATCTGGGAAAATAAACTCATCCTATGCTGGGACCCCACACACCTGTGCTCATTACCTTGTGGGCATTCTTAGCAGAGTAGGTTTCAAAGGAGTTAATGCACTCCTTTGCCGGGCCTAATTGCCCCTGGGAACCGCCTGATCCAGATCAGGGCTGTACCTGCCTCTAGTATTATTTCAAGCTGGAGTCAGGCTGGTAGAGCAGAACAGCCAAGAGATAAGGAGACATTTTAGATCGAATGAGGACTCCAGCCATGACAAAGCCGAGGGGTGGGGGTCTTCTACACCTTCTCCCTATCCCCCAAGTCCTTCCCTGATGGCTCCTATGCGACTGTGCCTGTCTTAGGTTGCCCCTGCCATTAAGGGCTCTTACCCGTCATTGACCAGCCAGCCGTCCTCCAGGGCCAAGCAGGGCGATGTGAGGGAGGCAGGGGCTCAGCCCCCACCATGGGAACAGGCTTTGTCTCCTCAGTGGCCTGTTTTCCCAGGGCTGCCTTGCTCAGCTCCGGCCTCGGGGCCCTCTTGCCTGTTGGCGAGGCTGCAGTCCCTGAAACTAGGCAGGACGGTTCCCAGTGGTAAAGTATCTAAACTTTCATGATTAAAAATTGATAACACATTTAGGTAGTTAAAGCTCACTTTTGAGAAAGTGCTATTCTTGTCTACTCTGAGTAAGTATTAGTGCATCATTTATAATTTTCCCTTTTCAAACTTGTAACTGTCCTTTTTGTTTACATTATTTCTGTCTAAATAAAATTTACTGATATTTTTAAAATCATAGCTATATATGTACTTCACAAAAGAGTCAGGAAATATAATCCTTTTTTGTACATGTATACATTTTTCAAAAAAATTGATTCTGGCCCTGGCTGGTGTGGCTCAGTGGATTGAACTCCAGCCTGCGAACCAAGGGGTCACTGGTTCGATTCCCAGCCAGGGCACAGGCCTGGGCTGCAAACCAGGTCCTGAGAAGGGGTGTGCGAGAGGCAACCACACGTTGCTCACTCGTGCTCGCTCGCTCTCCCCCCACTTCCCCCTCTAAGATAAATAAAGTCTTGAAAAAATTTTTTTTTATTATTCCGGAAAGAAGGGAAGGGAGGGCAAAAGGGAAGAGGGAATCATTGATTGGTCACCTCTTGCATGCACCCTGATTGGGGACCAAACCTGCAACCCAGGCACGTACCGCGAAGGGAATTGAACCTGTGACCTTTCAGTTTGCGGGATGATGCCCAACCAACTGAGGCACACTTGCCAGGGCCATGTATACATTTTTTAATAAATTAAAATAAGATCATACCAAACATGCTGTTTTGTAACTTTTTTCACTTAGCAACACAAGTATTTTTTTTTGGCTATAGTATATTGAGTTTATTTTTACTGAAAAGTATATATAGTGTATCGTATTTTATTGAAGAGTTAATGGGTCTTTTATGAAAGTAAGATAGTAGCTTCTTAAATACATGTGTAAGTAGTGTTGAACAAATCAATAGATAATTGTTTTATGTCTTTTCAGGCTTATTGCAGTATATTGTATCTAAAGCCAAGAATGCAGATCATATTACGTGGACAGAAAGTGAAGACACAGCTAGTTTCAAAGAGTCTTGCTTACATCGAACATGATGTTTATCGACCAAAATTTTTAGTATCCTTTATTTTCCTTTCTATGATGCCGCGTAGAGCTATGTTATGTGTATATCCCTACCCCTCTTCTCCTTTCTTCCTGATACTGATTCTAATCCTTTCTAACATTGCCCTTTTTTGTGCACTTTTGGACTCAATAAATAATGAAATGGAACAGGTGGTTTGAAGGGAGTGAGGTGGTGTGTTCAGAATTTTCCTTAACATTTAAGACTAAAACAGTGAGAATTACTTTTGGATTCAACTGCCGAAATAAAGATCATTATGGGATAATGATGTATCACAGAAATAGACTCATCAAAGCTTATGAAAAAGTTGGATATCAGTTAAAGGTAAGCTGAAGATGTCCCTATTTTTATTAAAAGAATAACTTGTTACTGAGTCAGATGTGAAATAATAGGCTTTTGCCTTATGACTTAAATGTCAGTGTTTTTAATAACATTGGTATGGCTCTTGAACTTAGAATGCTTTACTATTAATTTCTCATTTGATTCTGAATAATCTTATGAGGGGAACCGAATATTTTATCTCCGTTTTGCAGGTGAGGAAATTGGGGCTGAGGAACTCGCCCAGACCTAGTGATGAGTGTGGGTCTCTGGTCCAGATGCAGTTGCATCTTTTAGCTGCATTTGCTCGTAGATCCCTGCTTATTTCATCCTGGAATGAAATTGGTTCATTTTAATTACTGTTGACTCAATAGCCTGAAAAAATAGTATCTGGTAGGTGATGTGCTTTTCTGGAGTTAGCTCCTAAAAATGGTAGAGCCTCCCTCCTGAGGCATGTCCACCGTAGAGTTCAGTTCAGGAGGATTGTCACTGTCCCGTGTCAGCCTGTCTGTCCTTCACATGTGTTCACAGAATGGTTTTTTTTGGGGGGGGGGGGGTGCATGCTAAGAATTCAGTGATAAATTCTGAAAACCAGCTCTGTTAAAGGCGTTAAGCCTAGGCATGTTTTGTTTTCCAATTCTGTGGCTTTCATTTTTGATTCATCTTGTTTCATTCTGAAATTTCCGTAGAATAATGTGAGCTCTACACAGTAGGATAGTGTGGGTTTATCTTGAATGTTATTCAACGGGTTGTAACTCTGTATTACATATTTTTACATGGCATGAGCTCAGAATACAGCATTTTTGCAAAAGTAAATGAATGTTGTTGGGCTCTTTGTAACCATTAACTTTAGTCACCAGATAAATCCAAAACTCTGATTTATTTAAAATGCTAATTTTCATTTATAAACAGTAGGAATTTTCACCAGAAAAATTCTATAATTAAAGTTCTTGAATTTCACCAGTAATTGGGAATGCACTTTTGGTAATAGGCCTTAGTTCTCCAGTGCTGTGGGATTCAAAAGAAATACTGTATTTGCTACAGAATGTCAATTCTATTTATCTTTTACCATGTAAGAATCTGACTTAAGAGATGTAGCCCTTTTCCCCACACAGTTAAATTTTGCATAGGTATAATTTCTGGTTAAGCTCGCTCTTGTAAAAAATATGCTTTTACCACCAACTTTTAATGTTTTCCTTTCCCGGATGATGGGCTGGACCTAGTGTTTTCGTTCTGTGGATTCAGTGAACATTCATTACGTAGGCGTCAGGTACCTGCTGTGATTTCCGACGCCGGGTGCACGGCATGAAAAGATGACGAGGTGCAGAGCGTGCCCGCGGAGCCGCGGTGCTGGAGGGAGCAGCGCCCTCGCAGCGTCCGGGAGGGCTTCTCGGGGACAGTGGTGACTGGGACGGGGGCAGGGTTGGGACGTCTGCAGGGCCATCAGGCGGAGAAAAGAGTGTCTGCACAGGACGGGGAAGGAGGCTCTGAGGCGAAGGCATCGTTAAGGGAATGCTTTGCTGCGCTGGTCCAGGTGATAAGTGGGAAATCGCAGTGGGAGGGGCAGGAAGGTGAGGCTGGAACGGAGGCGGACAGGAATTGCCGGTGGGAGGGCGCTGTGGTTTGCAGGTGGTGTGAGAGGTAGAACCGCCGAAGGTTTTTAGCAGAGTAGGGTTAGGGTTAGATTTCTGTGGTTTCATCTACAGTATGGGGCAAATGTAGGTTTACAGTTTTTCATGTGGAAGGTAATATAAGTAATAATACGAGATAAACTCTGTTTGGCATACTCACAACTGTAAACTTACTTATGTCCCCCTGAATAGTTATATTTATGAAAACTTTTACTTTCTACATATTCTTTCACTTTCTATGTACACTCAGAAGTAAGCTACAATTGTGAACAAAATACACTTGATAATTACACATAGACCATCAGAATGTGACTCATGCTTTGAGTTCAGTATTTTAGCTAGCAGCATTTAAAACATCGCCATTTGTAGGTTTTTACTTCATCGCCATTAACAACTGGATGTGCAGCTTTGGAGAAATGACTAATGTGATCTGGCAAACTTTGAGAGTGTTATGTGCCAGAGCCTGTGCTAGACATGTGGGCATAGCAGTGAGGTTGTTGCGGTTTCTGCTGTCTAAGAAGTCACATCCCAATGGAGGGGTCTTTTTTCCTTGTGTGAAATTGGGGGTGACGATACTTGTCTAAACGGACCCTTGACAACAGCGCCGGCGGTTTTGGAGGGCGGCTCTAACATGCTCGGGGCTGACTCCCAGAAAAGTGAATTACCTCCCAGACACTGGTTTTCAGTCTAAATTTCAGGAGATAAAATACAGGAAAATGTTTGATACAAACTGCAAATCTTTGTGGGAGGGTGATTATTTTGAGTATCACAGCTTATGCTTAAAACACCAATTTCATTTTCTTTCAGGCAAACAACATGGGCGTTGGAGTAGTGGGAATTATAGAGTGCAATTTCCTAAAGCCAACTCATAATAAACAAGATTTCGACTATACTAATGAGTACAGGTGTGTTAACTATTTAAATTTTTTACTAAAGTGTTGTTTTTATCTTGTGGCTGTTCTTACATTGTCGAACATTAGGGAAATGGGTAGGTGGAAAGGCTCGCACAGAAAACACATTCCACTATGGCCTTGCATTCCAGGAGCGGTGTCCTACAAGTAGAAATACATTCTTCTGCCTTTACTGATGAGGTATTTCTGAGATTCATAGGAAATAAAGGAAGTTCCTATGTTCTCGGTATTAGCAGAAGTGGGACCTGGCCCCGCAGGGCTGCCTGGGGCTGGCCAGTAGCGTGTGGGCTCTTGACTTTGTGCAGGAAAGATGTCACTGCGTGAGTCCAGGAGGTTTTTAGAGGACGTTTATTACAGTGGAGAGAGTGGAACAAGCAAGGGCCTGGAAGAGGCCGCAGGAGAGGGACCTGGTGGGGAAATGGCCGGGGGCCAGGCTGCTCTGGCTCACTGGGAGGTCAGAGAAAGGGGGCTTTGGGGACAGGGTGCTGTTAGGTGGGAAGTTTTAATGCCAGACCACCCTGTGTGGTTACTTTAGGTCTCTGAGTTTGTAAGCCTCCCCTGAGCTTGTCAGGGTTAGTAGGTGGCCCCATTTTTCATCCACAATTAGAATAGAAGGTGATTGCTAAAAGGGGTAAAGAAAAGATGGCAGGTGTCCAGGACTAGCTGATACAAAAGAGCAACTGTTACCTTTAGGCTAAAAAAGAGTAGACACTGGAGAGCATTATGCTAAGTGAAATAAGCCAGGGGGTGAATGACAAATACCAAATAATCTCACCTCTAAGTGGAACCTAATCGACAAAACAAACAAGCAAGGAAAATATAACCAGCGACACTGAAAAAAAATCAGCCAATAATGATGAGAGGGAAGAAGGGAGGGGGGTAATGGGGAAAAGAAGAGTCAAACCAAGGAACATGTATAAAGGGCCCGTGGACAAAGCCAAAGTGGGGAAGGACCGAAGGTGGGAGGTGGAGGCGGGTAGGGCGGGAGAAACTGGTAGTGAGAAAATGGAGACAAATGTATTTGAACAATAATAAATAAATAAATAAATGAAATGTCATTACCAAATCAAAAAAAAGAAAGTAAACAGAAAAGGACCACAGAGAGGGCTCCCTTGCCTCTGAAGTCCGAGGTTTGGATCTCTTTGCAGAGGCAGGATAAACGCAGGAGCGAGCTGCCTGCTGGCCGGCGCCGGCTGTGCCGTGGCCTCCTGCTGGCCGGCGCGGGGGGTGGCTGGACTGGGTTGTGAAGGCCCGCCCTTTGCAAGGCTCTGGGAGAGCCAGCGCTGGTCTCTGCTGCGGGGCGGCTGAGCCGAGTCCGAGGGCACAGCTGGAGCTCCTCTGGGAGGCTCGCGGGCTCCGGCCAAGTAATGGCAGTGGAGTCCCGGAACCTGAAGGGCAAGTGTCAGCTGCTGTCGCCGGGAGGTTCACTGCCGACTAACCCCGTTTAACGTTGCGCAGGCTGGCAAAGGGTAAATGTTTACGAGATCAAACTCTAGTACCACAAAACTGAGCAAGGAAGGCTGGATATGGAGCTGAGTTAAAATAAATTAATAAGTGAGGCAATCAAAAAGCTCAGTGTTCGTTCTTTGATAAAGTTAATAATCTAAATCTGGCAAGACTAAGGGAAGTCAAGGAGAAAACAGATACTGTCAATATCAATTGAAAAGGAGGACAGCGCTGAAGGGCCACAGACACAGGCTGCACCAAGGGGACAGCATGAGCTCCGACTGGGGAGGCCCGGTGGTGGGGCACGACCCCGCGGGGGGGTGCTGGTTCTACTTCCCGTCAGCGCACGAGCCAGGGCTGCGGGCATCACACTAAGTAGGCTGCGTTGTGAGGTGGCATGGGTAGTTTTTAACATTCAAAATTTAATGGTAGCCATCACACTTGTGTTAAAAAAAGAAAACTCATGGTTATTTTCACAGGTACAGAAAAAGCACTTGATAAAACAACACTTCTTTGTGATTCAGGAAAAAAAATGAACATTTACAAAACCATTATTAGAAAGGGCATCGTAACAATACAGCTACTTACAAATACCAGTACCCAAAGCATTCACAAAAAAGTAGCAAGCATCATTTCATATGGTAAATTGCTGATAGCTGCCCCCGCCTGCAAGAGTGAGAATGAGATAAAGATATTAGCTATTTACCCTCATCCTTGACGAAATAACCAAGACAATAAGGCAAGAAAAAGAAATGAAAGTTACAGAAAGTCCAAAATTATCTGCTAACCAACTTAATAAGGGAGTAAGTAATGCACAGGGTCTGGCACAAATAATGCCCCTTTTTTATTACAGAATCTTCTGTTACAAAATCATAAGCATGTAATCTGTAACATAAATGATATCACACTCAAGCACAGCATATGACATTGCAGGTGAAATGTTCAAATTAAAACTATACATTATTACCCTGGCTGGTGTGGCTCTCAGTAGATTGAGTGCTGGCTGAACCAAAGGGTCGCCAGTTTGATTCCTGGTCAGGGCACGTGTCTGGGTTGTGGGCCGGGCCCCCCAGTTGAGGGCATGTGAGGGGCAACCACACATTGATGTTTCTCTCCCTCTCTCCTTCCCTTCCCTTTTCTCTAAAAATAAATAAAATCTTTTTTTAAAAACTAAATTATTACACTCATAGTATTACCCTACCAACCACACTCAAGCAGTTATTACTTCTGTCAGACTTTGTATATTCTAAGGTTATTGGAGAAGAAATATTCAGAAATCAGTTGTATTTCTGTATACCAGGAACACAGGAAAACAACATGAATTTTTTTTTAAAAAAATTACTTTTAGAGAGGGGAAGGGAGGGAGAAAGAGGGGAAACATCAATGCGTAGTTGCCTCTTGTGCGCCCCCTACTGGGGACCTGGCCTGCAACCGAGGCATGTGCCCTAGACTGGGAATCGAACCAGTGACTGTTCGGTTCACAGGCCGGCACTCGATCTACTGAGCCACACCAGCCAGAGCAACAACATGATATTTTTTAAAAATTATATATAATAGCATCAAAAAACCAAGTACTTTGGAGTAAATAATACATGCAAAGATGTCAACACTGTGAAAACTAACAGTGTTGTGGAGTGAAATTTAAGGAGGAATACCAGATTCAAGAATTGGAAAGTAGGATATTATAAAATGTCAGTTTTTCCAAAACAATTATATGCAATTCCAGTTTAAAAACAAACAAACAACAAAACCCAGCAGGTGTGTTTGGGTGTTGATAATAGTGATAGGCTTATTCTAAACTTCATGGAGACAGTCAGAGGGCCAAGGATAGTTAAGATAGTCATTCAAGAACAGCAGAACAAGAGGACTTACACTATTAAATAGCATTTTTAAAGCTGTAGTAACTAGGAACGTGGGTATTAATGCAAGGATAGACAGTCTAACGAGATGAGAGTAGAAAAGCCAAAAACAAACGCCCACTTTTCATACACAGGAATACCAGATTTATGACAGGTTACATTCAGGTGTAGTGAGGAAATGATCATCTTTCCCAAACTGCTGGGTCGCTTGGTTCTCTGTGCAGATAATACGAACTTGAACTTCTGCCTATCCAATGAAGCAAAAGGCCAGTTCTAAATGGATTGTAGACCTAATTGAAAAAGGCAAAAACAAAATGGAAACAACATTTTTATAATCTTTAGGCAGGTTTTTAGTTTTTGGGTTTGTTCTTTTTTTTAACTGAGACACAAAGAATTATAATGAGCAAAAATGGAGAAATTGTCTTCAGTATAAGTAAAACAGCAAATGTTGGCAAGATATAGGGCAGTTGGAGCTCTCATACATTGCTGGTGGGTGTGAACCTTGCTGATCCTTTTTGAAAACAATGGTGCTCTGTCAAGTAAATGCTACCTCATGACTCTACAGAAAGGAGTGCGGCCTCATGGACTGAGGAATAGAGGTGATGAGAAAGATTGGGAAGAATTGTGGCTTCAGTCTTACTTATCTCAGTAGGTCCCATTGATTTGCTTTTTAACATCTTATTATGGGGCTTGGGGTGGTGAACACAATACAATATGCAGATAACGTATTGTAGAATTGTACACCTTAGACCTATGTAAGTTTATTAGCCAAACCCCAGTAAATTCCATTTTTAAAAAACCATGTTATTGTGGGAGAAATGAAAGTCTTAATTGTGGGACAGAAGCTATTTAAGTGTACCTGCACGTGATCATCGCATACTTTCATAAACCGGAAGTTTGAGTTCGGATCTGCGTTGAGGCTTGTAAGGTTGGGGCTGAAATTCGGAGGGCCTGTGGTTCTCCCGGTGATTGGTTGGCAACATGCTTTCACAACAGGGGACCCGAAGTATTATTTTGTGTCTTATTTCCTGGATGATCCTGGCTCTGTGCTCTGCTCTAGGAACTCAGAAAGGTCCTCCTAGAAAACTGTCATTACTGGAGTGTTTTGTGTTGACTGTGCTTCTGGAGTCCGTCCCCCCTCCCCCATTGTCCACGTGATCATTACTGGGCTGCTTGTGCTTTCCCCTTTTTTTGGCAAAAATTTAATCTTTATCATTCTTTGCCCTTAAATTGATTTTGTAATTTATTTTTTGAGGCTTACAATACTGGCACTTGGAGAGAAACTGAATGATTATTGGAATGAAATGAAAGTGAAGAAAAATGCAGAATATCCTCTAAATTTGCCAGTTGAAGATATACAGTAAGTATACATTAAAAATGCCAACCCACTCTAATATCAAGATGTGTGGTACTGGGGGTATAGTGATTGTCCAGTGTTCACAGTTGACTCTAACCCACAGTAAGAAATAAATTCTACAGCTCGAACCAGCATACTGTAAAGTGAACTGATGAATACATACGAGGTCTGTCTGGAAAAAGTCCGACTGTTAACATAATGAGAATGGTTTGAGCCACATCAATATAACCTGGCAGCCAAGGAGAGTGGACTGGAATGCGCATGCTTGAACAATGATGCGTTCACTGTGCTAGTCAGTGAGGGCGGTAGATGCCACTGAGTGAGCACATGTACTGTGTGGCCATCACATTCAAAATGTCCAAGCGAATAGAGCAACAAATCTGCGTCAGTTTTAGCAGGAAGCTTAAACATTCCTCTGCGGAAACTGTTCTGATGGTTCAGAAGGCCGCAGCTGTGGACGCCTGTGATTGGCAGCTTCATCAGGACACTATGCCCGCGTGTGCATCATGTCTCCCTACAGCCCGGATTTGGCCCCCCCATGACGCCTGGCTTTTCCCAAACCTAAAAGCACCTTTCAAAGGGAAGAGGTTTCAGACCGTTGATGAGATTCAGGAAAATAGGACAGGGCAGCTGATGGCGATTGGGAGACTTGTGTGAGGTCCCAAGGTGCCTACTTTGAAGGGAACTTGAAGTGCTTTTGTCCTGCATACAATGTTTCTCCTATCTTATAGTATCTTCTTCAATAAATTATCTACTTTTCATAGCATATGGATGGATACTTTCTGGACAGACCTTGTGTACATTTATTTATAGGTAGTCACAAAAGATTCATGAAACAGTATATACCCATGTGTTGTGGGTTATCATTTATTTCATTTTTAAAAATGCACATCTTGACCCATTACATTGATTTTGCAATCTTCTAATAGTTTGCATATCATAGTTTGAAAAACTCGTCTTCTGTTGTTGGGTTGTGAGTGTAAAGCTAGACTTGAGTTTAGACTCTAGTTCTGCTGCTGAAGTCACTGTGAGATTGAATTTGTTACTTGGCCTTCTATAAGCTTCCATTTTCTCCTTTGTAAAATGGAAACACGAATGGAAACACATTTACCTCCTAGAATTGTAAGAATTAAAGGGTAGGGTGCCTGACAAACACTGGGGAACACACTGAGCACACGGTAACAGCCGTGTGAATGCGGAGTGACTCTGTACTGCTGGGAGGGTGCCAGGTATACAGTGAGAAACGAGGATACAACGCAGTGTATTAATTGCCCGTTGTGTTTGTGTGTGTGTGTGTGTGTCTCTATACACATGCATAATGTAACCTCCTGAAATGGGTTCGTATTTACTTTATAAACTTTTGGATTGTTTGAAGTTTTATATAATTGTGTAAGTGCATTTTTGTAAACCTAGATTTAAAAAGTTATTGGCATTAAGGTGAAGTCTTCATTGTTAAATGTGTCTAAAATCAATTCTTTACAGGATCAGTGTGATTTTTAAATGATAAAAGTAAGAAAGTTTTATAAACAAAAAATATACAAATTTTAGTTATTTAGAGATGTGTATAATAGAGAGTAAAAGTATAATAAAATTATAAAAAATTACTTAAACTGTAGTAATACAACTTGTCTATTTTCTGTATCTGAGTGATTTATTGTGCTAATAAATATATTAGATTTGGCATTGCAGGTGGGCTAATATTAGTTTCAGAACACAGCACTTGAAATATTTTGAGTTGAGTTTTTATTATCATAGAACAAATTTAATGGTATGCTATGAAATAGTACATTTAAGTCACTTTGCTTAAATTGACCTGTCATTTTTGACCCTCTGTAGATAACCAAAAGTGTTTTGGTTTAACTTGCTGTCCGCAATAATAGTTTTGTTAAAGAATTTTCAGGAACAGAATTAAATAATTGGGGCATTTTATGATGGAAATGATGTAGAAGATCTCATGGAAGTGTGTTTGGCGTCCATATTTCCACGTAATATCTTATTGTTTTGTCATAGGAAACGTCCTGATCAGACATGGGTTCAGTGTGATTCCTGTCTAAAGTGGCGAAAATTACCAGATGGGATAGATCAACTTCCAGAAAAATGGTATTGCTCCAATAACCCTGACCCACAGTTCAGGTACCATATAGTTGGTAGTGCCCTTTTTGGAAAGGAGGAAATGCTGCTTAAGATGTATGAATAGACGCTGGTGACCTGTTCTTCCCATGTGATTTTTCTGACTAGAAATTGTGATGTTCCAGAAGAACCTGAAGATGAGGATTTGGTGCATCCCACTTACGAAAAAACCTACAAAAAGAAGTGAGTGCTGTATTAATGTGCGGTGGGAAAGTAATTAATGCCCATGCCCTAAACAGTGCTGTGTCTGCAGTATTAGTTGATGCCTCTGCAGGACGAAGCTAGGCCAGCCGACTTTGAGCAGCGTGGGCATTAGGGGTGCCCACCAACGCCCCCTGCCCCCCGCTTAAGTTACAGAAATCTGCCCGTAACTTAAGTGGGCGCACTGCATATGAATCTGCAGACAGGAAACCCAGGGATGCAAAGGTCTAAATGTATGTTCCTTGAAAAAGATTCGTGTACAGGAGCCCCCGCCCAGTTCAGACCCATGCTGTTCAAGGGCTACCTGTGCAGCCGAAGGACTGTGACCCCAGAAAAGATCCTGACGCGGAGTGCGTAACAGCAGGTGCTTTTCAGAGCAGTCCATGCCGTGGGTGCCTGCTTTTTTTCACCTGCTGGTTATTGCCATCCTATATACAAGACAGTTTTCATACAGGATAGTTTGTCTTTGGGGGTCTCACTCAGATGCTTCATAAGTGAATACTGCCCTTGATGAGCTGATAGTCGCCCAGGCGAGGGGCAATGCATGTGTTACACGTAGAAGTTGGCAAGTGCCACAGAAGGCGCGGTCCAGTCCTGTTGGGAAGCCCGTGCAGAGGGAACGCTTCGGGCCTGGGGATGGCGAGGGCAAGGGGGTCGGGAACATTCATGAAGGACGTTTTGGGAGCAGACCTTGAAGGTAGGATGAGAACGCACAGGGAGCAGCGGTGTGTTCGGCTTTACTGGAGCGCGTACACGTGAGTGGGCGCAGTGGGAGGTGGGGGTGGGCTAGCGAAGGTGGGAAGTGCACGGGGGTCGGCTGGCCTTGGGGGACTGCGGCTGGTGGGCTGCACACCGAGGCTGGGTTCACTAAGAGCTTCCGGGGAGTTTTGATTTATAGTGCGCTGTTTTTTTTCAAGATTAATCCAGCAGGATTGGAGTAAGCAAGCCTGTGAGGTTTTCCCATTCAAAGGCCTGAAAGCACTGGGCATGGAAAGTTTGAGGCCAATGAGGTGAGGGTGTTACTGAGAGAAGAGGCGGAAAGTGTTCCCTTGCTTAAGGGCTCCCCTCTGATTATAGCGTACACATCTTTGCAAGACAGAATTGAAAATAATAATGAAGGAAATTTAAATGCTTTTCTTTTGTTTTTTAAGAGACAAGGACAAATTCAGGATCAAACAGCTGGAAAGGATCCCTCAGGTAATTCAACTTTCCATTTCGTAGCTGTGTCTTATATTGGGTGATGATTAATTTAACAAATATTTTTAAAGCATAGGAGTTGCATAACAAATTGAAGTAATCTTGTTCATTCAGTTCACATGTTCCTCTTTGTTAAAACACTTATTTATTGGTTTTTATAGAGGAGGGGGAGAAACATCAATTTGTTGTTCCACTTAATTTATGCATTCGTTGGTTGATTCTTGTATGTGTCCTGACCCAGGATTGAACCTTCAACCTTGGCACATTGGGATAGTGCTCTAACCACCTGTGCTACCCAACCAGGCTCCTCTTTCCTTGTACCCCTCCTTGCCCTCATTCCCAACCCTGATTTCTTAACCCAACAACGTCATTTAAACTGTTTACCTTTATTATTTAGTTGGGCATCTTCTAAGGATAGGCAGAGATTCTTTTAAGAACGCTGTTGCTAGGCAGTCAAGGAGAAGTTCGCAGGACCCACAGGGAGCCTTATTCTAGCACTAGCCTGGACCCGAGCTATGGTGATCTCTTTCTCTTTGTTGGCCACCCTCCCGGGCCCTTTTATCTCTTCCTTAGTGCTTACTGGTGTTAAGGAGCCATTTCTGAGTGTGTGACTCAGTGGTTGTACATGTGTGAAAAGTTGTGGTCTGCTGCAGATGTGTACGTTGCTTATAATTGCATGGAAATATTTTCTTGTACAAAGGCTTCGGGTTTGGGGGTGAGAACAGAACTGGGGCAAAGAATAGCAGGCTTGCTTTGGGTTTTAAAGGCAGTACCTTTATGACTAACAATTTCTTTCTTTTAGAAAAATAAGTTTACCTTGGGGTTTGGGCCTTGCACATTAAAAAATTCCTTTAAGATCAGTTTTTTCCCCTCTAACAGATTAATGCCGAAATGTTGTTGCGGACAGTCCCTTTGTCAAGTCAGAGTTTTACTCCCGTGAAGGACAGTGTTCCAAGAGGACATCTTTCAGAAGCCGCAAATACTTATGCAACAAGACTTGTGAATAATCACCGCGGCTCACCCCAGTCGGAATCCGAGAGCAACAGGTCAGCAGCGGAAGTGTGGTTTTCCATTTGGGGAATGAATAGTAAATGGAGCCTTTATTTGGCGCCTGTATGGCAGTAGTGCAGCTCTAAGAAATTGCTGTTCATGTGCAGGTACAAAGTCATAAAGACAGGTGGCTTTGCTTTTTTTGTTTGTGTGTTTTTACAGCCATTTTGTATTGCTTATGAAAGGATCAAACATCACATCAGACATTAAGAGTTTTAAGTAAGCTCACCGGTACCCTGATAGTTTAATGTACTTAGAGATACATTTTACTTCAGAGTCAAAATTTTAAGTCCCAGTTATCCCACATAAATGTCTTGCTGAAATCCCATTAAACTGGTTGTCATTTTCCAGGGATTAAAGGAATAATAAAATCAGTGGAGATTTTGATTCATTCCAAATATTTTTTGAGTATTCTAGGCCAGGTGTTGAAGATAAGGAAGTTATCTTTCTTTTTCATGGAGTTTACAATCTAGTGAAGAAATTAAGGATAATAAGTGAAAATATTTTACCCTTTCCTTTGTTTGCTGCCTCTTATATTTTTGCAAGTTGATTCTATAAACCATTCTGATGAGAAAAGTCAGCTTCCACCTGTAATTTGAAGAATCATCTACCAGGGGAGTCCAGCCCTTTCGCATCTCCAGGCTACACTCGAAGAAGAGGAGTTGTCTTGGGCCACATATTAAATACATTGTGGCGTGTAATCATAAAAAAATCTCATAATGTTTTAAGTAAATTTATAATTTTGTGTTGGGCCACATTCACAGCCATTCTGAGCTGCAGGCGGGCCACAGGTTGGACACCCCTGATTACACCTCGTAAATAAAAGAAAAATGTTGTTGGCATCTACTGTATGTCCAGGACTTATAGCACCCAAGAGTTTCAAGGCTGGGAAAGAAGTTTCTAGAAAGAAACTCATGTCGTTTTGGTCTCCTAAGATTGTATTTCTCTGATATCGATGAATCCAGCTTCTGTTGTATCTGGGAATGAATTTGAACTGTATGGTTTATCGACGACCTACCTAACCTCCTCACTTCACGGTCCCACCGTCCTGTCACCGTTCCCGCTGAGACTGTCCAAATCCCAGCTCTCTTGATTTGGGGGCCTGCAGCAGATGATGTAGAGGCTGTCACAGTGCCACTCTGGGCTGCCCGCAGGGTGCTGAAGGCCCAGGTCTGTCTTCTTCAGTGGGTCCCCCTTTAGCCAGACCACCACCAGCTGGGGAGAGACCAAGTGACTTTGCTCTTACTGTCTACACTTACCCCACCCTATTATGCCACCTAGTTAAATCAGTTAAAAAATAGTAATTGTATTTACTGTGGAATCTGATCAGGTCACCTCTTTGAGATTCTCTATAATATGGAAATTTCTACTTTTAAGATTATCAGTATCTGAGGAAAGAAAAACATGAATTACCAGTACGACATTATAATGTCGAAGATGACCCGTAAATTCCTAGCGTGACCGGTGGCACACTGTGGAGTTTGGATAAGTGGCTGGAGGAGGGGTAGAAAGAAGGGTGGGAGTGATAGCAGATGGGGCAGGTGCCCTCCTGGCCGAGCACTCAGTGCTGGGGGCTCCCCGGTGCTGCGGGCCTGAGCGTGGTCCCCGAACTCCTCGAGGTGCTGCCCTGCGCCCGTGGCCCGTTCGAGGGACTAGAAGGAACACAGGTGAGGAAGGAGCATATTGCCAGTGAACCGAGGTCAGACTGACTTCACCTGGTGTTTATTGTTGAAAGAGAACAGTAGAATGAGTTTCTCTGACATAGTGAGGCCAGTTTTTCTGAGAGTCTTTGTAGCCTTCATCAAATTTTCTAAGGGATTTTTTTTTTTTTTAATCCTCACCCAAGGATACATTTACTGATTTTAGAGAGAAAGAGACATTAATGTGAGAGAGAAGCATTGATCAGTCACTTGCCTCCCACATGCACCCCAACTGGGAATTGAACCCGCAGCCCTTTGGTGTGTGGAATAATGTTCCAGCCAACTGAGCTACCCGGCCAGGGCTCTTCAAGGGATTTCTGACCTCAGGAAAGATCAGAAATAACTGACTTTATGATATGTACATCAAGGAGGGCATGTCACAAAACAGCTTGCCATTGGTAGCCCATGTTTTGGGGACTTGTTTTGTGGCTGGACTGCACTTAACTGAGAACTCGTGTGACGTTTTGTAAACCTGTCTCCTTCATACAAATGGTTCCAGACAAAGTAAGAAAAAATAAAATCGGTAAAGATTACAGACAAAAAAGGATGGTTATTTTTAAAAGTGATTGACATTAAAATGGAAGAAGAGAACAGAAAATTTTCATTAATTTTTAAAGCATATATTTATTTTCAAATTCATAGAGCCAAAGCCTGTGGAAATGCTTACTAAATTAAGTCTTGACAATGACAAATAGTAATAAGCCTGGTAAGAAAAATTATAGGGCAACTCCCAGTTAACTTATTACCTCCAGAGAGCCCTAGAGACTGTGAGCTTGCAGCGCCGGCCGCTTCTGAAGGTGAGCGGCGGGCCGAGAGCAGCCTGAGGAGGAGCGGCTTCCCGGCCTCCCCTGTGTCGGGGTCGCCCTGCTGCTCCCCTGTGTCGGGGTCGGCGCGGGGCGACCTGCTGTAAGGCGTGGGTGGGCACAGTTGGAGAACAGGAGCGAGTGAAAGTTTGAATACTGGATGGCGAGAAATCCCCCTCCCTCCCTCCCTCCCTGCCCTCACGGGCCCCCGGGAGAAAAGCCCCACCAAGGTGGTGACAGTTGGAGTGCCCTTGAATCGCAGCCCAGTCCTTGCTCTGGAGGAGGAGGACAGAAGGAGGGCGAAGCCGGGAGTCACCATGCACGCGCTGCAACAGAGGGAGCGGAGAAACCACGTGGTAGTCACTGAGGGATGGGTGGCTGGAAAGGGGAACAGTTGGAAGGCAGAAAAAAGGAGGCAAAGCACAGGAAGGTCAACGCCCGAGGAAGGGAGTTTCAGAATGGGGGCTCGGAAAACAGGGAGGAAGTGATGGAGGAAAGGCTGACTTCCTGTAAATACGCAGCATGCTGTCTGGGGAAAGCGCCGTTCCGAGTGACGGCGTGGAATTGTGGGCCACCAGGCAGACAGCTGTTCTTAGGGGGGAAAAACCAGCCCCTGCAAAAGGCTGAGGTGGGAACAGCCGGAATCCTGAGTGGTAGACAAATAGTTTTGAGAAGGAAACTGCCAACATGAAAGTCTGTGTAAAACCAAGCCAGTACACCTGAGAGGTAAATAAATGCACTTTTATCATATGAAAGTTTATATTTTTTATGTCCTTTGTATGCTTTCTCAAGAGTTTACTGGAGGTTGTGCCCCCTTGATAGGGGAGAGTAAGCCCAAGAAAGGAAAACCTTTTTTTTTCATCTTTAGAGAGAGGAAGGGAGGGAGAAAGAGAGGGAGAGAACCATCCATGTGTGGTTGCCTCTCATGTGCACCCCCTACTGGGGACCTGGCTGGCAACCCAGGCCTGTGCCCTGACTGGGGACTGAACCGATGACTCTGGTTCATAGGCCAGCGCTCAGTCCACTGAGCCACCCGGCCAGGGCGGAAGAATCTTTCTTAGATGAAGGAAACCTGAGGTCTGACACTCAAGGCCCAGATAGCAAACCAACACCAATACCCCTTTAAGTGGGGCAAAAAGTACTCGGTGGGTGATAAATTCACAGGAAGCCAAGCAAGTGAAGAACACTGGGGCGGTTGTTAAGGCAGGGGAGATGGTTTTACATGAAGGGATGGGGCAGACCGGTTTACTTAGTGCTCCCTTTTGATCACTGGACGTTGAGACAAATCACGGGCAAGTAGGAAGGCAGGGCCACCCCCTGAGCGCTGGGCTACAAAGGGCGGGCCTGCGGTGGGTGGTGGTGTCCGGTTTGGGACATGGGTGCGTTGAGATGCCGAGAGGACAGCAGATGAAGCATGTTTGGCAGTAGAACGTCTGGTACTTTAATGACACCTCAACAGTCTGTTTCCTCATCTGCAAAAGGAGAAAATAATCTCTACTCCATTAACTCGTTGGGCAGTACCCTAATAAGTATACCAGTGTTTGAAAAAATAAGCATGGCTCTTTTTTTGAATTATACACTACTTTAAGGTCATCTATTTTGTCCATACTATATGTTATTAACTTTTATATAAATTTTTTTTCTAGCATGAAACGGAGGCTTTCTACTCGTTCCTCAATTTTGAATGCAAAGCATCGGAGATTGAATAATCAGGCATTTGAAAATTCAGCTTATAAAGATGATGATGAAGATGTCATCATCTTAGAAGAAAACAGTACCCCCAAGCCTGCAATAGACCATGATGTGGAAGTGAAATCCGAGCAGAGTCACATCGAGCCAAGCGGTGTTCAGGTTGAGCCTCTGGGTGACGTTGAACCTTGTGGCCAGACTAGTTCAATAGGCACCTTGCCACCCATGTGTGATCAGGGAACTGCTGTGGCCACCCAGACTGAAATGCCAGGTTTAGTTGTCAAAAAGGAAGAAACTACTGAAAATGACATAAGTACAAGACATGACACAGCTGTACTGCCATCCTGTGTGGAGCTCGAAGGAAAGACGCACGAAACCCCGGAAACCTTTGATAAGTCTGCGGGCGATGCAGGGTTCCAGTTAAATGAACTGAGAAGTGAGCTGTTTCTAGTTACCCAACAAAAAGAAAATTATAAAAGACAGTGTGACATGTTTACTGACGAAATCAAAGTGTTACAGCAGAGGATACTGGAAATGATCAACAAATACGTGAAGAAGGAAACTTGCCATCAGTCTACTGAAACTGACGCTGTGTATTTACTTGAAAGTATCAATGGCAAATCTGAAAGCCCAGACCACATGGCATCTCAATATCAGCAAGCTCTGGAAGAAATAGAAAGGCTGAAAAAACAGTGTAGTGCTTTGCAGCATGTAAAGGCCGAGTGCAGTCAGTGTTCCAATAGTGAGAGTAAAAGTGAGATGGACGAAATGGTTGTGCAGCTCGATGATGTATTTAGACAGCTGGACAAGTGCACTGTCGAGAGGGACCAGTATAAAAGTGAGGTGAGTTATGTCGTTCAGCGTCATGGCAGCCCTGGGAAGCCCGGGCATCTACATCTTACAGAACTGCCAGTTGCTAGATTGGGATGAATCACTTAGTATTTCCGTTGCTTGACTGTTACTCCGCCGGTTCTCACCTGGGGGTTGGTCCGCCTGGGGGCGTAGGGAAACATGTAGGGGTCATTTGGTCCTTAACTGTCTTGAGAAGATAGGTGGGCATTGCTGGAATTCATGGATGATGACCAGGCCTGGCAGGTGTCCTGTCGTGCACAGGACGTCGCTGGGTTGCTTTGCGTTCCAACGTGCGGCTGTGGTCTGAGAGGGCCCTCAGGCCCTGCCAACACGTGTCTGCATGCCAAGCAGCAGGGAAGAGGAAGATGCGGACCCTGAAAGTGACTCATGTTCCGTCTGTTGGGACTTAGTCTCCTGGCTAGTGGGTGTCTTGGTACTGCAGTCTTCATTCAGGGTTTGTTGTTTTGTTTTGTTTGTTTTTTTACTGAGGAAAAACGCTTAGATATCAGGAGACAAATAGTAGCCGCTGCACATGACCCCAATTCAAACTTCGGTAGCTCGCTCTTTTTTTTTTTTTAATCCACACCAAAGGATATGTTTATTGATTTGAAAGAGAGAGAGGAAAGGAGAGAGAGAAAAACCGTTGCTGTGAGAGAGAACCATTGACGGGTTGCCATCCATGCACACCCTCACTGGGGACTGAACCCATGACCTTTCGGTGTACGAGATGATGCTCCAACCGACTGAGCCCCTGGGGCAGGGGTGGGAGCCCCTTTTGAAGAGCATCTCTGTTAGGTATCTTGTTTCCGTGGTGTTGGAAGGGAGGGTTTCTCTGCTCAAAAGAGTTGGGAAACAGTACTGCCCTTCTTGGACGTGCTGCTGACTCAGCTGCTCAGTAGGGCAACTTCCCTTCTTTGCGTGCAGTTGGCTTTGGAACTAGATGACAAGACCTATCCAAACCAGTGCCGGCTTTGTTATAACTTAGAGCTGCTGAGATTAAGGAACAAAAGCCACTGGGACCGCAGCAGAATATAGGCGCTTTTCTCTTGGTTTTCCAGTGTTCGGGTACCATTTGTTTTCCATCGAGTGGTAATTGGCATTTTGTAGTCTTTCAATTAAAAAGATACACAGATGAAACTAAACAAATAAAGCTTAGTTTATAGAAAGCTATTGGAGGTTCTGTCTAATGTCTTTTTTATGGTAATTTTCATCAAACTGACTTTCTACTTTTCTTAGCTTAAATTTGTACTTCAATATTAGTATTTTTAAAATTTTACAGTTAATTTTTTTTTTGGCAGGTTGAATTATTGGAAATGGAGAAATCACAAATTCATTTACAGTGTGAAGAACTGAAAGCTGAAATCGAACAATTAAAATCTGCAAGCCAACAGAAAGGAACAGATGTGTCAACTTCAAGTGCTGTCGAGGAGTCTATGAAGTTTGCTGACGGGGAAAGGTAATGTGAAACGGGCCCTTTGCTGTGGCTCAGCTCGGGTTAGTGAGGTCCTGGTTTGCTGACATGCGCCTGACGGCTCTTCTGTCCGAAGCAGCTGCCGACTGCTGGGACCCCAGCACCGTGAGACAGAGAGGAGAAGTGCGCATCATCATCCTTCCCTTGAAGAAACTAACAGTTCAGGGTCCACCTAAGTGAAACAGGAATTTTGAGTGAATAAAGCACTTGATCGGTTAGAGTGGTTTGGAACACTTGATTCCCTTTACAGTGGTACTTCAGTACTTGCCATTAGTTTGTTGCGGTGAGTGATGAGCAAGTGACAATTGATAAAGCAGTTTCTCCTGCGGGGGGCGGGGGGGGGGTGCATTGTGACTCATACAAGTTCTAGCAAATGTGATGAGTGGTGAGCAAGCGCCAAGTGCTAAGACATCTTTTCTTGTCAAGATGCCATGAGTACCAGGTTTGATGAGTTCTGAAGCCGATGAGTACTGAGGTACCCCTGTACTTCGGCATTTGGCACCATTTCTTTATCGCTTGCTATCTTCATTTTAATACTACGTGCCTTCCCCAATCTTAACTTAGAGAATCCTGAAGTTACTAAAAAAAAAAAAAAAAAATTGCCGTAGTACAGGTGATTATTAGAAAGAAGTTCTGCGAAAACAAGAAAACCACAAATGAATGATTATCCTACATCAGTAAGATATAAAATAGAATTGGGGTTCTGTTTTGATTTGTTTTGTTTTTGAGAGTGGAGAAGTTGAGGTGAGAGGGGACTGCATTGATGGCTTACCATTCAGAAATAGACGTTCAGGGCTAAAATCGTGCAACTCTTCCTGCTAATGTGCTAGGACTTCAGATCTAAAAGGTAGTGTTGAGAGAGAATTTCCTACCATCCTCACTTGACATCGGTTACTACGGTGTGTTTCAGATGAAGTTTTTGAAAAATTTCATGAAATCTGTTCATGGAAATAGAAGGAATAGAGCCCTTCATAAACACAGAGGGAAAGATGTCAGAGAAGACTCCCAACTGGTGTTTCTAAAAGCGGGAACTACAAGCATCTATGGTGCTCATAGAAATGCGGGTCCTTGAGCCACAGTGCAGTTTATCGCATCGGACACTTGAAGCAATCTCCCACTCGCTTCTCTTGCTCACTAACCTTTGAGTAACTGATGTTTTTCTAGACATATGCTTCCCAAAATAGCCACATGTGACTACTGACACTTGAGATCTAGCTAGTCTGGCCTGAGACGTGCTTTCAATATAAAATACATTCTCGAGTTCGAAGCTTTAGTATGAAAAGAAAAAGAATGTAAAATACCTTAGTAAAAATATATTTTGAATGTTTGATGAAATGATACTTTAGTGACATGGGGTTAACTAAAATATGTAACTACAGTTACTCCGTTTTACTTTTTACCTGAACTATCTGAGCATGTAAAGTTGTGTATGCAGCTCACGCGGTTTCTCCCGGACATCAGCAATGAGGCCCCGCAACATAGGTGGCCGACGGGAGGGGTTAGCCAGAGACCATCAAAGACCTCAAGAGGGCGTCACGGGGCCGCCCCACTCTTTACTCTGCTGTTCGTGTGGGCGAAGGATCCGGTTATGAGAGAGGGGGTGGTCTTGGTAGGACATGGGGTGGTTGGTACCTTCTGCACAGCAAACCAGAAGAATGTGCAGGTCACAGGCCCCGAAGGGAGACGGGAGGTGAGCAGGCAAGCTTGGGCAGAGCAGGGCTGGCGAGAGGTCGACTTCCGGCCTGACCAGAGCTTCCGGCCGACAAGACAGGTTTCGGAGCATGTTTTGTGCATTGGTAACCCAAAGATGAGCGTCTCGCCCCAGTCAGAGATTTCCGTGCTCCAGAGGTGAGTGTCTAGGAACTGAACGTGGAAAGCTGCTGGAGCTGGAGGCGCCAGAGCCAGCAGCTGCCGCCTTCTCTTGATCCTTGTGTTTCACGCCGTCTCTGAAGCCCGGGCTGCTGTGTAGCTGTAGGTGTTTAAAGTCGAAAGTGTTACTATTCAGATGCGTGTACATGAACATGAAAGGAATGAGAACGGTGACCTTATCCAGGACTTCTCAGTGGCTTCAGCAAAACAGCTACCTATAAATGTATTTTTAAAAAATGGGTAGTCAGTGACTTTTAGCATGAACTCTTGTGTTTTAAAAAATATTGTTTAACATTATTTAACCCAATGTTTTATAAGCTCATTTGACCACAGAACTGTTTCTTTTTCCTCTTATGCAAAAATGGGCATCTTTTAGAACATGTTTCAGGGAACAGTTCAGTTTCTTTTCCTCAAAGGGAGCTGAAACTCAGAGATGCATTCTTATTCTCGGATCAATATTCTCACTAGTGTATCACTATTGTTTACTAGGTGATAACAATATTTTGAGTTGTAAATAACATTTTATAAGTTATATATTTTACTAGTCCATGTTTTCTCCAGTCTCAAATGAAAATTGTATTAGTTGGAACGAAAGAGAGCCTCTAGTGTTCCGAAACACTCCTGACCAACAGATGTGTCAATACTGCATTGACTTATGAATTATCAAATAAGTGGGTTAATGTTTCCCTTAAATAGTGAGCCCTACATGAATATTAAACTGTATTACAATGTTATCTAATAAATGTAATATTTGTTATTTGCAGCCTCAAGCTGCGGTCTCTCCGCGTTAACGTAGGACAGCTGCTCGCCATGATTGTTCCTGACCTCGATCTTCAGCAAGTGAATTATGATGTTGATGTTGTTGATGAGATTTTAGGGCAAGTTGTAGAACAGATGAGTGAGATCAGTAGTTCTTAAAGTATATTTTGTATGAGATAATAAAATATTTCCTCCATTCTTTTGGTTGTACAGCTTTCAAGATTGTGTTTTATAGCTACGACAGGTGACAGGCGGAAGAACCATAGCCTTTTCTGTATCCTATGCATTCAAGTGTGGCCACAGATACATGGACACATTACCACACCTTTTGAAATGCCCGCAAGTTGTTGATTTTGGGCGGCTGAAGAGCTAACTCATGTTTCTGGTTTAAAATGTAAATATTTGTAATTAAGTCTGCACATATTTTTTTATTGCCCCTTAATAAGAGGACATAAGTGTCTTTCACCAAGAGGCTTTCAGGTTGCTCCTGACCTTTGTGCAGCCTTTTCTGGCTTCCCAAAGTGTATTTGTATCTGAAGGGAGGGCTGGGCCGTAAAGCAAACGGAAAGGTGCCCTTTGGTTTGTCACAGAGAAGGATGGACGGGCATCCTGACAGATAGAGTCACGCTTTTGGTGAGATGAGCTGTGAGTGAGTTGAGCTTTAATGTTTCTTTACTATAAATTCTTATCCCTTAAACATTTTATTCATGAAAATAACGTAAGCAACAACGTCTCCGTCCATTTTGCTGGGACATTTTCTGTACTGAGGTTGCCAATCATGGTTCAAGTGTTTTTATAGGACACACAAAGGATCTTCAGTATAAAAAAAAGTATCAAGTATTTTAACAGCCTCACCATGTTTACGTGGAAGCCCATTTTTGGCTGCTTAGCATGGAGTGGGCACAGTGATTGTTAAATATTTCTTTTATGAAATTTCCTGTACAGCCTTTTATGGGACTACTACAGGTTAATGTGAGTTGAGGAAGACAGTCTTTCTCGAACAGCACTGCACACCTTTTATTATATCACACACCTGAGTGTTTTATATCCTGGAGTTAAGCAGCAGATTGCCCTAGGATTATAGTATTACCTGCCATAAAAATTAATGCTCTGTTGGTTCCTTGTTTTGTGCAATTCTTAAAGAGATGGCTTTCTATTAAATATAACTGTGTATATGTAATTAATTTTCCACAACTAAAATGCGCATTATTTTTTTCAAAGTTTTATCATTGCTATTTATTTTTACTTTTGTTTCTGAACATTCAGTACGTGTTCTTTTTTGTATGTATGCTTAATTACATATGTGTCATGTATAATATCTAATTTTTACTGTACATTTTGTTCTAGAAAAAGCAAATAAATGAAGATTGTTTTATTTGCTTGATAAAGTAATTGAAAGTGTATTTTTGGTATGAAGCTGGTTTTCTGTCACAATTGTATCTGCCCAAAATCTAAAATATCTTGTAATAAAATAAAAATATATATGATGGCTAAATCTTCAGATATTACTTTTAAAGAATTCTATATTCAAATTATATTTTGAGAACTAAAATTGTGTCCACTAAGACCCTTATCCTAAAGTTGAACTCATTTTACTATATTAATTACAAGTTATATTTAGAAGACTAAGCCCGTCTCCATTAAGATTATAAGGCTCATGTTGAAAGGGAATGTGTGTGCGTGCTTATATTTGACACTTGAAAAGAAACTTTTCTTGTGTCTAAATCATTTAAGGAAACCTTGTCTGAATCATAGCTATGTACAGCAGGTCTAAGTTTGTGAATATTTATGTAGTGGTTCTTTCTGGAATTTGCTATTTTTTCCTTTTGGTCAGCTATATTCTTGCAAAACTATTTGTATCTTAATATGGATGTTATTTGGCTTAATGGGAAAGTTAATCATAAGATTAATATGAGAACTTTGTTTGCTAAATTGGTTCTTTGGAAGTACTTACATATTTTTCACCCTTATGAAAACATTGCCAACTTCTGATTCTTTGAAAGTAAGGCTAACAAATTTCAACAGAAGCAACGTGGACTTTCTTGGCATGTATACCACTTAGGTATAGATACCTATCTTGTTCGTTACATTAAATTTGTAATAGTGTAGGAGGGCACTGTTGCTTGCTTATTTTTTTTTTTGGTATTTTTTCCATTACCATTTTTCCCCTTATTACAACCCCCTCCCCCCAATCACCACACTATCCAGGAGTCCCTTACCCGTTTTACTCAATCCCTCCACCCCCAAACCTCCCCAGAGCTGTCAGCCTGCTCTCTGTGAGTCTGTCTGTTTTCCTTGTTAGTTCAGTTCGTTCGTTAGGTTCTACATGAGTGAAATCACGTGGTATTTGTCTTTCGCTGGCTGGCTTAGTTCATTTAGCATAATGTTCTCCAGGTCCATCTGTGCTGTGGCAAAGGGTAAGATTGTCTTCTCCTTTACAGATAAGTAGCGTTCCATTGTATAAATGTCCCATAGTTGTTTTATACACTCATCTACTGACAGACTCTTGGGCTGCTTCCGTATCTTAGCAATTGTAAATAATACTGCGATGAACATTAGTGTTTCGAATTTCTTCAGATAAATTCCCAGAAGTGGAATCATTAGGCAGTTCCATTTTTCATTTTTTTTGAGGTAACTCCATACTGCTTTCCACAGCGGCTGCACCAATCTGCATTCCCACCAACAGGGCAGAAGAGTTCCCCTTTCTTCACATCCTCACCAGCACCTGTTTGTTGATTTATTGATCATGACCATTCAGACCCCTGTGAGGTGTTATCTCATGGTGGTTTTAATTTGCATTTCTCTGATGATAGTGACACTGAGCATCTTTTTGTATGTCTATTGGTCATCTGTATGTCCTCTTTGGATACTAATTATTTTTAAAACAAAAACAACATGAGGAAGTAAACCAGAATAGTCCACAATCGCAACAAACAGGCTCCACTTTAGTCAGCTAAGGTGACAAAGTCAGTAAAAGTCATGTTCTGACACAGCAGGCAGGAGTGGTGTGTCCTATGGATGTGTCTGTCACTTGCGCCCTACATTCCTGATGTGCAGGTGCTCCTGACCACTGCACACGGCCACAGACGCTTGATCCTTGCTGTCACAGCCTATCCCGTCAGCTGTCATTAAGGAGTAATTAAAGTGGCACATACTGGTGGTGCTCGCCACCAGCTGTGCATTAGAGTCACCTGGGGAGGGTTTGGGACTCCCAGCGCGAGGATGCGCCCCGTGCTAATTCAGTCACTCTTTGGGATTGGACCTGATACCGGTATTTTTTTAAGGCCCCTCAGTATGCCATCAGAGCCGAGAACCCTTCATCTGTCCCTTCCAGCCCGAGGAGCATTTGCAGACGGTGCGCTTGGGTGGTCCCTGAAACAAACCTGGGATCAGCACGGCCACTTTCTCACTGGGGCGAGTGAGGAGGCGGGAGGGAGAGGCAGTGGAGGTGGAACAGAATGGTGTACAGTGAAGAGACCTCCCCACCTTCTCCCTCAGGGTAACCACCATTGTGTTTTTGTATGTCCTAGAAAATACCAGTTGCATGCATGTATACACATTCATATGTATGCGTTTATATCTTTATATTTGATTACATATTTATCAAATTTACACAATGGTGTTACACCATATAATTGGTAACATTTCCATGACCTTAGTCACATTGTATGATATATGTTCCTAGTGCTCATTTATTTCTTGTCTTGACATTACAAAAAAGGCTACTAAGGAAAGTAATAAATGCACACCACACACACTTTCTCAAGTATATCCAGAGCGTGAGTCCTCTGCAGTGAATATTGATAGATCAAAGAGTATATGCTATGCACATTTTAATAGAGTTGGCATCCAAAAATGGTCGCAGGAACTGATACTCCTATGAAAAATGGGCGTGTTTTTTCCTTTATCTCTTTGTCAAACTTTTCCTAATCTGATATGGGAACAAATGGTCTCCGGTTGGACATGCTTTCATGTGTTTTAACATTTTAATTTCTTCAGAATACTATGTCATATTCTTTGCCTGTTTCCTTTTGGATTCTTCGTCTTCCTTAAAGAAGCTAAAAGCTTGTGTCAGTGGCCCAGGCATCACCCAGACCACACCTAGCTGTCAGAAAACCTACAGGCGGTCTTATTTTGCAGTGTCTCGTAAACAGACTTTTCCGCAAGGTTGCACAGGATAGCCCTTGTTTTGCAAGCCCTTGGCCTCCAAGGCCCGGCAGCCTGCTGCAAACACCGGGAGTGCCTGTCGGCAGGGTCAGTCACTTCCACCAAGCTCTCAGACTAATGTACGCAACCAGGATACCAGTTATACAATGGGAGTTAAAATTGCCAGTTGAAACACACACCATTTGACCTGCTCATTCCCGTCCAAAGGCTTCCGGGTCACTGTCCCGACCGTCCTTTCCCATCACAGGCCCCCCTGCACCCACTGTGTGCTCTGTTGTCAACTGTGAGTTTCTTTAGTTCCAATCCCCAATTCCCAGCGTTGCTCATCCCAAACTCGATCACCTGAAGCCCACTTTAAACGCTCCACTCTGCAAACCGGTGGAGCCTTGCAATCCTAAATAGCCTTGTCCTTGGAACCGCTGAGAGCACACTGTTCTTCCACGCTCCTTTTCACTTTATCTTTATATTACAATTCCTTGTGTACAGGCCCACAGGAGGCCGAGGACGGTCTCTGTATTTTACTGACGTTTGAAACTCTAGAGACCAAGACAGGGCCCAATGAATGTTACAGCTCTCAGATACTCACTGCCCTAGTGAAAGACCGGGGCGTCTTGGGCGGGTCTCAGGGTTCCTGGCTTGCAGGACCGCTCGCCTCCCCTCACCGAACGGTAAGTCCCCGGGGGCTAAGCCTGGGTCAGCTTCGCCGTCCGCTGTGTGTCCAGCGCCGGCGCACGGCCCTGCGTATGGCTGAAGTCCAGGCAACCCTGGCTGTAAGAAAAGATCCACGCGGGAAGAAGGGGTCGAACGAATGAATGGGCGAGCTCACCCATTCGCCCACTGGCGTCGGCCCTGCGGGGGGTGGGGCGGTGCCGGCAGAAGCGAGCTCTGATTGGACGACTCGGCGGCGGAGGCGCTCCTACTCGGCCGGGGTGGGTCCCGCGCTCTGTAGCCCCGCCTACGCGGGACGGGGCGCGCGGCGCGCGAGAATAGGCGCGCGCAAAGGTGCCGCGGACTGACCGAGCCCCTGCAGGTACGTTTTCCGCGCCCCTGGCTCTCCTGTCCCCGTGTCCCGAGGGTCTCCGGACCGGACCAGCCCGGGGCGAGAGGCTCTCTCTCATGGCAGGCGGCGGAGGCCCGGGATAGCCCCGGGGAGGCGCGCGTTCGGGCGGCCGGTTCCCGCCAAGCCCCAGTCCCGCGCGGTCTCTTTCCCGCCAGTCCAGGTCTCGGCTTCTCGGGCCGAGCGCCCTGCCCCGTACAGCCTGGGAAAGTGGGGTCCCCTTCCCCGGGAGGCTCCCTGCCCCGTCATTCCTGTTCCTGGAAAGCGGGGTCCCCTTGCGACCCCAGCCCTCTCTTTTTGCAGCCTCCGGGCAGTCGCCCCCCACCCCAACAGCCAGCTCCTCTTGGGGGACCTATACCTGGCATCCGCCTGCTCCTGAGGGGTCCCTTTCTCTGGGGCACCCCCTTCCCCGGCAGCCGTCTCCTCCTGGGAGCCCCCTCCCCCGGTCTGCCAGATTCCTGGGAAGTAGGGTTCCCTCGCGGGCTCGGTCCCTCATTCTACAGCCCCCTCCTCTTGCACCTCTTTCCTCCTGAGGGCTCCCTCCTCCTGGCGGCCCCTTCCCCGGGTGGCCCGGCCCCCCAGCCCTCCAGGTGTGTCCCCCCAGTCCCCACTAAGCGGGGGTGGGGCCAACCTCCTGATTTCCTCTGCCTGTCGGTCCATTTTGTTTTCCGGACCGACGGACGGACGTAGCAGGACAATCTCAACCGCGGAGGGCAGAGGATTCTAGTTGGAACTTGCAGGGTCTTGTGTCAAGATGTGATTGGCCTCCTGCCCCACACAGCTGCCTCTTTCCTGGGTCGGGGTCCTGGCTCCTCGCGAGCGTTCAGGTTTCCTGCCGTCATATTCAGTTCATCTCTATCGGCTTTCCGCTTCCCTCTGTCTTTGGAAAAAGAACGGGCCGAGGACCATCCCTGCCCCTCGGAGACGCGAGAGGATGAAAGTCATCACGTGCGAAATCGCCTGGCACAACAAGGAGCCGGTGTACAGCCTGGACTTGCAGCCGGGCGCCGCTGGGCGGACCCACCGGCTGGCGTCTGCGGGCGTCGACACGGCCGTGCGGGTGAAGGGGCGCGGGGGCGCGGCGGGGGCGCAGACCGAGGGGCGCGGGCGGGCACCGGAGCAGCCTCCTCCAGTCTCTGATTTGCAACTACCGTATTTTGCCGTGTATAATGCGCTCCCCTGTATTATGCACTCTCACGTTTCTGGCCCAAACTTTCAGGAAAAAAAAATCTTTCGTTTTAATTTTATTTTTTTATTAATTCATGTTTAGAAACAAAACCAATGATCCTATTCCAGGGCCTTATTTTGCATACGGATATCGTTATAGCTTTCTAGAGTTACACTTTTAACACATAAGCATAAATAAAAGAATTAAAAACATTTATATAGATATGGAATTAGTACTACCCATATATACTGCGCATCCTTATTTTTCCCTCAAAAATTTGGGCAAAAAATTGCGCATTATACTCGGCAAGATATGGTAACGCCCACCAACTCAAAACTACTTCCTCCTCTCTCATCAGAGGGCTGAGTCCCAGGGCCTTGCTGACCCGGGAAGCCAAAGAAAGCCAGCCGCTTCCTTCCTGGGGTCCTGTTCCCTAGACCGAGGGACCTGGGATGCCAGCGGGATGAGGGTCCTGAGCCAGGTTCCCGCTGGGGAACAATCTGCCCCAGGAGGAGGGAGGAGGGACAGCAAGCAAGGGGGCTGTTGGCTTACCTTTCAGATAGAGGTGCCTTCATTTTATGTTTCAGGAGAAAAACTAGATTCTCTTCCTGGAAATAAGCATAGGGTGATAGTGTTTCAGTGGGCACAGCACAGTAGGCGCTCACTCTGTGTTTCTCTGGGTGAATGTTTTGGTATTAACAGATCTGGAAGGTGGAGAAGGGACCAGATGGAAAGGCCATTGTTGAGTTTCTGTCCAGTCTCGCTCGCCACACCAAAGCGGTCAATGTCGTGCGTTTTTCTCCCAATGGGGAAATGTTAGCCTCTGGGGGCGACGGTGAGTATTGTACTTCAAAATTCCTTAGAAACTACAGACCCATGTGGCAAAGAGCGGGATTTGAGCAAGAGAGGTCGCTTGACCCCGTCAATCTATCACCTAGATAGCTTAGTAAAATAAAAACAGTGTTCTGGGGAGCGCGAGCAGATGGAAGACAGCAAACTCAGACTGAGAAGACCCACCTGAGGGCGGCCCCCCACCCCCACTGGCCGCCGCTGGGCCGGTCTGGAGATCGGCGGCCAGTGTTGATCGATGGGCTTGAGTCTTGCAGCCCTACTCTGGCCTTGCCGGATTGCTGGTTTAGAATTTGTAAGTGATCACAGTCTGTTCCACGTTTCTGTGTAATCAGTTGATTAACTGGCTTGGGGAGCATCATTCACATGGCCCTCTAAAGTATGTTTGTTTGGTGGAAGTAGATTGGTTTATATTTTCTGCTTGTGCTTAAGTGGCATAAAACTTGTCCAGCAAACTCAAGAAGAGCCTGGAGGCTTTGGCTGGTAGTAAATAGGAGCAATTTATTCAAGGGTCTTAGAGTTTACACCCTGGGAACACAGCTGGGCTCCATGAGGACAGGAAAGTTAAGGTTTCTCGTAGTCAAAAGGGCGTTCCTGAGAACTGTCGGTCCTGCTCAGCCCTGGGGTTGGTGCAGGACGGTCATCAGCAGGCGTCAGGCAGTGAGGAGGACGGTGCCAGGTGGCCTGGGATGGGCTCTGTGGCTTTGGTCATGTGCGGTGGCCTGAGTAAGGGCTGCCAGGCGGCCTGGGGCCTGGGCGTGCAGAGGGTTTCCTGGGGGCCTGGTGCGTGTCCAGATGCATGTCCAGGCATTGACGCAGGATAGGAGAGCTCGAGAAGTTTGAGTTCCCAGGTTAGTCTGAACAAGGGTAGAGCCTTTCTTCCTGCCTCAACCTTCCTAATGTGATAAGTTCAGCAGCTTGGTTAAAATGACTCCATTTTATATATTCTCCATCTCTACTCTTCAAACTGCTCAGAAAAAGTCGATCTTTTTTTTTTTTTTTTTTTTTTGCACCCCTGCCCTGTTCCCCTAAAAATCAGTCTTTTCACCGTGCTTTAACACTAGAACCGTCTAGCAGTCAGTACAAATTACAACAGGAATCTCAGACTTCGTGTGCAGGAGGAAAAGAGACCCGATTATTAAACGCAGTGCCGGAGGTCCTCAGCGTGTGCGAGGACGGAGAGCGGGGCCGGGGGACGTGCCCGGCGGGGCTGGCCTGCCGTCTTCTGTGAGGCTGCGCGGGCAGCCCGGGCAGCGGAGCCCTTTGGCCTTGGAGGCCCAGAGAGCTGCTGTCAGCGCGTGCAGAGTGTCCGTCTGCCAAGGTGCATCTCTGCTCAGCCAGGCTCCCAGGGTTCCAGTAGCAGAATGAGAATGTGTGTTCGCGCGCGTCTGTGTGTGTATGTGTGTGTGTGCAGCCTCCTCCACTGCCCTCCGGCAGGCAGTCCTCAGGGGAGCGGAGTCAGGGACGGAAGGGTGCGTGGTGAGCGTGGAGTCAGGGCTTGGGGGCGGGGGCGCAGACAGTGGGTGACATCAGGCTGCCTGTGTGGCGTGCCCACGCTATAACCAGCCAGCACATGGGTGGGCTGCCGTGTGCCAGGCATCGCGTTGTAAGTGCTCTGTGCAGACGAACTCATCTGCTCCTGAGGCGGGTGCTCTGTTATCATCCCCAGGGTACAGGTGCGGAAACGGAGGCTTCGAGTGACTTGCTGAAGGTCACACAGCCAGGAGTGATAGGTCAGCCCTTGTGTGTGTTGGTGGCTCTTTGTGGCTGTTTTCTTCTTACTCAGTCATGTCTAGGTTATGCCTTTAGGTTTGTCGGCGTCACTGGTCACTTGTGTTTGGCTGGCCTGGGGACCCTTCTGTTTAAGGTGACTTTGTGTAGCACTGATCTGGACAAGTGAGTCTGATTCAGTTCAGAAGGTAAACCTTTCCTGTTAGGATTCTTCGAGGTCAGCCATCATGGTCCTTGTATGACAACAAACATTATTCCCGCCCCCCCCAATATCTTATTTATTTTTAGACAGAAGAGAAGGATGGGAGAAAGAGGGAGAGAAACATCACTGTGTGGTTGCCTCTCTTGCGCCCCCTACTAGGGGCCTGGCCCACAACCCAGGCCTGTGCCGCAACTAGGAATCAAACTGGCGACTGTTTGGTTCACAGGCCGGTGCTCAGTCCACTGAGCCACACCGGGCAGGGCGAGAACCAATGTTATTTAGTCACCTGGCGGTCCAGACGGGGTGGAGTGCGCGGTGAAGCACGGGTTCCCCTTGACTGGCTCCCTCCACAGACGCGGTCATTCTGCTGTGGAAGGTGAACGACCACAAGGAGCCGGAACAGGCTGCTTTTCAGGACGAGGACGAGGCTGAGTTGAATAAGGAGGACTGGACCGTCGCAAAAACGCTCAGGTGGCGTGGGGCTGGGCCAGGGGCGATTCCTCTTTACCTTCCGAGGGCGTTACCCTGACAGGCCTTCTGGCTTTCTTGTCTAACGTGAAACTTTGACTTGCCCAAGACAGAAATAAGAGAATAGTTTTAAAAAATAAAAGCAAGCTTAACATGGAATTTCTTAGTTTCTGCACTTAGTAAAACTGAGTGCATTTCAAAGACACAAATGTCCTCGAATGCAGCAGGTTATAGCAATGGCAGCCCAGCGGCAGTTTGTAAAATCCCATTCTGATGCGTGGTCCCTGAATTGGCCTTCAAGTTTTTGATGATTATTCTCCCTTGTCTCCCCTGTCCCCCTCTCTGGATTCTAGGGGCCACTTGGAAGATGTGTATGACATCTGCTGGGCCACGGATGGGAATCTAATGGCTTCTGCCTCTGTGGACAACACGGCCATCGTATGGGACGTCAGCAAAGGTAGCTGGGGCTTTGTTGTTACGGGGGAAGCAGTGGGCTAAGTGTCTAAAAGGCCTGCTTTCCCTTGAAAGGCGTCGGGAGACCTTCCGTGGTGAGCTGAGCCAGGGAGGCGGCGCGGCTGGTTAGGGATGAGCCCCTGTGCCACGGTCTGGCTCAGTTTTAGGCCCGGTCAGAAGATAAGAGCCTTGCAGTGGGGTCGTGAGTCCTGCGTGCCTGGGTTGCAGCCGTGATGGGGACAGGCTGGTCCCGGCCGCCATGGAGCTTGGGTCAGGCGCGGGTCAGCCGGTCTTCGTTAAGGCGGCACAGTGCCGCAGTGGCTGGCGCCTCACCCTGCGGGCCTTTCCTCCAGCGAGACGCTTTCTCCCCCGCTCCTCCTCCGCGTCCCTCTGCGGTGCAGGCTGCTGGCTCTCCCACCGGTGCCCCCACCCAGGAGGGTCCCTGCCACTGTCACAGAGCAGCTCTCGTCCCCGCCATCGCAGTCGGTTCTTCTGGTCCCGGGCCGCCAGCCGCACGACCCCTAGGTGCCTCGCTCTGTCATCCCCTCTCTCCGCCTCGCTCCTTCTAATGGAGGACAGATGTCACGTCTTCTTGTCTGCGGATCTGGTCACTGTCCTCGACCGTCCCCCCGGCGCCCCTGCGAAGCCAGCTGTAATGCCCTTGGGCGCTGCCGTCATGCGGGGCACAGGGGCAAGTGCCGGAACAGCACACGGACGGGGCGGCCAGTCCCAGTGCGGGGTCAGGCGGGAGAGGGGCCGGGAAGCGGTCAGAGAGCGGAGGCGATCTCGGGGGGCTCTCTGAGCACGGGCGCTTTGAACAGACTTGGGAGTCGGGGAGCGAGCTGTGGGCGTGGGTGTGTCCGGTTGCGTCCGTCCGTGGGTCTTTCTTTAGCTGCGGCCTGAAGCCAGGGGCCCTGCTCCCCTCAGAACCGTCCCCTTCAGTTCTGTCGTCACCATCTCGAGCCCTCGGGCCCAGCCCAGTTTCCGCCTGTGGCCCCTCTGGCCCGGGCTGCTGTCTCCTGCTTTCTCCAGCCAGCCTGGCGCCCCCGGCGGCCTTCCGTCAGCGCTCAGTTCCCTGGGACCTTTTCCTCCCATCCTCCCCACCAAGACAAACCCCAACCCAGCATCGGGGTGACAGTCTCCTGTTAGTTCCCGGTCCCAGGCTGAGCGCAGCTGGGTCAAACCGGCCACCCTGCAGATGTGGGCTGCTCCCGAGCCACCCTCACCAACCTCAGCCGTGTCCCCCACCCGGGGTCACAGTCCTCTGCTCTTGTCCCCAGTAGCTCCCCCCAATCCCCCACAGGTTTCTGTACACCCTCCTCGTCACCCTGGCTCCCTTCACCTCGGCAGACTCCCTGAAAAGAGGCCGAGAAACGAGAGGGGCGGGACGTAGCCCACGGGCGGCTGTTGGGCCCGTCCTGCGGGCGGTGGGGAGCGGCGGATGGGGGGCGCTGCGGGGGGGAGGGTGTGTCTGGTTTCCCAAGCACGGCCGAGGCTTCCTGCCTTCCCCTCTCTCTACCCAGGGAACCCTCGTGCGTTTCTAGTGTTCCTTCTTATTACCCCCCGCAGCCCCCGCCCGTCCCTGTTAGCGCTGCTGTGGCTCAGGCCCTCGTCTCTCCCTGCTCTGCCCTCCCCTGCTAACCAGTGACACCTTCTAGTCTCTCTCCCGCACCCCGGGCTTGTCTCTGTAGCCAGGTCCCTTCCTCTGAGTGTTCCTCTGGCCACTCCGAATGCCCAGAGCCTTTTCCTCGGACCCAGCGAGTCTGTCACCCACCGCCTCTCCTCCTCGTCTTGTCATTTTGGCCGCTCCCCTCACCCACTAGCAGTTCCCAGTGACTGTCATTGCCCCGTGGCCCCGAGCAGGCCCTCACGCTGTGGTTTGCTCAGAACCCCCTTCCCCGCGCCGACCCCCTCCTCCTGCCTGGCCCAGCACGGGCCCAGCGCATGCCCTCGGCCGCCCCTCCCGGGCCTCAGGCACACCCTCTGGCAAGCTGCCGCGTGCGGCCGTCGCGGGCCGTCTCTGCCACTGAGGTCCGAGCCCCTGGGGAGTGGGGGCTGTGTGAAGTCACCTTCGTGTCCCCAGAGTCTGACACAGAGGTTGCTGCGGAGTCTCACCGCCCGCCGAAAAGCAGGACAGTATTGAGTAAAGACAGGGACACGCCCGAGTCGCGCGCCGGCCCGTGCCGGAGCCGGCCCTGGTGACACTAGGGCGTGCTCTTCTCACAGGACAGAAGATCTCCATTTTTAATGAGCATAAAAGTTACGTGCAAGGAGTGACCTGGGATCCTCTGGGACAGTATATTGCTACCCTGAGCTGTGACAGGTACGTCAGCATTGGACAGATGATATCTATTTACTTGAAGATTTCTGCCGAGATGTTTTATTACAACTTAACTGATGTGAACCATGGTCTAGCCTTGATTCTTTTGTTCTCAGTGTCATGTAAAGAGTTTTGTTTTCTGTTATTCTCACAATATAAAAAAAATTGGAAGCTGACAGGGACAAGTGCTTGACGTGAAGTCAGTACTTGGTAAATCTTCGTTGACTGAGTGAGTGCGTGCAGAGAGGGCTTTGAGCCAAATTTGAATTTCACAGGCAACTGTTACAGAAAAAGTCTTTTATAAATATGACTTTAGAAGAGGTCCTTAGTGGTAGGGTTAGATATTTTATTTTTGATTGTACTACAAAATCAATAGTATACTGAGTAGTATACAGTGTACTACGGCAGTGATTTTAATGAGACTATTTAAATGAATATAAAAGTCAAATCTTTTGTCCTTTTTGAAAGGAGGGTGACCTGCTGTGTTTATGAGTATAATTGCATTGGATTGTGTTCTTGGAACAAAGACTAAAAAATCAGAGTGCCAGGCACAGCACACTACTCACCAGTCAAAGTAGCCCTTCTAAATATTTATCGACCTCTCTTAATGACAGCACATGTAAGTTCAGGTGGCCCTGGAATGAAAGTAATACGGAAAAAGTAGTGTGTATTTTTCATGGAATTTTCCGTTACATTCCCGAGGTCGTTTATGTTCCGGTTATGTGCTTCACTCGGGCAGTCAGGAGGGAAACGCATTTTACCCCGGCGAGTGGGAATAAAACGCGTTACCTGCACCCACACGTCCCTGCCGCCGTTTTCCTTGCTCCTGCAAACCCCTGAGGACGACACCGTTCGGCATGACGCAAGCTCCCCGCGGCCACGCAAGCGGCCTCGGGCCAAGGCCCAGCTCCTGGGAAACAAGGCCAGGCCTAAGGTGCCCGACCTGAGGAGTGGAGACATGCAACAGGAAACGAAGGGATGGCATATTCTCCACTTCCTCAGTGACGGCCTTTCGGTTGTTCCTACTTGCTCCTCTCATCGCTACCCAGTTACGTGGGAAGGTCATTGGTAAACGGCTTTGCAGGCCAAAAATGACGGAAGCGACCTTTGGTTTGGGCGATAGATCGTTTTTGTGTGAAGCATAACTTCTTTGCGAGGAGAAGTCAGTCAGCCTTTCCTCTTTTGCTTAGGACCCTGAGGGTGTACAGCACACTGAAGAAGCGTGTGGCTTTCAATGTCTCAAAGATGCTGTCTGGAACAGGCGCTGAAGGAGAGGTGGGTGCAGCTTTGCCTTGCCCTGTAGCAGAGCACTAGCTGGTGCGTAGGAAGTCTCAGCTCCGCTGTATCTTGCAGCTGAGTCGCTGTCTCAGCGACACCTGGACCCCAGGAAAGTCTCCTCTGGGACAGTCAAGGTTCAGCTAGTGCGGGGGCCGCCCGGCGAAGTCACCGGGAGCATTAATAAACACGGGTGCCTGGTCTCCACCCCCAGAGGCCTGCCGTGCTTGGCCTGGGGCGGGCGGGGCCGCAGGATCCCGAGGTGTGGCTGGGGCCAAGCGCACGGACGTGGGAGGGTCCCAGCCCTGGACACCCATGTCCCAGCCCTGGACACGGAAGGCAGGCGGCCCATCCGCAGCAGGCGGCGCTGCGTCTTGGCAGGCAGGCGGGGCCGCGTTGGGGTGGCGTGGGGGCGTAGGAAGGGTTTTGCTCTTAGAGGGAACCAGCGCCTGAAGAGCGCACGCTGGTCCGGGAGGAACCGAGACTACCACGCAGGCGCTCGGCCCCAGGGAGCCAGCCGGCACTGACAGAAGTCCGGTCCCGGGGGCAGGTTAAGGCCGCGTGGGCCGTCGGCGGGCTGGCGCTGGGGGGTGGCGCACTCCGTGAAGCCAGGAGCCCTGCTCCCGGGAGTGTCGGGGATTCAAGTCTTACGGTTCACAAAGTGCTGGTGAGAGCAGCGCAGACGCTCACGTGGCATTCAAGAAACATGTGGGCAGTTAAGATGCTCAGTTTAATAATCAACTATGTTCTTTTTAAAGAGTGGTCAGTTATGTTCTTTTTAAAAAGTATTCCGTTGGTTGGAAATTCTAAATTATACGCACAGGTAACAAGCAAAGGCCCCCTGGTCTCCCTCCTGCTCTGGCTGTCTTCCAGGCTCGCCCCGCACGGAACACCAGCAGGCGACAGGGGCTTTGTTCGGCTCACCGTAGAGCCACGCACCCACATGCACATGCACACACACGCCCCGAACATGCACACCCCATACATGCACACGCCCTGTACATGCACACATGTGCATAGGCACATACAGAGCTTTCGTGAACAAAAGGGGACTCAGTCCGCAAATGATGTCTCTCGCCATCCTGCAGGAGCGTTTGATGCACGTAATACATTTTTCCAGTTTTATTTGTTACTGTCAGCAAACGATAACACACAGACCCGGCAGCCGCGGCCTTTCCTGGGGCTGTCAGGGTCTGGACTAACGCTCACACTTTGGGTCCCAGGCCAGGAGCTACCGGATGTTCCACGACGACAGCATGAAGTCCTTCTTCCGCCGGCTCAGCTTCACCCCTGACGGGTCGCTGCTCCTCACGCCAGGTGCGCTGGGCAGAACGGGGCTGGCGCCCGGCGGGGGGCACGAGCCTCTAGGAGGCCTCTGGGCACACGGCAGGGAGACGACGTGTGCCTATCGCACAAGGACAACAATGAAAATAAAAGTGTAAGAGGAAGGAGGCCGAGGAGGAGGATGGGGGAGGCGTTAGTGCTCCCCGAGTTCACTTTCATGAGTGGCGGACAGAGAAAAACAAAATAAGGAAGAGCCTAACTAATACTTCATTTTTTAAAGTGAAGAAACTAAAAACCCACCATGTATGTATGCATGTGGTTCAGTCGTAACTGGCAGTCTGATTCTGTGAGCGCGAAGGAAATGCAGAGGCGACTGTGGTGTGTCGGAATGGACACGTGGGGGGGCGGGGCGGCGGCTGCCTTCCCCGGTAGGTACGAAACAGTCCTCCGTGAGACCGTGTGTGTAGACGCATCGGGAAACAGCTACGTAAGACAGGGAGGTGTTTCCAGGAGCAGCTGCGTTTGATGGTCATTCTCTGCCAGGGTCTGACCTGGTTTAAGGGCATCCTGGGGTGAGCGTAGGAGAAATCTCGGGTGCAGGCTGCCCCCCAGAGCCAGGTCAGCCTCTGCAGGGGCTAGGCCTCCTGGCTCCGTCGGGCAGGTGGGAAAAGGCCCGTGACTCAAGCGTCTGGATGGCGCCTGAAGGCGGGTCCAGGGCACAGAGCTCGGGGTGTGGGCTCAGCCCTTCAGCAGGCCCTGGCGGGTTCTCAGGCAAAGCTCTCCTGGAGCGAGGGCTCCCGCCCTTCCACCCTCCCGCCCTTCCACCCTCCCGCCCTTCTACCCTCCCGCCTGGGGCCTCGGAGTGGGAGTGGCGCCAGGGCGGCGGAGCCCCTCAGGGGAGGCGGCTCTCCGGGGAGAGGACAGGCTGGTAGAACCGGAGTAAGGGCTGAACCCAGGCTGTGACAGTGTTTGTATTCGCCCCCAGTCACAGGAACATTGTCCAGGGAATACATCTTTCGGGAAAATTATTTTACCCACCACATCGGGCCGCTCTTGGGTTTTTGCTGGTGAGCCGTTCAATAACCCATTCCCTTTCCCTGCCTCCCCAGCCGGATGCGTGGAGTCTGGTGAAAATGTAACCAACACAACTTACGTTTTCTCCAGGAAAAATCTTAAGAGGTATGCAACTGGAGAACTGTTTGAAACGTGTCCCCTTTCTTTTTGGTGTTGGTGAGCAACGGTGCCTTTTTCTGAAACCGTCTTTAACCTTTAGGCCTATTGCTCACCTCCCGTGTCCCGGGAAAGCGACGCTTGCTGTCCGCTGCTGCCCCGTCTACTTTGAGTTGAGGCCGGAGGTGGAAACAGGTACGTGAGGACCCAGAGCTTGTGTGGGGTTTGCTGCCAGGTGGGTTGCCAGGGTGGGGTGTGGTTTGGATTTTATCTCGTGGGGGAAGGTGAGGGTGAGTTTGGCTCAATTTGGTTACTTTTAGGAGCTGGAGCAAAGACCGATGTTATCAAAATGTGTGTCGGTTGTTTGCATTGCCTGGAACATACTTTCTGTGCTGGAAGCAGCTTTAAAGGAATGTCAGTCCTTGTCTTGTTTTTCCACTGAAGCAGGTTGAAAGTCATTCATTGTCAATTTTTCTATGCAGTATAATTTTGGATTATAATTGGATTTTTCTTTGTTTTTTGACTTTTTTCCTCCAATTTGGAGGATTTTGGCCATCATTTCTTCAACTATCTTTCGTCGTCCCCTCTCCTCCTCTTCAGCGGCTCCGGCTCCGCACACGAGGCCGTGTGGAATCCTGCCGAGATGCATGCACGCCCGCCCCTTGGTTCTTTGTCCTCACGGTGTTTCATTTTGGACAGTCCTGTAGCTGTTTTGTGCTCACTGACTCTCCTGCGTGACCGGCCCGTGGTGCCGCCGGTGTGTTCTCCGCCTGGGACGCTGTTTTCCCCCCGACGTCCCGTTTAGGTCCTACCTTGCCTGTCGCTCCTGGACCCCATGGAGCAGTTTTTATAGCTCCCATTGTGTCTTTGTGTGCACAGCGTTGGTTTGGACTGTCCCACCCACAGGCACCACGGGGGTCGTGTTTTCCTTCTCCTCTGTGTGCCCTGCCATTGTTTTACTATGTGCCAGACATGAATTTTACCTTAGTGGATGCTGGGTGCATTTTACTTTTTTATTTATTTTTGGAGAGGGGAAGGGAGGAAGAAAGAGAGGGAGAGAAACATCAGTGTGTGGTTGCCCTGCCGGGGACCTGGCCTGCAGCCCAGGCATGTGCCCTACACTGAGAATCGAACCTGCGACCCTTTGGTGCACGGGCCAGCGCTCAGTCCACTGAACCACACCAGCCAGAGCTATATTTTTATTCTTACAAATATTCTTGAACTTTATTCTGGGACGCGGTGAAGTTACTAGGAAACGTTTTGCTTCCTGGGCTCCCACTGTTAAGCGGCACTGGGGGCTTTAGCAGCTCCGAGCCCACGGTCGGTTTCCCCAGTCCGGGGTGGAGGCCTCTGAGTGCGCTCCTCGCTTCTGCTGCCACGGGGAAAAGGGAGCTCGTCCCCTGGCCTGTGTGAGTGAGCCTCAGGGCCCGACCTTCCTCTCCTGTCTCCTCACCGGCGCGCGCTGACCGGTGCTCAGCCGCAGGCCACAGGGCCCCTGTCGGTCTCCGTGGCGCTCAGGTCTCTGCCGCAGCCCGACCCCCGCGCCATCTCCTCGGCTCCAGGCGCGCGCTGGGCCTGGAAGCTGTGCGCCGGGAGCTGAGGCCGCCGCAGCACTTGGCGCACTCGCTTCCGTCTCCGAGGGGCCGCCGTCCTTCGTGGCTGACGGGCGGCGTCCTAAACAATCCAGGGTGAATTGGGTCCCTGTTACTCCAAGGCTGGACGTGGGGGCTGTTTTTAACTCTCTTAGCTTTTATGTGCATGACTATCATTAACTGGAAAGACCACTCAAACATCACTTAATACAATGTTTCCAGGCCACCCTATCTTTCCTTATCAGAATGCAACAGGCCAGATTGCCTTGATTCATTCACACAAACTCTTCTCTTTTCTCTTCATTTTGGACCGCGGGTGCCCAGGATTCCTAGTTCACACTTGGTTCCTGATTATTCCTACATTCAAATATGAAATAAGAGAAACACCTGAATTCTTTTGTGAAGTGTTAGTAAAATTAGGTCACGCCGGTCCCCTGAGAGAGGGCTTTTGGGGGAGGATTTGTTTGTGTCCTGCGGGACCTTGGCTGTTGCTTGTGTAACTGTCCTTCCTTCGTCCCTGTCCCCCCACAGACGGGCCCACCCAGGGGCCGCTGGTGCGCCTGCCCTACCGCCTGGTGTTCGCCGTGGCTTCCGAAGACTCTGTGCTCTTCTACGACACCCAGCAGCTCTTCCCTTTCGGTTACGTGTCGAACATCCATTACCACACCCTGAGCGACATCTCCTGGTGAGCGGCTGGGGCTGAGGCGGGCGGGTGGGCGGGCAGAAGTGGGCGGGTTTCTGGCCCCCTGGAGTCACCAGACCCTCGGGCCTGCGGGCATTTTACTGCTGCAGAGGACTTTTTTGGCCCTTATTTACCACAAACAAGGAACATCAAAAGGAAAGTGTTTCTGATTTACAACCCTGCTTCCTCTGGTGACAGCTAGACTTGCCACTCAGACAGCCCGCAGGGGTAATTGATGCGCGTAGCCTGAGGGGGGCCCGCCCCAGCCGTGGCTGTGCTGTCCCCAGCGTCACTGTGCACGACTCCCGCCAAGGCCCCCAGCCCCTGGGCTCCCTGCTCCTGCCGCCCCCCCGCCAGGCCCACCCACACCCTTTCTGCGTCGTGTATTTTCCCCTCAAACAAAGCTCATGACTTTGCTTGACCTTCCGTTTCTAACTGGTAACGAGAGCGGGAAGAGGGGCCCATAGACTTCGGTGGAGTTTCTGACTTTTCCTCCTGTTTCGGCACAAAGGTCAAGCGATGGGGCCTTCCTGGCCATTTCTTCCACCGATGGGTACTGTTCATTCGTGACGTTTGAGAAGGATGAACTTGGGATACCTTTCAAAGAGAAGCCAGATTTGAGCATGGGAACTCCTGATACAGCGAAGAAGACCAAGAGTCAGATGCAACAGGGGTCTCCGCCAGGACCCAGGCCGGTAGAGGGGACCCCCACCAGCAGAATCCAGGACCCCAGCAGCCCCTGCTCAACGCCCGCTCAGGCGAAGCCGTCTCCAGCCCCAGCAGCCGCCAAGGACACACCTGCGGTGGCCGCCGCAGCCCAGAGCTCCGCGCCCGGGCCTTCAGAGGAGAGGAAGACCCTGCAGCCCAGCGGTCAGAGCGCGAGAGGGCCCCCGCCCCGGAGGGTCACCCTGAACACGCTGCAGGCCTGGAGCAAGATGCCCCGGTAAGGGCTTTTGGTGGAAGAAGACCCACAGAAAGGCCCCCCTTGTAGCAGGTGACCCCCTACGCAGCCGGGACTTCGTGCAGCTGCCAGAGAGAGGTTCCCAACCTCCGCCCGAGAGGGCCCCCCCTTGCTCACAGACCCCCGTGGGGCCCCGCTTTCTGCCTGTCACCGAGTGGCTGTGGCTCCGCCCTCAGGCCAGGACCGTCAGCTGCCTGTCCCCTTCACCCGTGTGCCTTCCCCTCCAGCCTCACCCTGAAGGATGAGCCCCCAGGGCCCTTGGCCCCTGGAGGCCTCCGCCGCTCCCTTCCCCTGGGAGGCCCTGGGCCTGCGCTCCCCTCGGCCACCCTAGGCTCCTCCCCAGGCTCCCCCCAGCCCCCTGCCCTGTTGCGCACGTCCCCCTCGTGGCCGGGGTTTCTTTCTGCTCGTTTCCCGTCCGATGGGAAGCCCCCAGGGCAGGAAGTGCACCCCTCTTGCCCCCGTGTCTCATCCAGAGCGGCGACGGGCACTCCACTGTAGGGAGGGCTCAAAGCAGTGTCGCGAGGCGGTGTCTGCTGTCCAGCAGACGGGCTCCGGCGAACGGGGCATCCGGTCGAATGGTACGTCGTCTCCGGTGGCGGTGCAGTTGTGTTGGTCCCCGTTCTTGTCAGGCCACTGGTAAACACGCGGAGTCCTATGCACGTCTGGGCACCCAGGACCTTGCCCTCCAGAGATGCCAGCACCGCCCTCTGCCCCCAGCGCTGCCACCGCCGGGCTCCCTCCCCTCTGTCCCCCACCCCCCACCTTGTAGACGGACGGCACAGGTGCCGGGCTGAGGGGGTGGGGGACACAAGGTGCTGCAAAGGCCGTGGCTCCCTCGCCCCGTGTTCACGTGGCTTCATTGGCAGATCACGTGGCTTCACTGGGCGCGCCAGCACCTGGTTAGGGGGCGTGTTCCGCACTTTGGACTTTTTTCTGCAGACCAGCAGTGTTGTGTTTTTCTATTTGGTTTTAGATGGGGGAGGGGAGTGGGAAGGTGTTCCTTGAAATAGTTTTGGTATAAAAGTTTTCCCCTCTTTTTTCTTTTTAAAGTTTTCTCCTTTTAATGTCTTGCAAGCTTCTTGCAGCTGTAATTTCTGAAAAAATAACAGTTGTTAAAAATTAAGGTCGTGGATTTTAAAATGAACTACCTGTGTTTCGGGGCTTTCTGTAGTAGAAAACATGTCTGATAGCCGGGTGTTCGGCACGCTGCTGGTAATTAACCACACGCAGGCTTTGCACCCTCAGATGGCTGGTTAAAGGTTAGGCTGAGTGTTGTAACCGTGATGGTTTAACTTCCTACATGAACAGTTTAGTGACCAAACCAGTGGGCGCGTCAGCCTTAGATTTGATGCCTTGCATGATAGGATCCGCTGCAAATTTCCGATGTTTCCTTTGGGTAGCTTTGCCATGTATATCACACACTAACCGTTCCTGCGACACTGATCGCCACATACCCCCTTCTTTCTTTTAATCAAGGAGAGTGAACCTGACACCCTTAAAGACAGATACCCCGCTTTCCGAACCGAGCAGTGTGGTGTCCACTCCATCCGCCGCGGATGTTCGGTCAGGTAAGCGACAGCGGTCCCGGAGCCGTAGCCTTCAAGGGCGAACAGCTCCTCTTCTGCCCTTCTGGACGTGACCGTCCACGACGTCTAAGTCCGTTCTGAGACAGCAAGGATGCATCTGACTAGACATGTCGCCAGGCTCGCTGCTGCCCGTTGGTCCCCGAAAGCCCCCCGGCGAGCTGGGTGGCGCGTCGGAGGGAGGGGATGCGTCGGAGGTCAGGCTGCTCGGCCTGGGCGCTGCTCGCACTGTGGGCCAGAGCGCTCTTTGTTGTGGGGGTCGTCCTGGGATTGTAGGCTGCTTGGTAGCACCCCTGGATGTTGGTGCTCCCCACCCCCGACTCAGAACATTCTAAAATGTCACCAGTGCCTTGGCAGGCCGAGTGGCCCCGGCTTGAGAACCACGGGTGTAGATCTTTCCACGTCGATGCCCCCAGGGCCCTGCCAGGCGATTTAATCCCTTGTCTGAGCTCAGAATTTCTTGTGTGAACAGCGGCTCTTGCCTTAGAGAAGCCGTCACTGACCTGCCGGCCTCGCACTTGTTAATGTTTCAGAGACGCCTGGAGACCTCGGGGCAGTCCCCCAGAGCTGAAGCGGCCCAGACTCGGGGAAAACAGCGGCAGCGCCCGCGGCCCGGACCTTTGAGGAGACTGCTTTGTGCTGGAAGGCTGCCAAGTCTGGGGACTCCTGCGTGCACAGGGAGGGGCGCGAGGCCGAAGACCCCAGGCCTGGGCGTCAGACGGAGCCCGGCGGACACTCATGAATCGGCGTCTGTGACAAGATACGCGTGGACTGGCTTTTCTCCGGAAACGCTTGCTCCTGTACCAGATGCCGTTTACCTCGGAGATGCAAACATGTCAACAGGCCACACCCTCCTGTCGACAGGTTCCGGACCCCGACCCAGGCCCGTGTTACCTGCTGAGAGGAGCGGGCAGTCGCCCCCAAACGACTGGAAGTGGGGGCGCCACGGGTGGGCCGTGCCTCACGCGGGCACGGGACGCAGTTTGCGAGGAGGGTTCTTTCTGTTGAATTCTGGAGCGTTCGAATGGTTGTTAGATTTAGTTTCTAAATAGTTGATTAACTTTTGGAAGTTTATTATATTTGACTTTTGCTTTCTGATTTTAAAGGTAATAATATTGATTCTAAAACGTTAGTAAACTAGGGCCACGTAGGAAAACACAGGCCGGGTGGCTCAGTCAGTTACAGTGTTGTCCCCACACGCCAAGGCTGGGGGTTTGGTCCCTGGTCGGGGCACAAACGAGCAACCAGTGAATGCGTAGAGAAGCGGAACAGCAGATCGGTGATTTTCTCTCTCTCATCAATTTTTTAAAAAGAAAGAAAAGAAACTTTAAAAAAAGAACAGGTTGGGTGTAGGACCCCCCCGTCATCACCCCCAAAATGAACCCTTGTTACTATTTGGCATATTTCCTGCTTTACATATTTATTTGTTTTGCTTTTTTCTTTTTATGGAGAGAGTTGAGATTTTACTTTAGACACCACTTGGTATCCAAATGGGCTCACTTTTTAAGTTGATTTTTCAAAGCGAGGAAAAGTAGCTCAGCACTTTGTGCCTGTGCCTCTGCGACAAGGCCCCCTGTTTCTGTTGGGAAGACGGGGCAGTGAGGCCGCCGCTGCAGGAGGCACGGGGTGGGGTGACCCGGACACGGCCTGTGTGGCCGCTGGTGGAGCCCCAGTTTAGGAGCTGGTGCGGAGAAGAGGCGCCAGCGCCGGGTGCTGTCACTCCCCACAGCGGACAGGAGCCAGGCCGCCGAGGGTGCCGCACCCCGGGCTTCCTTCCCCACCTGACCGGCGTCCACCTGAACGCGGGCCAGCGGCCGGGAGCCGCCCCCCACGCCTGACCCCGAAGGGGGCGAGGCTCTTCACCCGAGCCAGCTGCGGCCGGGAAAGGACTGGGGAGAAGCCTCACTTGGCTGCCTACCCCGCGGCCTTGTCTTAACGAGAAAAAGAATTTGTTTCGCTTTTAGACAGCCAGGTGGCAAACTGCAGACCCTGGACCGTGCGGAGAACGGGACGGTGGCTGCCTGCGGCATTGTCACCACGCAGCGGTGGGCCACACGCAGCGTGGAGACATTTTACACTGTTGAAGTGTGCTTTGACCCGAGGTTCTCAACCTTAACGGCCAGTGGAATCACTCAACGAGCTGACAAAAATACTGACACCTGGGTCCCCCTCTGGAGGCTTCGGCAGCATTGGCCTGGGCGTGGCTTGAACCTCGGGATTCTCTCAAGGTCCTTGAGGGAGTAGGATGCGCGGCCAAGGTTGACAGGAAAGCTTCCGTAGGGCGCCCGACTGGAGGGTGACACAGGGACATTCTGCCCAGCCTTCCGGGGAGGAAGGCCGGCCTCACCTTCCTGCGGCTGGGGTGACACGTGCTTGTGGCCACGTCCCTGCACAGACAGGAGTGGCTGTGGGGCCGTGTTCTCGGGGGCCACTTCCCCCCCGTGGAGGAGCGTGGTTGCTTCCACGCACCTGTCTCTGCCCCAGTGATGGGGGGACGGGGTGGCAAGGCCCCTTTGGCAGGAGGTGTATTTGCAGGCGCGACTCATCGTCTGCTCCTCAGCCGCCACCTTGGACAGAAGACGGTGTCGCAGTAAAAGCCAGAACAGCAACGGCTCGGTGTCCTGGTTGGCGCCCTGCTGGCCCCGGGCGGTTCCCCGGGAGCCTCCCGTGCTGGGCGCCTGCTCCCCAGGGCGTCGCTGGGTGAGACTCCGCACCCGGGGCAGCAGCTGCTCAGGGTCGGCGTGGTTTTGCGCTGCGCTGCCTCAGTTCTGCGGCAGCCTCTCTGGGGCGGGAGCCGGGGGCAGGGGAGGTTGGGCAGGCTGCCGGTGGCCCCAACGTGTGCTCCCGGGGTCTGGGGGTGCAACGTGCGGCCAGAGCCTGTCCCCTGTCTGTCTGTCTGAGGGAGGAAGCTGCGTGGAGCTGCCCGGGCAGCAGTGAGGAGGGGACTGCAGAGTGTGAAGCTGCCATTACACGCGGGCACACAGCGGTGGGGGGCGCCCAGTGGGTGACCAGGCCTGGGCCATCATGAAAGCCACCTCAAGCAGGGTGGCCGCCAGGACAAGGACGCTTCAATGGGAAGTTAGGAAGGGTGTGCCCCAGGGGCAGGAGTGGAAGCCACAGCCACACCTGGGTCCTTGCTGAAGGCGCATCTGCACTTGAACAGGGCTGTAGACCCTTCCTACCAAGATAGCGGCTCCCAGCCCTGGGCTCTGAGACCCTAAGAGGGGTGGGGGGATGGGGAGGGTGAGCGGCAGCCCCTCCTGAGTCTGGACTCGCCCAGGCCCCCACAGCTTCCCTTTTTGGGTTGTTTTGCTGTATTTCAGTCTCTGTTCCTCCTGGGGTCGGGGTGTGTGTGTCCGTCCGTCCGCTTCTGTCTTCAGACAGGCCTTGGACAGCTTACTTCATCTGAAGAAGTTTGTTCACAGCTCCAAACACTGGGACTTGGGCCACTTTCAGGGGGGAGGGCGCGGTAAGAGGACAGAAACGAGAGGGGGTTAAATGGCTCTAGGTAGGCCACTTCCTGCGCACACTCGCGCACATGCGCGCATCCCTGTGGCCGCTAGGTGTCACTGTCCCCGCGGCACCAGCCCGGGGCAGGGCCGCCTCAGCCTGAGGGCTCTGCACGCCCTCCCCCCGAGCGGCCCTGTCCCTGTCAGGCTCGCCCAGGGTCACGTCGGCGCTTCAGTCTCGGGGGCCCACACCGAGAGGGGAGCCTTGGTCACCAGACTGAGCGGGGCCTGTGCCTGAGTCCTGCCTTCCTCAGCTCGGAGAGAGAAACAGCCACTTACCGGGGTCCCCTGAGAGAGCCCTCCTTTCTCCCCACATTTTGGCTCTGAGAGGCCCATGAAGCAACAAGTTCCATCCCTGTAAGAGCTGGGGTAACATGCTTAGTGATGATGACGTGGCTCCCAACCCTTTTCCCCTTAGTACCCAAGACGACTCGTGTCTCTGCCCCAGGACGCTATCTGGGAGAGGCCTCCCACGTCATTGCGCCATTGCAATCGGTGTGGGTCCTGCCTCCCTTGGTCGGCACCTTTGGCAGGTCCGAGAACTGCGGGCTAGAGGCGCAGTCCGCTGGGGTCAGCCCTCCGGCCGGCCCTGCCCCCACCGCCCCCGTCCCGCCTTCTCCCAGCCTCCGCACCCCATCACCTGTGGGGCGTTCCACGCAAAACAAACCCAGCCCGACCCAAGTCCTCGCTTCGTCTGGGCCCGCAGTCAGCCGTGGCGAGGGAGACCCCGACCAGGCCCCTGCCTGTAACAAATCAGCTTCCACGGGCCGTCGGGTCTGGGGGCCACTGGCTGGTGAGAGGTCAAGCCTGGGACCTACATCAGCGAAGGGCCATCAAAATACTATGAGTTTACTGATTTCATGACAAGTATCTATGTTGTTACCCAAGAGGATGCTGAATCTTGAAGGCAACTTTGCCACTCAGCTCCAATGCTGCTTGGCGTCCACCTAAAGTGACAGAAATGAGTAGGTGCTGTACCTTTGAAGCCAGCCCCAAAGCTTGTGCCACACTGGGGACCTGTGTCATGAACTGGGGTTACAGGAAGGATGAACTTCAGTCCTAATGGGCCTTGAATAGGCCACCAGGGGGCGACATCGCTAGCCCTAACCTCCACTGTCAAATTTATTAACTGATTTTTAACGAAAGGACTTTTAATCCTGTTCTTATGAAAGTAGTACATTATCTACTTGCAATATATTTGCATGTTTATTTCTTTATGATTAAATGCTATTTTGTTGTGCCGACGAGATACAAATCCACGTCATATACAGAATCAGAGTGCGCCATGAGAACACATACATATAGCTGGGCTTAAAAGGTGTTTATGTTACGCGTAACCAGAGGTACAACGACTTTGAAGAAGCTAACCTCAAAAAAGTTTATTAATGTTTAAACCAAAAAGATCTTAATGACATTTTTTTTACACATGAGCAACAAATGTATCCGTTGGGCCCCCCACCCGTACAAAGATATATGTGCTAAGATTTGTTGCAATGTTTTGAGGTGGGAAGCAAGGCTGGACGTCCTCTCAGTGTCTGCCAGCAGGAGATGGGCTAAATCCCAGGCGGGAGGGCGGGTACTACTCAGCTGCCGGCTGGGCCCCGGGGACTAGCGGGTGAGTCGCGGGAGACGCAGGTCAGGGGCTCCCGCCGCGGCCCAGCTGGGGTGGACGGGCCGGGGCGCTGGCCGGGGGAGCGAGGGGCGGGCGCACTGGAGGACTGCCGGGGGGGCGAGGAGGAAGGGGCGTCCAGTTGCAGGTCGGGGCGCCCAACGGGCAGCACAGCGACTGCGGGTACCTCCTGAGTGTCTGTCTGCACGCTGCCGAGGGCAGGTCTCCGCGGTTCTCACCCCAGGAAGGAGGTGGATATCCATCACCGCACATGGTTTCTAAACTTACGGTGGTAATGATTTCACAATACAGACATATGCAGATCGTCACGTTGTATCGCTGAAATTAATACGATGCAGTGTGTCCATTATATCGCAACAAAACTGGGGGAAAGGTGATTCTGGGTACTTAGTGCAGCTATTTGTTGATGATGGGCGATCCCCACAGTCCATTGTTGGGAGGGCCTCCGGCGTTCGCG